CTCCGCTGCACGCTGCTTTTGAGTCGACTCAAAAGCAGGCACCACTCCGCTGCACGCTGCTTTTGAGTCGACTCAAAAGCAGGCACCACTCCGCTGCACGCTGCTTTTGAGTCGACTCAAAAGCAGGCACCACTCCGCTGCACGCTGCTTTTGAGTCGACTCAAAAGCAGGCACCACTCCGCTGCACGCTGCTTTTGAGTCGACTCAAAAGCAGGCACCACTCCGCTGCACGCTGCTTTTGAGTCGACTCAAAAGCAGGCACCACTCCGCTGCACGCTGCTTTTGAGTCGACTCAAAAGCAGGCACCACTCCGCTGCACGCTGCTTTTGAGTCGACTCAAAAGCAGGCACCACTCCGCTGCACGCTGCTTTTGAGTCGACTCAAAAGCAGGCACCACTCCGCTGCACGCTGCTTTTGAGTCGACTCAAAAGCAGGCACCACTCCGCTGCACGCTGCTTTTGAGTCGACTCAAAAGCAGGCACCACTCCGCTGCACGCTGCTTTTGAGTCGACTCAAAAGCAGGCACCACTCCGCTGCACGCTGCTTTTGAGTCGACTCAAAAGCAGGCACCACTCCGCTGCACGCTGCTTTTGAGTCGACTCAAAAGCAGGCACCACTCCGCTGCACGCTGCTTTTGAGTCGACTCAAAAGCAGGCACCACTCCGCTGCACGCTGCTTTTGAGTCGACTCAAAAGCAGGCACCACTCCGCTGCACGCTGCTTTTGAGTCGACTCAAAAGCAGGCACCACTCCGCTGCACGCTGCTTTTGAGTCGACTCAAAAGCAGGCACCACTCCGCTGCACGCTGCTTTTGAGTCGACTCAAAAGCAGGCACCACTCCGCTGCACGCTGCTTTTGAGTCGACTCAAAAGCAGGCACCACTCCGCTGCACGCTGCTTTTGAGTCGACTCAAAAGCAGGCACCACTCCGCTGCACGCTGCTTTTGAGTCGACTCAAAAGCAGGCACCACTCCGCTGCACGCTGCTTTTGAGTCGACTCAAAAGCAGGCACCACTCCGCTGCACGCTGCTTTTGAGTCGACTCAAAAGCAGGCACCACTCCGCTGCACGCTGCTTTTGAGTCGACTCAAAAGCAGGCACCACTCCGCTGCACGCTGCTTTTGAGTCGACTCAAAAGCAGGCACCACTCCGCTGCACGCTGCTTTTGAGTCGACTCAAAAGCAGGCACCACTCCGCTGCACGCTGCTTTTGAGTCGACTCAAAAGCAGGCACCACTCCGCTGCACGCTGCTTTTGAGTCGACTCAAAAGCAGGCACCACTCCGCTGCACGCTGCTTTTGAGTCGACTCAAAAGCAGGCACCACTCCGCTGCACGCTGCTTTTGAGTCGACTCAAAAGCAGGCACCACTCCGCTGCACGCTGCTTTTGAGTCGACTCAAAAGCAGGCACCACTCCGCTGCACGCTGCTTTTGAGTCGACTCAAAAGCAGGCACCACTCCGCTGCACGCTGCTTTTGAGTCGACTCAAAAGCAGGCACCACTCCGCTGCACGCTGCTTTTGAGTCGACTCAAAAGCAGGCACCACTCCGCTGCACGCTGCTTTTGAGTCGACTCAAAAGCAGGCACCACTCCGCTGCACGCTGCTTTTGAGTCGACTCAAAAGCAGGCACCACTCCGCTGCACGCTGCTTTTGAGTCGACTCAAAAGCAGGCACCACTCCGCTGCACGCTGCTTTTGAGTCGACTCAAAAGCAGGCACCACTCCGCTGCACGCTGCTTTTGAGTCGACTCAAAAGCAGGCACCACTCCGCTGCACGCTGCTTTTGAGTCGACTCAAAAGCAGGCACCACTCCGCTGCACGCTGCTTTTGAGTCGACTCAAAAGCAGGCACCACTCCGCTGCACGCTGCTTTTGAGTCGACTCAAAAGCAGGCACCACTCCGCTGCACGCTGCTTTTGAGTCGACTCAAAAGCAGGCACCACTCCGCTGCACGCTGCTTTTGAGTCGACTCAAAAGCAGGCACCACTCCGCTGCACGCTGCTTTTGAGTCGACTCAAAAGCAGGCACCACTCCGCTGCACGCTGCTTTTGAGTCGACTCAAAAGCAGGCACCACTCCGCTGCACGCTGCTTTTGAGTCGACTCAAAAGCAGGCACCACTCCGCTGCACGCTGCTTTTGAGTCGACTCAAAAGCAGGCACCACTCCGCTGCACGCTGCTTTTGAGTCGACTCAAAAGCAGGCACCACTCCGCTGCACGCTGCTTTTGAGTCGACTCAAAAGCAGGCACCACTCCGCTGCACGCTGCTTTTGAGTCGACTCAAAAGCAGGCACCACTCCGCTGCACGCTGCTTTTGAGTCGACTCAAAAGCAGGCACCACTCCGCTGCACGCTGCTTTTGAGTCGACTCAAAAGCAGGCACCACTCCGCTGCACGCTGCTTTTGAGTCGACTCAAAAGCAGGCACCACTCCGCTGCACGCTGCTTTTGAGTCGACTCAAAAGCAGGCACCACTCCGCTGCACGCTGCTTTTGAGTCGACTCAAAAGCAGGCACCACTCCGCTGCACGCTGCTTTTGAGTCGACTCAAAAGCAGGCACCACTCCGCTGCACGCTGCTTTTGAGTCGACTCAAAAGCAGGCACCACTCCGCTGCACGCTGCTTTTGAGTCGACTCAAAAGCAGGCACCACTCCGCTGCACGCTGCTTTTGAGTCGACTCAAAAGCAGGCACCACTCCGCTGCACGCTGCTTTTGAGTCGACTCAAAAGCAGGCACCACTCCGCTGCACGCTGCTTTTGAGTCGACTCAAAAGCAGGCACCACTCCGCTGCACGCTGCTTTTGAGTCGACTCAAAAGCAGGCACCACTCCGCTGCACGCTGCTTTTGAGTCGACTCAAAAGCAGGCACCACTCCGCTGCACGCTGCTTTTGAGTCGACTCAAAAGCAGGCACCACTCCGCTGCACGCTGCTTTTGAGTCGACTCAAAAGCAGGCACCACTCCGCTGCACGCTGCTTTTGAGTCGACTCAAAAGCAGGCACCACTCCGCTGCACGCTGCTTTTGAGTCGACTCAAAAGCAGGCACCACTCCGCTGCACGCTGCTTTTGAGTCGACTCAAAAGCAGGCACCACTCCGCTGCACGCTGCTTTTGAGTCGACTCAAAAGCAGGCACCACTCCGCTGCACGCTGCTTTTGAGTCGACTCAAAAGCAGGCACCACTCCGCTGCACGCTGCTTTTGAGTCGACTCAAAAGCAGGCACCACTCCGCTGCACGCTGCTTTTGAGTCGACTCAAAAGCAGGCACCACTCCGCTGCACGCTGCTTTTGAGTCGACTCAAAAGCAGGCACCACTCCGCTGCACGCTGCTTTTGAGTCGACTCAAAAGCAGGCACCACTCCGCTGCACGCTGCTTTTGAGTCGACTCAAAAGCAGGCACCACTCCGCTGCACGCTGCTTTTGAGTCGACTCAAAAGCAGGCACCACTCCGCTGCACGCTGCTTTTGAGTCGACTCAAAAGCAGGCACCACTCCGCTGCACGCTGCTTTTGAGTCGACTCAAAAGCAGGCACCACTCCGCTGCACGCTGCTTTTGAGTCGACTCAAAAGCAGGCACCACTCCGCTGCACGCTGCTTTTGAGTCGACTCAAAAGCAGGCACCACTCCGCTGCACGCTGCTTTTGAGTCGACTCAAAAGCAGGCACCACTCCGCTGCACGCTGCTTTTGAGTCGACTCAAAAGCAGGCACCACTCCGCTGCACGCTGCTTTTGAGTCGACTCAAAAGCAGGCACCACTCCGCTGCACGCTGCTTTTGAGTCGACTCAAAAGCAGGCACCACTCCGCTGCACGCTGCTTTTGAGTCGACTCAAAAGCAGGCACCACTCCGCTGCACGCTGCTTTTGAGTCGACTCAAAAGCAGGCACCACTCCGCTGCACGCTGCTTTTGAGTCGACTCAAAAGCAGGCACCACTCCGCTGCACGCTGCTTTTGAGTCGACTCAAAAGCAGGCACCACTCCGCTGCACGCTGCTTTTGAGTCGACTCAAAAGCAGGCACCACTCCGCTGCACGCTGCTTTTGAGTCGACTCAAAAGCAGGCACCACTCCGCTGCACGCTGCTTTTGAGTCGACTCAAAAGCAGGCACCACTCCGCTGCACGCTGCTTTTGAGTCGACTCAAAAGCAGGCACCACTCCGCTGCACGCTGCTTTTGAGTCGACTCAAAAGCAGGCACCACTCCGCTGCACGCTGCTTTTGAGTCGACTCAAAAGCAGGCACCACTCCGCTGCACGCTGCTTTTGAGTCGACTCAAAAGCAGGCACCACTCCGCTGCACGCTGCTTTTGAGTCGACTCAAAAGCAGGCACCACTCCGCTGCACGCTGCTTTTGAGTCGACTCAAAAGCAGGCACCACTCCGCTGCACGCTGCTTTTGAGTCGACTCAAAAGCAGGCACCACTCCGCTGCACGCTGCTTTTGAGTCGACTCAAAAGCAGGCACCACTCCGCTGCACGCTGCTTTTGAGTCGACTCAAAAGCAGGCACCACTCCGCTGCACGCTGCTTTTGAGTCGACTCAAAAGCAGGCACCACTCCGCTGCACGCTGCTTTTGAGTCGACTCAAAAGCAGGCACCACTCCGCTGCACGCTGCTTTTGAGTCGACTCAAAAGCAGGCACCACTCCGCTGCACGCTGCTTTTGAGTCGACTCAAAAGCAGGCACCACTCCGCTGCACGCTGCTTTTGAGTCGACTCAAAAGCAGGCACCACTCCGCTGCACGCTGCTTTTGAGTCGACTCAAAAGCAGGCACCACTCCGCTGCACGCTGCTTTTGAGTCGACTCAAAAGCAGGCACCACTCCGCTGCACGCTGCTTTTGAGTCGACTCAAAAGCAGGCACCACTCCGCTGCACGCTGCTTTTGAGTCGACTCAAAAGCAGGCACCACTCCGCTGCACGCTGCTTTTGAGTCGACTCAAAAGCAGGCACCACTCCGCTGCACGCTGCTTTTGAGTCGACTCAAAAGCAGGCACCACTCCGCTGCACGCTGCTTTTGAGTCGACTCAAAAGCAGGCACCACTCCGCTGCACGCCTCTCAAAAGTAGACCCTCTGTGGTGCCGGGGTCTACTTTTGGGATGTTGGTGGATGGGTAGGGTGGTCTGGGGCGCAATGTTTATGGACATTGTTGCCAGACATCACTTTGTGTGATGCAGTGCAGTGCAGTGCAGTGCAGTGCAGTGCAGTGCAGTGCAGTGCAGTGCAGTGCAGTTCAGTGCAGTGCAGAGCAGTGCAGGTGCATCAGAGTGACTCACATCAATAGCAGGAAAACGCGGTGCCTGCTGCCCCTGGTGCTCGCACCCATACTGTCGCACAAGGAAGCGCCGAATATCCCGGGCAGTGAGCAGGCAGTCAAGGCGGGAGAGCAGCGAGGGGAGCAGCGAGGCAAAGAGCACGTGCTGCAGTGGCAGCACCGGTACTAGGAGCTCCAATGGGAGGTGCGATGTTTGTCGCCCCCTGCCCTTCTCCTTGCCCTGCTGCTGCTTGGCTGCCTCCTCTTGCTCTGTTGCTGCTGCTGCTGCTGCTGCTGATGCTGCTGCTGCTGCTGCTGCTGCTGCTGCTGCTGCTGCTGCTGCTGCTGCTGCTGCTGCTGCTGCTGCTGCTGCTGCTGCTGCTGCTGCTGCTGCTGCTGCTGCTGCTGCTGCTGCTGCTGCTGCTGCTGCTGCTGCTGCTGCTGCTGCTGCTGCTGCTGCTGCTGCTGCTGCTGCTGCTGCTGCTGCTGCTGCTGCTGCTGCTGCTGCTGCTGCTGCTGCTGCTGCTGCTGCTGCTGCTGCTGCTGCTGCTGCTGCTGCTGCTGCTGCTGCTGCTGCTGCTGCTGCTGCTGCTGCTGCTGCTGCTGCTGCTGCTGCTGCTGCTGCTGCTGCTGCTGCTGCTGCTGCTGCTGCTGCTGCTGCTGCTGCTGCTGCTGCTGCTGCTGCTGCTGCTGCTGCTGCTGCTGCTGCTGCTGCTGCTGCTGCTGCTGCTGCTGCTGCTGCTGCTGCTGCTGCTGCTGCTGCTGCTGCTGCTGCTGCTGCTGCTGCTGATGCTGCTGCTGCTGCTGCTGATGCTGCTGCTGCTGCTGCTGCTGCTGCTGCTGCTGCTGCTGCTGCTGCTGATGCTGCTGCTGCTGCTGCTGATGCTGCTGCTGCTGCTGCTGCTGCTGCTGCTCCTTCTCTGCTGTAGTCTTGTCTGCTGCAGCCATGTCTGCTACAGCCTTAACTGCTGCTGCCCCATCTGCCAAAACCCTGTCTGCTAGAGCTGTATCTGCTAGAGCGGTGTCAGCTACAGCTGTGTCCACTGTAGCGCCAGAAGGTACAGGTATCTGCTCCTCTCGCCCTAATTCGACAGCCCTGTTTACGAGATCTAAAGTGTCCACTGAAAGAGGGGCGACGCAAAGGGGATCATGGAATGGGGTGTACGAAGGGAGACGGGCGGAGAAGGGGGTTTAGAGGCCCTGATTGGACCGCCCTGTGCAAGACCTAGAGTGAGCACTGAGGGAAGGAATGGAAGGGCAACGGAAAAGGGGATGGAAGGCATATGGCAGGAGAGAGGTGGCTCCTGGGGTGGCAGGTGATGCGAGATGGCAGGTGATGCGAGATGGCAGGTGATGCGAGATGGCAGGTGATGCGATGGCCAAAAGGAGATGCAAGCATGGCAGGATCTGGCTGGCTGGTGGAGCATGTATTGGATACTGGATGAATGCATGCATACAGGTGTAAAAAGTGTTCTTTTGAGACGTCTCAAAAACATCTGGCTGGCTGTTGGAGCATGTATTGGAAACTGGATGAATGCATGCATACAGGAGGAAACACCAAACACTACCTCTGGAACGGCATGCAAGCACGGATTGGAGGACTCCTACATTGACACGGACATATAGAGTTACTTAGGGAGGGTGCGATGCAGAGACACTTACTTTCTGGTGGTGCCTGCAGCAGCAGCAGTGCATTGCGCAGCTCTGGCTTCAGCTGGCACGCAGCGAACAGAGGCTGGTCGGGGTACTGCAGTGATATGCCGTACCTGAAAAGTGGGTAAGGGGTGTCTCTTAGGGTTAGGGGTTTGAGTCGGAATTCAAGACCCTGGCACCCCTAGGCTTCGTTCTGGTACACAATCCTGATGTTTGTGAGCTCAGGTCTCGCAGTTCATGCCTGCAGCATGAATCAGGACAGCAAAGAAATACACGGCACTTGCCCAAGCCAAGGGATTCGAATCCAATCAAACTCTTGGGTGCACTTGCCACTTGCTGTTTGGGCAGTGAGAGATGATCGAGCGGCCTGCAAGGCATGACCGAGGGATGGGACGTGCGTGCACTCACGTGCACCACTACTACGTGCGTGCACTCACGTGCACCACTACTACGTGCGTGCACTCAATGCCTCACCACTGAAAGTAGTGGTGGAACGTGCTTCACTCCATGTCACACAAGCTAGCAAGCTAAGGGGATTATGTCACTCACTGGGAGTGGAAGTAGTGGTGGGAGTAACCAGTGAGTGCATGGATGTGTTTCCCTCTGGGTGCGGGTTTTGCATGGCATGGTATGGTATGGCATGGCATGGTGGGGCATGGTGGGGCATGGTGGGGCATGCGGGTGAGGGAGTGGGGATTGCATTCGCGGGAGGGTTACCCTCAGAGGGTTCCTAAAACGGGAAGGAACTGAGCTCACTGATTCTGGAAATACTGTTGGAAAGTCCCTCCATGCGACCCCACGAAATCACTGCGTGCTGTTCTCCCTTCTGGGTCCCTCCCCACCAGCTGGTACACCAGACACGCACCACCAACCAATGCACCCCGCAGTCCCACACCCACGCACCCCATTATCCCATGCAAAGCTCACTGGTTCTGGAAATACTGCTGGAAAGTGCCTCCATGCGGCCCCACGAATCCACTGCGTGCTGTTCTTCCCTCAGGGTCCCTCCCCACCAGCTGGTACACCAGACGCGAATGCACCGCACATGCCACCATGCCGTGCAGTTCATGTTCCTCCACAGGCCCACGAGCACACACGAGAAGGGAGGTGGTACCAGGGGCATCCTGAGTGGTCTTTGGGACAGCAGCAGCATTGGTATCAGCAGCAGCGACATCAGCACCTTCAGCAGCAGCAGCACCATCACTATTACCATAAGCATCACGTGCGCGGGCATGAGAGGACGCCACACTACTGCCTCTCAGGGACACCACCCTGTCAACGGTCTCCCAGTCAATCCTCCCCATCACCATGCTCATCATATCATCATCCGCTCCCATGCGCATTACACCATCATCCCCTACCCCGCTCATGCCATCATCGCCTCCCCCGCACTCTCCTCCATCCACCCCTGCGCCTTCCCTGCCTGCATTCGCCCCTCTCCCATCCTTCCCTCTCTTTTCCTTCCCTCTCGCATCTGCCTCTCGAAAATATGCGGCTGCCCCTTTGCCTCTTTCGTCCCCTCTTCCCACTCCTGCGCCTTCCCCGCCTGCATTTGTTCCTCTCCCTTCCTTCCCTCTCCCTTCCTTCCCTCTCCCATCCTTCCCTCTCGCATCTGCCTCTCGAAAATATACGCCTGTCCCTTTGCCTCTTTCGTCCCAGCCTCCCTCCCCCAAGCAGGGCAGCACGAGGCAGTAGTGGGATGCGGTCCAGAAGGCACCAAAGGGGCGCACAGCGGTGCTGATGGGTGTGGGCTGCGTGAGGCCGAAGCAGCAGCAGCAGCAGCAGCAGAGTCGTTCTTAACAACAACAGCTGCTGCGGATCCAGCTGTTGCAGCAACAGACTCAGATTCAGCAGCAGCAGAAGCAGCGTGGGCGAGGATGGGAGCATGGTGCATGAGGTCCCATCTGTCCAACGCCATGCTGAACAGGCGCATGTGGTAGCACATGGCGCTGGCCAGCTGAGGGGCAGGGGGGAGAACAGGTAGAAGGGGAAGAAGGGAGGGTGCAGGTGGGTGCGGGTGGGTGTGTGGTTCACCAGGGCCCATCCCATAAATCCAACACCTGCCATGCCGAACAGGCGCATGTGGTAGCACATGGCGCTGGCCAGCTGAGGGGCAGGGGGGAGAAGGGGGAGAAGGCGGAGAAGGGGGAGAAGGAGGGGTGCAGGTGGGTGTAGAGAACTCATGCGTCCAGACACCTGCACGAGCTGAACCTGAGCCTGAACCTGAACCAGAACCTGAACCAGAACCTTCTGAATCACCTGAAGCACCTGAATGGCATGAGCACAACTGACCTGCTGGGGCGAGAATTGAAGGGCTCCAAGAGGCGAGAGTCGGACAAATCCCGAAGCAAGTGAAGGAGGTTGCGTTGCTGAGTGGTGGGGAACCGCAGGTGAGTCGCCGGCAGAGGGAACACCTGCAGTAAGAGAAGCAGTGGCAGCAGCGGTCACGCCAGCAGAAGATCCTAAAGCTGTAGCAGCTAACCCCACATTTGTAGCAGCGGAGGTCTTGCATCTGTCAGCAGCTAACCCCACATCTGTAGCCGTAGGTCTTGCATCTCTAGCAGCAGCGCAAGCTCCGAAATACTTGGAGCAAAGGGGGATTTCCATGTGTGCCACGTCAGCATCCAACGGGCCAATGGCAGGCGACGTCAGCAGCATGAACCCGGAGAAGCACTCTGTGCTGCACGTCCCGCTACTAGCATCTCCACCACCAGAGCTCGAGGTGGAGGAGAAGAAACGGAGAGAATAGGCATGGAAGGGACCGATACTGGGACATGCTGGGGTGGTAGATTCGGCTGCTGCTGATGGTTCATCTGCTGTTGCTGCTACAGATGTCGCTGCTGTTTGTAATGAATCATCTGCTGACGGTGCTGCTGTTTCTGCTGGAATGGGTGCTGTTGGTGACATGGCATCTGGCGTTGCACGGTCCGCCATGATATGTGGAGACAAGATTCACAGAAACGGCGGGCTGAACCTCGCTCATTGACAACGCAGTGAACTCTAGGAAATTTAGCGATCTAGGGAATTGTAGGAAGAATTAGCTCAAGCGCAATCTGCAGTTTGAGGCGCCTAAAAAAAATCAGCTCATCACCAAAGTGCAATCTGCAGCGAAGGCAAACTTATGCTCCGTCTAATCAGCTGCGAGACGCCTCAGCTACCGTCGGTGACCGTGTAGCTTTCCGTGGGTTAGCGTGGCTCATTGGAACTGCGTATCCAATCGCGCGCGAAGCAGCGACAAATGCGGACGACAACGATGGAGGTCGACCATAGATTTGTGTTTCGGAGTCAAATTCTCTACTGGAATCAGTAATGATGCTGAGGTGAGGCACCTTAGAGTTTGGCTGTTTGGCGAACTTCGTCAAACGCCGCCTGATCCCTGGTTTCCTGGCTTTCGCCAAGGCCAGCGGACCAGCAATTGGAAGAGGTGCGTTCTGATTGGGTGATTTGCACTTCCATCGGGGTCGGTTTACACCGGTTTGGGGCAGATCCGGAAGGAGCACGGAGCGAAGCGCAGTGTGCTGCGTGGAGCGGATTGCACAGTAGCGCAGAAAAATCACCTCGCCTCAAGATAACCCAGTTGCAGAACAAGGGAAACTATGCTGAATAGAAAACAGATCATCCAAACGCTGTTGCTTAAGTTATGCTAGTGCAGTCTACACATAGACACAACCACAAATGAAGCACGTGCCTTTCTCCCTCCTCCCTTCCCTCGCGCCTCCCCACTTGCAGCAGCATGACGTTTGAGTCGACTAAAAGTATTCCCGCCTGTGCATGACACGCGTGGGCACTACCGCAAAGGTAGGGCGTGCCTTTCTCCGTCCACTTCTCCCCCGCGCTTCCCCACTTCCTGGAGCTTCCAACCCGCTTGGAAGTTCAGCTGCTGAAAGCCGCCCGTGAATCTGGTCGCAACTTACGCTCTTTACAGGGGGCTTACCAAGAGGAAGGTTCCAGGAAGGCCTGGAAGGATGATTTGTTGAGATCATTCGAGGTGTGAGTGGGGAAGCAAGTGGGGAAGCGCGGGAAGACAGTGAAAGTGCTGCAGCAGCTACAGCAGCACCAACAGCAGAAGCCCCAGCAGCAGAAGCACCAGCAGCAGAAGCACTACCAACAACAGCAGTAGCAGCAGCACCACCAGCAGCAGAAGCACCAGCAGCAGAAGCACTAGCAACACCAGCAGTAGCAGCACCTGCAGCACCTGCTGGGGCCGTTGTTCCCTGACTAGCCTCCGCAGATTCACCAGCAATCTTATCGAAAATAGACCCTGCCGGCCTGCGAATGGCACCTGCAGCCGCAGCAGCAGGAGGAGCAGCGGCACGAGCAACCGCAGCAGCACGGAACATTGAGGATCGTCGCGGGCTTGTAGCGTCAACTGCAGCACGGATGCCAGCAGAATGGATGCCAGCAGAATGGATGCCAGCAGAATGGATGCCAGCAGAATGGATGTCTGCATGCCACGATGCCCTTCGTCTCATGGTCCGGTAACCGCCTGCTCCCGGTGACTTAAACCCTCCCCCAGATGAAGCACCGACAGCGGCAGATGGGCTGTCCCCTTCGTCTCCTGGGTGAAGGTTCCAGGACACCCGCTTGCTGAGCCTCGGAGAAGCTGCGGAGGTGCTGGCTGATTTCAAGCTGGAGGGACGAGCAGAGGGGGATAGGGTGTTTAAAAGTGACTCTGACGAAGCTGCGTTGGCGCTGGCTGATTTCAAGCTGGAGGGGCGAGCAGCGGGGGATAGGGTGTCCAAAAGTGACTCTGACGAAGCTGCGGTGGCGCTGGCTGATTTCAAGCTGGAGGGAGAGGCAGTGGAGGAGTGAGAGGGAGAAGAAGAAGCGGCGGTGGCGCTGGCTGATTTGAGGCTTGAGAGGCGAGCAGAAGGGGAGGCGGGTGCTGGAGAAGAAGCTGCGGAGGTAGCAGGTGATTTGAGGCTGGAAAGGCGAGCAGCGGGGGTCGGGGATAGAGAGGCGGTGATGGAATGGGGAGTGAAAGGAGGGGATTTTGACGAGGGGGATGAGGGAGGGAGAGGAAGGGATGGAGATGAGGGAGTGAGAGGAGGAAATAGAGGGGGAGGGTGTGACTTCAGAGTCAACTTCGAAGGCGGCGAGGGGCAGTGGCTGGGAGGGGAGGAATGAGCTGAGTGCGTAAAAGGCCGTGCTCCAGTTGCTGCCTCAGTTGCTGCCTCAGTTGCTGCCTCAGTTGCTGCCTCAGTTTCTGCCACAGGATGCCCACTCTCAGCAACAGCAGCAGCTGTATCTGTGGCCGTGACTCCCGTAACAGCATGTGAATTTCCAGATTCCACCGCTGCTTCTGCTGCTGCTGCTGCTGCCGCCGCTGCTGCTGCTGCTGCTGATTCTGCTGCATCCGTAGCAGCAGAAACTGACATCCAACCAGAGCTGTGATGCCGGTCCTTGTGGTGCTTCATCATGGAAGCAAAGCCGTGGCTGTGCAGCCACTCCTTGAAGTCGTGACTGTGATGATGCCCGTCGCTGTGGTGTTTCATCATCGAAGCAAAGTCGCGAATGTGAAGCCAGTCGTGACTGTGATGCCCCTCCTTGTGCTTCATTATTGAGGCTGCATCGTGACTGTCTTTGTGGCTGTGAAGCCAGTGTTTAAAGTCGTGACTGTGATGCCTGTCCTTCAAGTCGTGACTGTGATGCCCGTCGCTGTGGTGCCTCATCATCGCAACAAAGTCATGAATGTGCAGCCAATCCTTGTGCTTCACCGTCGGAGCAGCATCGTGACTGTCTTTGTGGCTGTGATGCACGTCCTTCAAGTCATGACTGTGATGCCAGTCCCTGAAGTCGTGAGTGTGCAACCAGTGTTTCAAGTCGTGAATGTGATGCCAGTCCTTGTGTTTCATCTCAGAAGCAGCGTTGTGACTGTGATGCCAGTCCATGTGTTTCATCATCGAAACAAAGTCATGAATGTGAAGCCAGTCTGTCATGGAAGCAAAGTCATGGCTGTGGTCATGCCTTCCAGACCCACCTTTCACCTTTCCTCCTTCTCCCTTTCCCCCTCCCCCTCCTTCTCCTTTTCCTCCTCCCCCTCCTTCTCCTTTTCCTCCTCCCCCTCCTTTTCCTCCACCTCCTCCCCTCACATTCCCACCCAGCCTACCGGACACCATCCCCGGAAGCCCATAGCTCTCGGGCGGAGCAATCAGCCTCCACACGCCCGTGTCGCTGAGATTTGATTCGGATCTGCTCTGGCGGATTTGCTTCGCCGCCCTGCTGGACCCCGCAGCCTTGAACGGCAACGGAGCAGCCTTAGACGATAACGAATCTGACCTAGACGAGGATGAAGACGAGGGACGGTCGGAGCTTGAATGCAGAGCAGATGGAGAGAGCAAGGGAGAGGAAGAGGGAGACAAAGCAGGAGAGGGAGGTGGAAAAGAAGAGGGAGGGGAAGAGAAGGGCCAAGAGGGAACCGGGAGGGCATTGGAGGAACGGGATGCAGGTTCAGGGCTGTGCAAATCCCTATCCTGCTGCTCCTCCTGCTGCTGCTGCCGCTGTTTCTCGGATAGACGCGAGCCGCCGTGGAGTTTCTCGGGCAGATCGGAGCTGTTGTGGTGTTTCTTGAACAGGTGCAAGCTGCCATGGTGTTTCTCGGGCAGGTCCGAGATGTCAAGATGTTCCTCGGGCAAGTGCGGGCTGATTTGATGCTTCTTAAACAGGTGCAACCCGCCATGATGTTTCTCGGGCAGGTGCGAACTGTCATGATGTTGTTCGGGCAGATGCGGGCTGTCGTGGTGTCTCTTGAACAGTTGCAAGCCGTGATGATGTTTCTCGGGCAGGTGCGAACTGTCATGATGTTTCTCGGGCAGTTGCGGGCTGTCATGGTGTCTCTTGAACAGTTCCAAGCCGTGATGATGTTTCTCGGGCAGGTGCGAGCTGTCATGATGTTTCTCGGGCAGGTGCGAACTGTCATGATGTTTCTCGGGCAGGTGCGGGCTGTCATGGTGTCTCTTGAACAGTTGCAAGCGGTGATGATGTTTCTCGGGCAGGTGCGAACTGTCATGATGTTTCTCGGGCAGGTGCGGGCTGTCATGGTGTCTCTTGAACAGTTGCAAGCCGTGATGATGTTTCTCGGGCAGGTGCGAACTGTCATGTTGTTTCTCGGGCAGGTGCGGGCTGCCATGATGTTTCTCGGGCAGGTGCAAACTGTCATGATGTTTCTCTGGCAGGTGAGAGCTGTGATGGTGTCTCTTGAACAGGTGCAAGCCGTGATGATGTTTCTCATGCGGGTGTGAGCTGTCATGATGCTTCTTGAACAGTTGCAACCTGCCATGATGTTTCTCGGGCAGGTGCGAGCTGTCACGATCTTTCTCAGGCAGGTGAGAGCCACCAAGATGTTTCTCCGTGCGCTTGAGCACGGGGCGGCGCAGAGTGGGGCAGAGGATTCGCCACGTGCTGTGAGCATGCAGCACCGTCTGCTCCGCTTCCTTTGCTTGCTCCGCCTGCTCCGTTTCCCTTGCTTGCCTCGCTGCTTCCTCCGCTCTCTCCGCCTCCTCTGCTTCCTCTGCAGTCATCCCCCATTCGTCTGGTTCCCCCCCCGCTCCTAGCGTCACGTGTCCGATCATCGAATCTCGACCGTCGATTCGTGAGATTCGTCTCAGAACTCCCCCTCCGCTTCTGCCGCCCCACACTCCCCTCTCCTGGCTCTTAGCTCTCGAGTCTTGATCACCCGATCTTCTTTCCCCCCCCTCCACTGCTTCCGCGGGCGAGGGAGCGGGGGAGGCGCCGAAGCAGGGACTGGGGGAGCGACCTGCGGGGACGAGGGACAGCAGGAAGAGGGGAGGGAGGTGAGCATGGGAGGAAATGCGGGAAACGCACAGTTAAATGCATGCGCTAGTAACGAACAAGGAGGGAATACGGAGTGAAAGGAGGGGAGACAGAAACGCAAGGGGCGAGCAAGGAGAGCAAGGAGGGAACTGCGCGTGAGGGTCTGGGAGGTGAAAGAAGGGGATAGGGAAGGGGAACAAAGAAGGGGGGGCGAAGGGTCGGGGAGCGAGAGGGGAGGGGGATGGAGACGGTAGTTGAAAGAACCAGTTTTGGCGTACCTGGTGTCACGATTTCGCCAAAGGATTCCGATCCTTTCGCCCACTCGCGAACGCGATCCAACAAATCGCGCAGGGAATGTTTCAGCTTCCCGCTCGCCACCAATTCGTCGTCCGCCGCGATGGTTACAATTCTCCACGAAATCGGCATGCTGTTTTGCCCGGACCCCAGCAGTCGCAGGGGCATCGCCAGGAGCGGAAGAACGTCGTACACGTCGCCAGGGTCGCGCGTCTGCGACCCAATCTCCAGCGCCTCCAGCGGTGCGTTGTCGCACGCCGTTAGTAAGAGCGAATCGCGGAGCTCCTTAATCGACTCGTCGTTGCGGCCCGAACCGCCAAAATCACCATCATTCGCATCCCAGCGAGAGAACATCGACATGGATCGCGACGCGAGCACGCACGTCTGCGGCAGGATGCCCAGATTCCACGGCGACGCCTCCAGTAGGAGCGCCGCCGACGACGATTGCGACGACGGCGATTGCGATGGAGACAACGATTGCGACGGCGGTGGCGACGACTCCGACGGCGACGACGGCGATTGCGAAGACTCGCAAACGGTCTGCACTTTAATACGACTGCCGTCTAGGCCCAATACGACCTTCCGCTTCTCCCGCAGGAAAAGAGGGTCGTCGCGGCGCCGAATCTTTTGGCTTCCGCGATCGGCGGAGGGGGATCCGGCGGACCGGCAGACGAAGGAGAAAGCGGAGGTGGGGAAGGGGGAAGCGGGGTGGCGCGGGGAGGGGGAGGAGTTGGCGGGAGAAGGGGGAGGCAGAGGATCATCGTGATGATGATGGCGACTACAATGACGGCGCGAACGATGATGCTCATTATCATTATCATCATGATGGTCATGATGACCTAAATCCTCATCACCGTGATGATGATGGCGGTGATGATCATTTTCATCATCGTCATCATCATGGCGGCGATGGCTATGATGATCCTTATCATCGTGATGATGATGATGGCGACGGTGGTGCAAAAATGCGGAGAATCCGGAGCGGGAATGAGTTCTCGTAGGCGCCGCCGGTGGGGGAGGAGGAATGAGGAGGATGTCATGCCAGATGGAGGACACGTGGCCGGCGTTGATTAGCGGGAGAATGCTCGTGGATGATCCGACGGTCCGATTTGGAGCCATGATGATGTTGTAACCACCTCTAGTAGTGAAGGTAGAAAAGCAGCAGTGAACTACTCGTGCGATGCGCGGGTGATGGGGTGGAAATAGAAAGGCATCTAAGCTGCAGCTTCTATTAAAAAATGACTATGTGATCAACAAAGGCTTTCCCTGCTTTCTCGTTCTCAGAGGCTTCTGAGAAAGAAAAACAGTGGCAGCGTCTTGTTGGTTGGACGAATTGCCCCGAGAATTCATCCCAAAGACGGAGCCGCGGTGAATATGCCACGAGCAGCAGTGGTCCATCCGACTCGGAGATCTGCATATCATGCAGACAGGAAAACGACGACGTCTACCGTCAAACCTGACATCACATAATATCGTTATTCGTCTCCTGTCTGGTGCCGCAGGGTAACGCTCGCCGCTCGTTCCGGCCCAGGAAGCAGTCACGGGGAAAACCAGCCAATGAAAACACACTACTGTCACCCACAGTAGGTTCCCTGCTCGCGCCGGAAGCGTACGGCAGGGGTCTGTGCGACTGAGAATCTCGTGAAAAAAAAAAAAAACAACAACAACAACAATCGCACGCTACAGTGTAAGTCACTTGTCATGGTGGTCCTAAAATACTGTAGTGCAAAATGCGAGTTCTTCGCCAGATGCATGACTCCCTCTCTTTGCGGGATCCGTCGATTAATGCCTGGGAAGGCGACTCGGATGTTGTGGCTCCTATTTTAGTCAAGTTGAGTTCGTGGGGCCAAGTGAAGGTTTCGTGTGGTTCAGATCAACTCATGTTTCGTACAAGCGGTTGGATACGATGATGTGCAATCTGGAGCGGTACATCGTTCGACCATATCTGCCTGAACATTCATGGTGTACTCGAACTGTGACCTCACTTTGGAGGGAGGAACTGGTGCGGGGGTGGTTTGGGGGGCTGCTTTTTCTGTCTAGTCATTTTTCTGCGTACTCACTATATTTACTCGCCTCTAAACAGAGTTCTTGTTGGTCTGTCGACTCTGGTAACGTGGCTTCTAATATCGAAGAAATGCGGAACCCTGCATTTGTGCCACGGCTGCGTTCTGCGGGCGCATTAGCCCGCATCAATGTACATTGCATTTTTTTTTCGACGTTCCAGGAAGCCTTCTCTGATAACCAGCCCGAAGGTTATCAAGGCTCGCGATAAGCTCTTGGTTGCCGAGGCAAACCAAGCCCGAATGCCTGCATAACGGTCTTTTTGGCGACCACAAATTAAAATGTCGCCGCGTTCCGCAAAATTCATCGTCCTAGCAATCTTTTTTTTCCTTGATGCGCGCATGATGCAACGCCGAGAAGACGCATGATGCGCGCATCAGCTCGAATTCGAGCCATTTTTTTTTCAATTTTCCGTCGGGCAGCCCAGTTCATGCCCTTGGGGAAGGCGTCAGGTTCGTGCTTCCCTGCTTCGACGAACCCAATAAATTGAGGTCGAGATTGGGAATATCTAAATTTCAAATCTCCATTTCCCGATTTCCCAAACCTCAATTTCAATTTTCCGAGCCTCTATTTTACAATTTCAAATTCCTCATTCCCGAACCTCAATTTGTCAATGTGCGGATCAGGCCGAGCCTAGGGCGCATCAGAGCTGATGCGGCCGCAGAACGCAGCCCATGTGTGCTGCTGGTAGAAGAATCCCTTGCAGTCCAGCGTCACATGAGAGAAAATTTCGGCAAAATTCATTGATACTCAAATTATGCCAGGGGCGCTTTGCAATCGTACTCAACCAACAAATTCTCGGTATATTATTTACGTGTATTGTTGTGTCATATTAAAAGCACAATTCTGAATCAAAGGCACCACCAGCTACTTTCCTGCACATACCCCTGAAGACAAAACAATTGAAAAAACTAATACCCTTATATAGCCATGACACAATCTAAGAGAATCAACCCTAATCGTGCTCTGACGTAGGGGCGCGCAAAATATATTTGAGCCCCCATGTTCGAGGTCAGCAGGTCCACGGTCAACGGAGGCTTGACGGTGTCCTCGACCCCATTCCGTTGAGCTAATCACAGTTTGCATCATTTTTTCACAATCGGATTTTCGTTATGTTTACACAATTTGCGCTCGATACAAATTTCCTTCGTAAAGTGTTGACGATTCCATGATTTAGTTGTGTCTATTCTTGGTAGCACCTCGACACAATTATTCATATTTAAGTTCGGTAACTGTGTTCTGTTTCAGTCACATTGCGGATGTGTTTTTAGCGTGAAAATCGTGATAGAAAAGCGAGATCCAATAAGCGATGTGATTGAAAATCGACAACCAATCAGCAATGAGAAATCTAGGTTGAGTACCGAGGCAAAATGCTCCTGGCATAATTTGAGTATCAATGAAGTTGGCCGAGAAAATTTGGGAGAAAAAGCATGAGATGAGAGCAAAATATCGAGAACAAGTCTTTTTTTTTTTTTTTTTTTGCTTGTTCATGTTACCATTTCTCTGATTGGGCTGCTGCCCTCCGCTCTGCAGCTGCTGCTGCCCTCCGCTCTGCAGCTGCTGCTGCCCACCACTCTGATTGGGCTGCTGCCCTCCACTCTGCAGCTGCTGCTGCCCTCCGCTCTGCAGCTGCTGCTGCCCTCCGCTCTGATTGGGCTGCTGCCCTCCGCCCTGCAGCTCATGCTGCCCTCCGCTCTGCAGCTGCTGCTGCCCTCCGCTCTGCAGTTGCTGCTGCCCTCCGCTCTGATTGGGCTGCTGCCCTCCGCTCTGCAGCTGCTGCTGCCATCCGCTCTGCAGCTGCTGCTGCCATCCGCTCTGCAGCTGCTGCTGCCCTCCGCTCTGCAGTTGCTGCTGCCCTCCGCTCTGCAGTTGCTGCTGCCCTCCGCTCTGATTGGGCTGCTGCCCTCCGCCCTGCAGCTCCTGCTGCCCTCCGCACTGCAGCTGCTGCTGCCCTCCGCTCTGATTGGGCTGCTGCCCTCCGCCCTGCAGCTCCTGCTGCCCTCCGCTCTGCAGCTGCTGCTGCCCTCCCCTCTGCAGCTGTAGTAGTTTGGTTGCCCGTCGCCTCCGGCCCCGCCCCCGCACTCGGGGCCTTTCCGCTTGGTCCGAGGAGTCGGGGTTGGCATTCTCACCCTCCATGGGGCTTGATTCCAGCTCGTCGGTGTATGCCTCGGCCTCTATCTCCACATCCAACTCCCCCAGTGGGTCTTGCTGCCCTCCGCTCTGCAGCTCCTCCTGCCCTCCACTCTGCAGCTCCTGCTGCCCTCCACTCTGCAGCTGCTGCTGCTCTCCACTCCGCAGCTCTTGCTGCTCTCGGCTCTGCAGCTCCTGCTGCCCTCCACTCTGCAGCAGCTGCTGATCTCCTCTTTGCAGCTGCCGCTGCCCTCCGCTCTGCAGCTCCTGCTGCCTTCCGCTCTGCAGCTGCTGCTGCCCTCCCCTCTGCAGCAGTTGCTGCTGCCCTCCGCTCTGCAGCTGCTGCTGCCCTCCCCTCTGCAGCTGTAGCAGTTTGGTTGCCCGTCGCCTCCGGACCCGCCCCCGCACTCGGGGCCTTTCCGCTTGGTCCGAGGAGTCGGGGTTGGCATTCTCCCCCTCCATGGGGCTTGATTCCAGCTCGTCGGTGCCTGCCTCGTCCACCATCTCCACATCGCTCATCCACAATGTCTCTTGCTGCCCTCCACTCTGCTCCTCCTGATGCCCTCCACTCTGCAGCTCCTGCTGCCCTCCACTCTGCAGCTCCTGCTGCTCTCCACTCTGCAGCTCCTGCTGCTCTCCACTCTGCAGCTCCTGCTGCTCTCCACTCCGCAGCTCATGCTGCCCTCCCCTCTGCAGCTCCTGCTGTGCTCTGCTTTGCAGCTGACGCTGCCCTCCACTCCGCAGCTGCTGCTGCCCTCCGCCCTGCAGCTGCTGCTGCCCTCCGCTCTGCAGCTGCTGCTGCCCTCTGCTCTGCAGCTGCTGCTGCCCTCCGCCCTGCAGCTCATGCTGCCCTCCGCTCTGCAGCAGTTGCTGCTGCCCTCCGCTCTGCAGCTGCTGCTGCCCTCCGCTCTGCAGCTGCTGCTGCCCTCCGCACTGCAGCTGCTGCTGCCCTCCGCCCTGCAGCTCATGCTGCCCTCCGCTCTGCAGCAGTTGCTGCTGCCCTCCGCTCTGCAGCTGCCGCTGCCCTCCGCTCTGCAGCTCCTGCTGCCCTCCGCTCTGCAGCTGCTGCTGCCCTCCGCCCTGCAGCTCATGCTGCCCTCCGCTCCGCAGCAGTTGCTGCTGCCCCCCACTCTGCAGCTGCTGCTGCCCTCCGCTCTGCAGCTGCTGCTGCCCTCCGCTCTGCAGCTGCTGCTGCCCTCCGCTCTGCAGTTGATGCTGCCCTCCGCTCTGCAGCTGCTGCTGCCCTCCGCCCTGCAGCTCATGCTGCCCTCCGCTCTGCAGCAGTTGCTGCTGCCCTCCGCTCTGCAGCTGCTGCTGCCCCCCACTCTGCAGCTGCTGCTGCCCTCCGCTCTGCAGTTGCTGCTGCCCCCCACTCTGCAGCTGCTGCTGCCCTCCGCTCTGCAGCTGCTGCTGCCCTCCGCCCTGCAGCTCATGCTGCCCTCCGCTCTGCAGCCGCTGCTGCCTCGTCCCCTCCGGCGGCTGTCGGCCTCTTTCCCGGCTCCCCTGCTGTCCGCCCGCCTGCAGGTCCCACCGGCCCCCCACCGGCGGCTCCCGTTGCCTGTCTCTTCCTGCCGCCCTCCGACGCCGCCATTCCTGCCGCCGTGCGAGACGTGGCACGACTAGGGGAGAGTCGACGTCGGTCGAGCAGGCACTGTGCCGCGTTACGCTCTCAGGTAGGCCACTCCTGCGAGTGTTGTGCTGTTGTTGCAAGCGCCTACGATGCTCTTCCCAAGCTGCCCTCGCAGCCTCCAATGCCACATCGGCGGCCAGACTCTTGTCGCCCATTGCTTCTCCCCCCTCTTCGTTGACGGCCGAAGGCTCTGAGACGCCGCTCTGGCCAGCCCGGTTGCTGGGGGGGTTCTTGGGGGATTGTCCACCTGTAATTGCTGAAATCGGGCGGTTCGCTTCAAAACACCGCCTCTTGGGTGGTTTGCCGAAGAGGCACAGAATGTCTTCGTGGCGGAGGCGACAGATGCGTGGGCTCTGGAGCGCACCCTCAGGCCCCCCCCGTCTTTTGTGGCCAGCCCCTAGGCAGAGCGACCCCGTGACTGCCGCCGTGCTTGTCCCCCCTTTGCCCCCGATGGCCTCCGTCGTGCCGTTGTTTGCGCCGTCTCCCGCCCAGACCCCGGGGTCCCCGGGGCCTGGGTCGTCTTCCATGATAGCGTTTCAGGTGGTACCTAGTGGTTTCTGCGGCGATTCCGCCCTGCTGAGGCGAGATCGCGCTGCCTGGTGGCGTCGAGGCGCTGCTAAGGGGCGATTTCGCGCTGCCTAAGGCGTCTGGCGCTGCTGAGGCGAGATCGCGCTGCCTGGTGGCGTCGAGGCGCTGCTAAGGGGCGATTTCGCGCTGCCTAAGGCGTCTGGCGCTGCTGAGGCGAGATCGCGCTGCCTGGTGGCGTCTGGCGCTGCTAAGGGGCGATTTCGCGCTGCCTAAGGCGTCTGGCGCTGCTGAGGCGAGATCGCGCTGCCTGGTGGCGTCTGGCGCTACTAGGGGGCGATTTCGCGCTGCCTAAGGCGTCTGGCGCTGCTGAGGCGAGATCGCGCTGCCTGGTGGCGTCGAGGCGCTGCTAAGGGGCGATTTCGCGCTGCCTAAGGCGTCTGGCGCTGCTGAGGCGAGATCGCGCTGCCTGGTGGCGTCGAGGCGCTGCTAAGGGGCGATTTCGCGCTGCCTAAGGCGTCTGGCGCTGCTGAGGCGAGATCGCGCTGCCTGGTGGCGTCTGGCGCTGCTAGGGGGCGATTTCGCGCTGCTTAAGGCGTCTGCTTAACAAGTCTTTTGGTGAGAGCAAACAAATTTGTTAGATCAAGCGTCAGGTGAGAGCAAAATTGTGAGAACAAAGCCAATCATCCCATGGTACCCAGCGGATGTATTCGACAACCGTTCTAAAACGTACCGCACCAGAGGAAACTGTGTATTGTTCTTGTGTTGAAAGCTGGATTCCTGAATCTGGATTCTGGATTCTGCTGTTTTCTTCGCTCGCTCGGCCAAGCTACTACCACTGCACACTGCACAAACACATATCCTAACAATGACTCACGGAAGGAATTCAGGATTCGAGATTTGGACTTCCGAGGAGAAGGATGTGAACCCACACCCTTGGGATTATACCTTTTCTTGGAATTTCCGACTTCGCTATTATTCTTTGGTACTGTACGAAAAGGAAAACCACCACCTCGTCACGCACAACAGCTGTCAATGTACACGAGAATTTCACCAGAATGAGAGTAGGACCTGGCACCGCCTCTTGAGCTGCGGAGCCAAGAGCCACGTGGCTTCTCGAGAGGCGTTGCTGCTGCATGCATGCCACTGCAGACTCTAAACGTACCGTAAGCACGAGCCGGGTGTTGATTACCTGTAACACTGTACTAGAGCGCGTCACCGTATTTGACGCTTTTATCGAGCTCATTTTACTGCGTTGCACGGTCTGGGATCAATATCCCTGTTGTTTGGCAGAATAATCAGTACCAAGGGTAGTACATCGCTCCATCGGAGTAAATTAGCACCTCTTTAAATTCCTCTTACGCCGCCATGGCTAGTTCGAGCACCTGCCTGATTAGTAGTGCTACCAGAGTCCTTACGTCGACTGTTTCCGACAATTCTCGTTTCAATTCCTCCCACCGGAGCAGCCACACCACCGCTACACTCCCCTCTTGCTATTGTCACATCCATCGTCCGAACACCCTGGGTCACCGTCCGACGATCTCGCACCAACACCGCCGGCCAATCACGGTGTGCCAGGTGTCGCTCGTCGACGACGGCCCGTTCGTCGCAGCGATCGCCACGTCCATCGCACTCTCCGCCGCGCCGCTCGTCCTACCGTCGCTCCCGTTCCTTTCGCAGAAGACGAAAGGATCCGACGATGACGATGCTGCAGCAGCGGCGGCCGCGGCGCTGCTCGCGGCGGGAGTAGGGGTGGATGACGGGAAGGGGGAGGCGGAGGGGGAGGAAGCGGAAGGGGGAATGTCTCTAGGGGAGTTGCGCGCGGGAGTAATGACTGTGGTCAGCCTCATTCCGTTCTTCAACTGGCTGGTGATTATATTGAATGACTGGTTGCTATGGATGGACTGTTTTCATTGGTGGGAACTGCGTGACTCATGGATGCATGGGATGACTGGGCCACGTGGCTTGGGTGCTTGTAATCACATGGCTGTTCAATCCCCTTTTTTTTCCATTGCGGTCTAAAATGTGATTTTCCAACTCAGTGTGATGCCAAAATACGAACTGTGATTGTCTATATTTATGTAATTGCATCAGTTGTCATTACTGTGATGTGATGTGATTATATGATGGCAGTGCTGGGTACTGGCATGGATCGACTCTCGCGATGTCAAGTACATCCTCTTCGCAGCCGTCTATGCTGCACCTTACGCCAGGTATGCATCATCCATGCCAGGTGTGCATCATCCATGCCAGGTGTGCGTCATCCATGCCAGGTGTGCATCATCCATGCCAGGTGTGCATCATCCATGCCAGGTGTGCATCATCCATGCCAGGTGTGCATCATCCATGCCAGGTGTGCATCATCCATGCCAGGTGCGCATCATCCATGCCAGATGTGCATCATCCATGCCAGGTGTGCATCATCCATGCCAGGTGTGCGATGCCTATCATCACCTGTGCCAACCGTTAGCTTGTATCAGGAATGCAACCCCAAATCTTATGCGAGGTATGCAACACCTAACAATCTTAACTTCCCAGCATCAACCCCCTCTCTAGACCCCCTCTCTTGACCCCCTCTCCTGACCACCCTGTCTTGACCGCTCGTTGCAATTCTGTTTCTGATCCCACAGGGGAGTCTCAGGGCGTGTTCCTACGGCCCCTTATCAGGCCAACCTCTTATCAAGCTCGCTTCTGTCAAAACACACTGAAAATTCCCTAAACCCAAAAACCCTCGCTACTTTTACCAGGCAAGGCTGACAAGAGGTTTGCCTGATATGAGCGTAGGAACACGCCCTCACCCTGGCAATGGACGGAACTGGCTACAACTCTTCCCCACCCTCACTTGACCCCCTTCTCTTGACTGCCTTCTGCCTCGCTGTTGCTGTCTGACACAGGGGCGGTCTCACCCTGGCAGTGGACGGCAACTGGTTACCTCTCTTCAGCATTGCAGCGTGTGCATTGCATGTCCAGGTCAGCATGTGCCTTCTTGTTTTGCTTGCCTTGGGATCATTGGTTGTTTCTGACTTGAACTGAATGTGCTGGCTTTTTAAATTGCATTGAAGTGGCCCAGGCGCCGTTTGAGTGGTCATTCTACCGGGGGGTAATCATGCACCTTGTCATTTTACCTTGGGATTGTCGGGATGGGTTCTGACCAGGTTGACAATGTGGCTGTGGAGCGAAGGAAGCTGGCCTCCAAGATTAAGTGCGCCAAGGTGGGTACCAGAAACGCACTTGCGATTAAGTGTACCAGTTTCTTAATTTTACTATCTCTCACTCTTGTTCTTTGCACCTCCTGTTTTCAAGTCAGCGTTTTCTTGATTACTGTACCTACCGCTTCTTGAATCGTTTTTTTTCTTCTTCTTCTTCTTCTTCGCATCCAACTCCTGTTTGTAATCCTCCCTGCATCGTCCCTCCCTGGCAGAAAAAGGGCAGCCTTCATGGTAATTCCAAGGACAAAGGCAGCAACGCAAAGCAGAGCAAGTGATGGGTGTGGAGGAGTGGAGAGGGGATGATGTGGGTGGGTGGTACAATGAGACAATTGCAGGTTCACAACAGCATGCAACCAGTTTGTTATATGCTCTGTACAGCTAATGTACTGCTCTGCTGGCTAGCTCCAGCGTCTATACTGCACTTGTTGCATGTGTGAAATTGTGCATGGGTTGTGTATAATCTTGTACAGTTGATATTGAGCTATTCTTGTAAGAAGTCTTGCTTTGTTATGGTTTTTATTGATTTCAAATAGCTTGGTTCTTCCCATACATTAGCATGTTTAAATTTACACCGGAAACTTCCTGTTATGGCAAATTCTAGCACACCTGGTCACTTATCATGAAGCAACAAAATCGAACTCCCGTCCTCCTTTCAAGAAATTCAGGAACCGTCTCTCTGTTGCCTGCCTTCGCTTCACCTCCACTTGCTGCTTCAGCATCACATCACAGTAACGGCCGAATCCCTTGCCAGGGGCAGGCACCTCACACACAGCATCCCCTCCTGCTGTTGAAACAGCCGGTCCTTTAACCTGACAGTGAATCGGGCTGCTTGCTCGTCTAGTTCGCATGGTACTACTGCTGCTGCTGCTGCTGCTGCTGCTTCGGCTGCTGTGAGCGCTTCCAGACTCCCACCCAGGGCTCAAGACACCTGCTGTTGACCCACCAGCACCAGCAGCATGCCTGATGTTGCGTGCTCCAGACGCCCTCCTATCCTCCCATTGAACAGGGCTTGCAGACCACGAGCTACTGCTGCTGCCAGTGCTGCTGCCGCTTCCAGTGATGCCACCGCTGCCAGAGCTGCCAGTGCTGCCGGTGCTGCCCCTGCGGCTGGTCCTGTGAATCGGAGATTCCAACCACATCTGGGGAGGCTGCGACTGTGGCGCTACTGCTGATGCTGCTGCCGCACATGCATTGTCATAGCTGCTGAAATCAGCAACGCGGGATGATCTACCCTTCCACCAGAGACCAAGACCTGGGCTGCCAGGAATTTTCCTCCTTGCCGGACCACCATCGCTATCCCTCCTGCTCTTGCTGTTGCTGCTGCTTCTGCTGCTTCTGCTGCTGCTGCCAAACCTCCAGCTGCTACCAAACAGCCCGCCACCTGTCTTGCCTCCTACATCCTCATTCCCCTTCCCACTGCTGCCAAACACTCCCTTGCTCTCTGAAGCACCTCCTCCTGCCACGATTCTCTCAAAATCACCCGGCTGCATCTGCTGACACAGGTCGCTGTGGTGGGGCCGGTAGCTAGCTGCTTCATGAGAGGACGTAGAAGCAGAGTCCACAGGGATCAGGCCCAGGTCTTCAAACCGAGCTTGTGATAGGGAGGAGGCCAGGGAGGTAGCCGGGGAGGAGGGTGTGGGGAAAAGTGAGGAGGAAGAGGGGAGGAGATTTGCTTCTGTGAGCTTGCGAGCTCTTTCCTCTGCCTTGCGCCTGCTGCTGCGGAAGCCAAACCGCCCCCTGCCAACCCATCCCGCTGCTCCTCCTGCTTCTCCTTCTGCGTCTGCCGCCGCCGCTGCCACTGCGGCTGCTCCAGGGCTGAGCAACCTCCCCCTGGAGACGGAGGATCTGAAGCGAGGAGGAGCACTCATGCGGCGATTTGTACCCCTGGTCTGCGAGAATACCTGAGGCGCCTCAGGAAGATGCATGCCTCCTGTGGCGTGTGAGTCAGTGGCAGGGGCGTGGTCGAGGGAGAGGGGAGGGAGGGCGTGCGCATGGAAGGAGGAGGAGAATGAGGAGGCGGGAGAATAGAACGCCTCCGACTCTCCTCCATCCCACTCTTCGTCGTCCTCCACCCCATCCCCTCCCATCCCTGTTCCGCCCGCCCCTGCAGCTGCTGCTTCTGCCACTGCTGCTGACACTCCTCCTCTCCCTCCTCCCCCAAGTCTCCCCCCCTGCTTCTCCTTCCGGGCACGGTGCTCCAGCATGGCCTCTCTGATCCGCACATACAGCTGCTCCTCCTCCAGAACCTTCCGGAACGCCCTCCCCTTGCTGCCCTTCGTATCCGCCAGATCCGATTCGATCTCCTTACTGAACACCGTGAACAGCATCCCGCCAAACCCCTTGGTGACGAAGTTGACCAGTGCGGGCGGCATCTTGAGATCGACGGTGAAGATTCCCCGATAGTGGCAGCGATTCTCTCCCAGGTCCTTCACGGTGAAGCCACCGTTGATGGCCATGCGGACCACGCCGGAGGGTACAGGTGGAACAGCTTCTCGGGGGAAACCGTGCTTGGCTGGGTCGATGAGAGCGTTGTCTTCTGGCGGCTGCAGAGGGTGGAGGCAAGGAAACAATTGTGATACACGGGAGAAAATAGGGACGGAAATGGATTTTTGAGTCGACTCAAAAATCAATTGTGATACACGGGAGAAAATAGGGACGGAAATGGTAATTATATGCGGGGTGATTGCGCACGTTCGAGAGCAAAAAGGCGAACTGAATTCCCACGACCAAGGGACTTTTCGAGCCACGCCACCGGTTCATGACCACGCCGAAGCTACTCACCGACTGAAGGACCGTGGCGACCATGCCCGTCTTGGCGTCGTACACTTTTGAGCGTAGAGGCAAACTCCTTTCTGTAGAGAACCCAAGGGGCCGTTTCTAACCACGCCACCGTTCACGACTCATGATTAAGACACTCACCGTCTGCAGGACCGTGGTGACCATGCCCGTGTTGGCGTCGTATACGCTCAAGAGCATAAACGCAAACTCCTTCCCGGGAAACGGCCAAGGGGTTCTGAACCTGCTCGAGCAAAGCGATCCAACCAGCAACAAGAAAAGGATATCTGAACCACTATTGGCAGGACTAGTTGACAAAGATTTTAAAATTGCTTCCTTTTTTGGGGGGTGACTGGTAAGTGCATGCTACTGTAGGAACGGCTGTGTTGGGAAATCAAGGACATCCATGATATTTGTGTGATGGTCCAAAGCTGTGGTAATGAGGCACCTTATGTAGGGGATACCTTCTGTGAGGGACTACCTCATATAGGTGAGGTCGAAGCCGTCGCCAATTCGCTTCAGGTACCGGTTTTCAATCACCTTGTACACAGGCATGTTCTGCTGCGGCCACCTGAAACCACAAAAGACCAACAGAGGGACACCGAAGTTGCCAAGTCATGACGACGGCTGTTGCTGATGCTGATGCTGCCAATATCGGTCAAGCATGCAGCGTACCATTCTTTAAAGAAGGTGACATCGCGAGTCATGGCGACCGCTGCTTCCACGGGTCCGTTCACGATCCCCTCCATCAGCAGCGTGTGCACCTCCGTCCCTTCCGGACCCTTCCGCACCATGGCTCGATGCTCCGGACCCTCCTCGCACACCTGCACAAAGGGGTTGCAGTTCCCTTCATGTCAACAGGATAATTCTTTCATCGAAGCGGAAAGTGTCAATGATATATTTTTTCTTCTCCTATTCGTGCAACCTTCAACTCGCCGGCATTTAATCTGCCTACATAATGGCGTGCAAAACTCAACATCACACACGCTTCTGATTCAGGTTCATTAAGCCTCGATGCATGATCAGGCGTCGTACCTTCCATGCTCGGCGATCTCCAGGTGCCAAATCCTTCATGGCATCGGCTTTAGCGCTGTTCATGTCGTTCAACACCCCCATCATTTCCCCCGACCAGTGATTTATAACATCCTCCGACGGATTTGTGGCTCCTGGACCTGGACAGAGAAAGCCAATTTCCGGCAAGATTGAATGATGAAAGTAATAATGTATATTCGCGGTTTACAGTCTGAGTTTTGGACTTCCACTTAGTGCACCATTTCCGCCGGAAACCGTTAAGTAATCAGAATCATGAAGAAAGGGAAAAAAAAAAAAAAACGATACCTCGTTGCGTTAGCTGCTTCCGAATCGCTGTTCGGACAGCTCCGAGGCTGCTCCATTCGGGAGCCTCCAGAGCATCGTCTAAGGCAGTCATGCCATCCACAAGCGGCATGGCTGCACCTCAAACTTGTCACTTTGATACTGAGATAGTATAGTGAAATTATGGAGGTCAATGACACTGAGGCAGTTACGTCTTTGCGAGTATCTACTAGACACGCTGCTGCATGGGTTACTCCGCTTCAAACATGCCAAAGCGCATATTCCTTGAAGCGCGCGCAAAGAAGCGGAATAGTGCCGCAAGCAGCCTACAACAGGGTATGACGCCCCGCACCAACTGGAGTAAATAGCAGCCGAGTATGAAAAAGCTGATTGATCAGCGAAGCTTACTTGAGCCCTGATCGCCGGAATGCTGTTCCAGTCCGAAGGTGATTAGTGCAGTGCAGGGTAGAGCTGTGGATGAAATCGAGGCAAATGTTTGATTTGGCAGCTCAACAATTCCCAAGGGGGATGATGGCTTTGACGCGCCTCGAGCTCGGGAATGCCGGAAAAATGTCGAGCCCCTTTGGTCAGTTCCACATCAAAACTGGACTTCGGGCTGTCTGTGTGGGCTGATGGTGGAAGTTTTTTGTGACGGAATGCTATCGCATGGACGACGGGATGGGAGGCTTGATGGGTGGACACATCCGACGTGGCCCTCGCTCCATGGTTGATTGTGGAGCCGTCAGCATCCATTGGGGTCGCTCATTTGCGGGAAATACTCAGAGCCCAAATGCTGGCACGTTGTGACCCCCGTGCGACACTTTATGGGGAGCACTGTCAATTCGCTTCTGAATTTTCCTGTCACCCCGAAAACGAATTGCATGTGGAATCACGTAATGTCACGGGCAGGTTTTGTGGCAGACCACTTCGGCAAAACAGAAATTTGTCGGCCAACCGGTGCCTTTGCTGACCCATCACGATTGATGACAATCAACCAAACCGAAGGAGATTCCTCTGACGACAACTGACCAGAATATACGAGCCAACCAGCTGCAGTAGAGAGTAGAGGTCCCCCCAATCAGACCGAAACACAGCAAAAAGCTCCGTTGCCGGGATTTGAACCCGGGTCGCCTGGGTGAAAGCCAGGTATCCTAACCAGGCTGGACGACAACGGACGTTAGCGAGTTTAAAAATGAAAATAAAGTAACTTTTTCTTAATTATGGATGTCTCCCACATCCCCCTTACTCATTTCCCACATCCCCACCATGGCTCTCAGTTATTCGCCAACATGCCTGGCTGCTGGTTCCGAACTGACACTCCAATGCGGCGTTCCCCCAAATTTCGTCTCCAATGGCGGCAATGATCCCCTCCAATGGAAGGGCTCCACGTTGCACCTCAAGGCACGGCGGCATTTCGCAGCGCCCGTAGCGCGCACTGCGAAAGTGGTCGCTATGGCGGGAAAGAAGGGGAAGAAGGGCGGGGGAGGCGGCGGAAGAGCCGGCGGAGGCGGAGGTGGCGCAGGTGGCGGCGGAGGCGGAGGCGGCGGCGGCGGGGGGAAGCTGAAGTCGGCGGGCAGCAAGGCGCCGTCGGCGGAGCGCGGAACGGCGTACCAGAACGAGACGCGCAAGATTATCCTCAGCGTGAACCGCCTCCGCAAGGCACGCCTATTATTACTACCATACTGCGTCTTCTAGTAGCGGGGATTCCCCATTACGTGCGGCCGAGCCCTGCGCGACAGGGATTCAGGGTTCTAGAGAAGCGATGCGGGCGCGGGAAAGGTTGATTCCATCCTAGTTGACGCACCGCTCTTAAATTCTTCAAAAGTAACTCACGCGCATTCTGGCAGGGAAAGACGCGGCCTTAGAAGGAGGCTATTTCACTGACTTCCTCCCACCCTCCTCCGTTGCTCCCCTCCTCCCCTTCCCCCCTACCCACCTCCACCCCTCCGCACCTCCTTCCCTTTCCCCCCCTTCCCCCTGCGTTCTCCTTGCCCTCCCCCCCTACCCCACCCTTTCAGGTGGCCCCCAACGGCAAGGAGATCCTGAAGAGCATCAGCCTGGGCATGTACCTGGACGCCAAGATCGGCTTCCTGGGGGCCAACGGAGCAGAGAAGAGCTCTCTCATGCGCATTCTGGCAGGGAAAGACAGGACTTTTGAAGGGGATTGTTGTTACACTCACCTCCTCCCCTCGTCCCCCTCCTTCCCTCCTCACCTCCTCCTCCTCTTCCCCTCCGTCCCCCATTCTTTCAGGTGGCCCCCAACGGCAAGGAGATCCTAAAGAACATCAGCCTGGGCATGTACCTGGGCGCGAAAATCGGCTTCCTGGGGGCCAACGGGGCGGGCAAGAGTTCCCTCATGCGCATTCTGGCGGGGAAAGATACCACGTTTGAAGGGGATTATTATATTGATCCGAGCATCAAGATTGGGTACCTGGAGCAGGAGCCGCTGCTGGATGATGGGGTCACTGTTATGGATAATATCGAACCTGCTCTTAAGGAGACCAAGGACCTGCTTCAGGAGTTTGAGGAGGTGAGAGGAGGAAGTGAGGAGTTGAGGAGGCGATGAAGAGGAGGAGGGGAGTCGGGGGGGAAGGATTCAAGCGAGACGGAGTGGAACAGGTGTGGGGGGGAGGGGGTTGTAATTCATGCCTCTATCCATGTGTGCTTATGTCATTCGGGCTGTTGCAATTTGTGCTTGTATCCGTGTGGTTCATACATACCACGGCGAGCTTATATTCACACGTGCTTATATTATATCCACACATGCTACAATCTATCAGGTGGGTGCAGCGATGGCAACAGCAGGCAACGCTACAAGCTGATGGCTCAGATGGAGCGCCTTTTGATGCGCCTAAAAACATCTTCCATGTGTGCTCATACATGTCCATAAATGATACATGCTCATATCCATCCATACATGTTCTTATAACCATCAGGTGAGTGTGGCGATGGCATCAGCGGGCGATGCTGACATGGACAAGCTGATGGCTCAGATGGAGCGCCTTTTGAGACGCCTCACATCACATGTGTGCTATTGTGTGCTCATACATATCCATTCGTGCTTATACTTACACGTGCTTATATCCATACATATAACCATCAGGTGAGTGTAGCGATGGCGTCAGCAGGCGATGCTGACATGGACAAGCTGATGGCTCAGATGGAGCGCCTGCAGACCCGCCTGGACGCCTGCAACGGCTGGGAGCTCGACAGGCAGCTTCAGGTGAGTCCCCAGGTGGAAACAACAGAGTTAGGCAGCAGCAGGTGGGCTCTCTCAGGTGGAAAAGCAGAGGCAGGCGGCTACAGGTGGGTCCTCTGCGAGGCAGTTTGTTCCCATCCCATGCGCCTCCTAGTTTTCTGCACATGCTACATGCTTCCCAGAGTGATTGTTCAGTCCACGTCTCCCTCCCCCACACCCCATTTCCTCCCCTCCCTTCAGAGAGCCATGGACGCACTGTGCTGCCCCTCCCAGGGGAGGCCCCGGTGGCGAAGTGGAGACACAGTCTTATTTCCACCCCCCTCCACCCCCCTCCACCTCCTCGCCTGCCCTCCGTTCAGAGAGCCATGGACGCACTGCGCTGCCCCCCAGGGGAGGCCCCCGTGGCGAACCTGAGTGGCGGAGAGAGGAGGCGCGTGGCTCTGTGCCGGCTGCTGCTGCAGGTGAGAGGGGGGGAGGTGGGAAAGGAGTGTGAGAGGGGGGGAGGTGGGAAAGGAGTGTGAGAGGGGGGGAGGTGGGAAAGGAGTGTGAGAGGGGGGGAGGTGGGAAAGGAGTGTGAGAGGGGGGGAGGTGGGAAAGGAGTGTGAGAGGGGGGGAGGTGGGAAAGGAGTGTGAGAGGGGGGGAGGTGGGAAAGGAGTGTGAGAGGGGGGGAGGTGGGAAAGGAGTGTGAGAGGGGGGGAGGTGGGAAAGGAGTGTGAGAGGGGGGGAGGTGGGAAAGGAGTGTGAGAGGGGGGGAGGTGGGAAAGGAGTGTGAGAGGGGGGGAGGTGGGAAAGGAGTGTGAGAGGGGGGGAGGTGGGAAAGGAGTGTGAGAGGGGGGGAGGTGGGAAAGGAGTGTGAGAGGGGGGGAGGTGGGAAAGGAGTGTGAGAGGGGGGGAGGTGGGAAAGGAGTGTGAGAGGGGGGGAGGTGGGAAAGGAGTGTGAGAGGGGGGGAGGTGGGAAAGGAGTGTGAGAGGGGGGGAGGTGGGAAAGGAGTGTGAGAGGGGGGGAGGTGGGAAAGGAGTGTGAGGGGGGGAGGTGGGAAAGGAGTGTGAGAGGGGGGGAGGTGGGAAAGGAGTGTGAGAGGGGGGGAGGTGGGAAAGGAGTGTGAGGGGGGGAGGTGGGAAAGGAGTGTGAGGGGGGGGGTGGGAAAGGCGTGTGAGAGGGGGGGAGGTGGGAAAGGAGTGTGAGAGGGGGGGGTGGGAAAGGAGTGTGAGAGGGGGGGAGGTGGGAAAGGAGTGTGAGAGGGGGGGAGGTGGGAAAGGCGTGTGCGAGGGGGGGAGGTGGGAAAGGAGTGTGAGAGGGGGGGCGGTGGGGGTGTGAGCGGGGGGGCGGTGGGCCCGGAGTGTGAGGGGGGGAGGTGGGAAAGGAGTGTGAGGGGGGGCGGTGGGCCCGGCGTGTGCGCGGGGGGGCGGTGGGCCGGCGTGTGAGAGGGGGGGCGGTGGGAAAGCGTGTGAGAGGGGGGGCGGTGGGCCCGGAGTGTGCGAGGGGGGGCGGTGGGAAAGGAGTGTGAGCGGGGGGGCGGTGGGCCCGGAGTGTGCGCGGGGGGGCGGTGGGCCCGGCGTGTGCGCGGGGGGCGGTGGGCCCGGCGGGGGGGTGGGGGGGTGGCGCACGGCAGGGGGGCTATGAGGGGCTAGCGTGGGGGAGGGGCTAGCGTGGGGGAGGGGCTAGCGTGGGGAATGGAAGGGAAGGAGGGAAAGGGAGGGAAGGGGGCTTAGGCGGAACATAGAGGGGAGCAGGGCTGGTTGGAGGAGTCGGGAAAAGGTGCCCCTTTTGTAACTCACTCTCTCTACTGCCCCCCTGCCGCTTTTACTCTCGTACTGTTGTTTACTTGTGCCGATTCCTCCTCTTCGATCTGCATTCACAGACAACCCAAGGAACCACCTCGATGCAGAGGCGGTTACCATACCATCCTTCCGCGGTTCCACCCCATCCGTCCCTTCCCCACTTTTCCCACCATCAGGCGCCGGACATTCTGTTTCTGGACGAGCCCACGAACCATCTGGACGCGGAGGCAGTGGCGTGGCTAGAGCAATACCTGGCGGAGTTCAAAGGGACTGTCGTGGCTATCACCCACCCCCCCATACCTCTCTTCCTCTCAGGCACCGGATATCCTCTTTCTGGACGAGCCCACCAACCATCTGGACGCGGAGGCAGTGGCGTGGCTGGAGCGGTACCTGGCTGAGTTCAAAGGCACCGTTGTCGCCATCACTCACGACCGATACTTTTTGGACAATGTGAGACGATGTTGCTCTAATATGTGGCAGTGTATTGATCCTTCGTGGTATGAGGGTGTTGGTCAGCTCAGCACCAGTGGCACGCGGAGGCAGTGGCGTGGCTGGAGCGGTACCTGGCTGAGTTCAAAGGCACTGTCGTGGCCATCACTCATGACCGATACTTCCTCGATAATGTGAGTTTGAATGATGTGATGTGACGGTGTTATGGTGGTAGATGGGATGATGCAGTGTTGACCATATCGATGGCATGCAGAGGCAGTGGCGTGGCTGGAGCGTACCTTGCGGAGTTCAACATGACCGTCATGGCCATCACCCATGGTATGTATGTGGTGATGATGGTGCTACGTCACAGGCACAGTATGTGGTGATGATGGTGCTACGTCACAGGCACAGTATGTGGTGATGATGGTGCTACGTCACAGGCACAGTATGTGGTGATGTGGTGATACTCATGACAGTTCAGTTCTAAGGCACTGTCGACGTGGTCATAATTCACTCACTGCCCTTCCTACTCTCCCTACTCTCTCTCCCTTCCTGGGGTTAGGTGGCAGGGTGGATTCTGGAGCTAGATCGAGGGCAGGACATGATCTTTCAGTCACCGTCCCCACAATCCGTGCTGTTATGTTCTTCCCCTTGCTTCTCTTCCCTCGTTTCCTCCCCCCGTGAACAAGGCGCAGCAACTGGCTGGGGAGGAGCGGCAGCAGTAGCAGCAGAAGCAACGACAACTACCACAATTTTCTGTTCTCTCTCATTCTCTCCTCTTGCGCCCAGGTGGCGGGGTGGATTCTGGAGCTGGATCGCGGGCAGGGAATTCCCTTTGAGGGCAACTACTCTGCTTGGCTCGAGAACAAGGCGCAGCGCCTGGCAGGGGAAGAGCGGCAGCAGTCGGCACTGCAGCGGGTGATGGAGAGGGAGATGGAGTGGATTCGACAGAAGGCCAAGGGACGGCAGAAGAAGGGAAAGGTGAGGGTGTGGGGGGGAGGGTTGTGAGGAGTGAGGGAAGCTGGAGAGCATGTTGCTGCGCTGTCAGTCTCTCACACGTCCATGCCTCCCCTCAACCCCCCAGGCATGCGATCATATGAGGAGAGGCAAACCTTCAACCCCCTCAGCTGGTGATCCAGGCAAACCAGTATTCACGGGAGGAGGAGAGGTTGGAGAGCATGTTCATGTTCCTGCCGCCCCCATTGGTAGCACCTGCTTCTTCCTCTAACCGCTCTGCCTCTCCTTCCCCTAACCGCTTTGCAGGCTCGCATGCTAGCATACGAGGAGTTTGTTATCCAAGCGAGCCAGTACTCGCGCGAGAAGAGGCTGGAGAGCATGTTGCTGCCGCCCTCATTGGCAGCACTTGCCTCCTCCTCCTTCCCCCAACCCCTCTTCCCTCTCCCTCTCCCCCTCTGCAGGCCCGTATGCGGGCGTATGAAGAACTTGTCATTCAGGCCAGTCAGTACTCGCGAGAGGAGAGGCTGGAGAGCATTTTTTGCCGCCGGGGCCGCGGCTGGGAGATGTGGTGGTGGAGGCGGAGGGGGTTGCCAAGGCGTTTGGGGAGCGCGTGCTCATGGATGGGGTCAACTTCACCCTGCCGCCTGGAGGTATGACATGGCATGTGACGTGGCATGTGACGCGACATGTGACGTGGCATGTGACGTGGCATGTGACGTGACATGTGACGTGGCATGTGGCGTGGCATGTGGCGTGGCATGTGGCGTGGCTTGTGACGTGGCATGTCACATGTGACATGGCATGTGACGTGGCATGTGGAGTGGCATGTGACGTGGCATGTGGAGTGGCATGTAAATAGTGGGGCAGGGCGTGCCTGATGGGGGCGGTCTGCCCTCTTCACCCCATTCCCCGTGCAGGTATTCTGGGGGGGGTTGATTGCTGGCAATGGCGCTGGCTGGCAGTCAACCCTCTGATAAAAGAAGTGTTTTGAGACGTCTCAAAACACTTCTTCACCCCATTCCCTGTGCCGGCATTCTGGGAGTGATTGGTGGCAATGGCGCCGGCTGGCAAGTCAACCCTCTTCCACCTGCGAGTCTCACAAGCCCTCTCCTCCAATTCCGCTCCACCCTTTTTCCCCACCAGGCATTGTGGGGGTGATCGGTGGGAACGGTGCCGGCAAGTCAACCCTATTTCGCATGATTGTGGGGCAAGAAAGCCCCAATGAGGGCACACTGCGAGTGGGGGAGACGGTGGCGCCACTTTATGTCAACCAATCACGCGACGCGCTGGATCCCAACAAGACGGTGTTCGAGGAGATCACGGGCGGCGCAGATGAGATCCTGCTGGGTGGGTTTGTTTGTCCTTTAGTGGAGTTGAGATTTGGTCCTTCAGTGGAGATTGGATCCGGCCGGGTGAATATGTGCGTTCTTGTGAATACAGGAGTCCTAATAGACACACCTTGCACACAGTCACACATTTAACAGTCACACATGCTACAGTAACAGATGCAGAAGTCGTACATTTGCTACAAGCGTGCCGCTGCCTGCACTCCCTCCCTCCCTCCTCCCCCTACCTAACCCCAGGCGAGCGCAAGGTGAACAGCCGGGCGTACTGCGCGTGGTACAACTTCAAGGGGGCGGACCAGCAGAAGAAGGTGGGCGTGCTGTCGGGCGGAGAGAGGAACCGTGTGCACCTGGCGCGCATCATGCGGCGCGGAGGCAACCTGCTCATGCTGGACGAGCCCACCAATGATCTGGACGTTGATACGCTGAGGGCGCTGGAGGATGCGATTCAGGGGTTTGCGGGATGCGTGATTGTCATCTCTCACGACCGCTGGTTTTTGGATCGCATTGCCACGCACATCATGGCCTTTGAAGGCGACTCCAAGGTACGTTTTTTTCTTCTTCCTTTCTTTCTTTCTTCTTCTTTCTTGCTTTTTTTCTTTTTGTCATTGTAAAATTAGAAGTGACTCCAATATTTGGGTGGAGGATATGTTTGGGGGGCTTGCAAGATGTGCAAGTTTTGAGACATTGCGAAAGTGGTTGTTGAATCGCATTGCCATGCACATATATGGTGCTACCGTGCATAGCCACTGGCATTCTGCTTCTTAGTTGGGAATTCTGTGGTGTCAGCGTCCTGGTTTGTTTCTTCTTAATCTTCTTTGTTCTGAGGTGTAGAGGTCAATTGTGCCACTTGGTGTTTGTTTGGGCAGCTAGGGTTGCATGACATGAGTGGCAGGGCATCTTTTGCTTGTGCAGCAGCAGGGCCTGTGCTAGGATATCGTGGGGCCTGTGCAGCAGCACGGCATGGCTTCCTTTCCAATGCAATGCTCTTTCGTCTCCACCCTGTACGTTCCGAATCAGGTGGTTTGGTTCGAAGGCTCGTACAGCGACTATGAGGAGGACAGGAGGAGGAGGCTTGGGAACAAGGAACCATCACGTCTTAAGTACAGGGCGCTAGCATGATTTGCCGTTCTTGCATATAGGTATCTCTTTTGTAAAACACGCCATGCAATGCGGGCCAAAACACGCCATTCCATATTGGCAGTGGCACCTATGAGGTTTTGGTTTTAACAGGGGCTCAGGTTTGGATTGTACCTGTGAATGGTGGGGATCGCCGATTCATTTTGTTCTGGTGTGCCTTGGTCTCTTCCAAGTCAGCCTGCCTTGAACGTTACGCCTAACGGAGATATAGTTCTTATATGTCAAGTGACCAAACGGAGCATGCATACATGTACCTACCTGTACTGAAACATCATCATGGCCAGCAAGTTCATAAAAAAACCCAAGGGCAAAGCGAACAGAGACACCATCTCGCCTCGTTTATTCTGTGGAATGCAGACAATCCTCTTCAAGGAGATGTGATGTGATCGTGATAGCCATCTCTCCTTCCCCTGCTCACAGTTGCCAGGTAGGTGGTACTAACCGAATCTGTGTCCACTCTCATTATTCACCTTCTCTTCATCGTTCAAGTCCTGACACCACCTGCATCATCTACTTCATCACCTGCTTCAGCGCCCACTTCTTCAACTGCTTGATCATCTGATTCATCATCTGAATCCGAATCTAAAGAAGTCCATGTCATGGTAACAAGCTTGTTTGCCACCTCATGGTCCCGAGTATCTTCACTTATGAACAGCTTCTGCAGGAGGGAGCGAGGTTAGAATCAGGCACTACGAAAGGTGTTACATTTGGTGTCTCAACGAGAACACACTGACCTTTATGATCTTAGGACCAGTTTCACGATCCAACTGCTCGAACAGCCTTTTGAATGTAACCATTGCACCAGCTCTTCCAGCAACTTTGAGAACATCTAGGAGGGTTTCCTCCTCAATCTCCTCGAACTGTTCATCAATAATGCGGTGCAACTCTTGGTCCATCACCTCAACTAGACTGTGAATATCGTATTCATGCGCCACTTCAAGTAGAGAAACTCCACTCTGTAGGACATGTCAATTATAATGCACTCAGGGACTCAAAAACACAAATAGCGCGACGCATGCATACCTTGATTGACCCCAATGACACTGTTATTCCAGTACCATACATGAACGAAAGAAATTGCTCCAGTGCCGGACCATCCAGCTCCTCTATCTTCACGATCGGTTTTTTCTTGCTTGGATTGCTCTTCCACCTGTTTTCCAGCAGCGAAGACCTGAAAAAAAGAAAGCGATGATAATGAGGAACCGCATATAATATAATTTTCCTTATGGCAGCGATAGGATACCAAATGGCGACAACGTTGCGATGTGCTGGAATCCTGGTCCCATCAGAGGCCTCAAACACGACGTCAGTGTACTCTGCTCTGTCAAAAATGTCTTGGAACTTCGACACATATTCTGGCGCCACTAGACTGCATGCAAACAATTCATTCAGTTTAAGCATTCGCAAAGCATGCAGCCTTGCAGTGAAAAGGAACGTAGTTACTATGTGCCCAGTTTGCCCGTGATGTCACTAAAGCGTAATCTTCCTGCTGGAACATCCATTGCCTGATTTGTGTTGCGCAGCTGGAGGAGATGGGAGGAGGAAACTACTGTCTGCCAAGGCTGCTAATTTATGTTGTACAATTTGGCGTCGCTGTGATTTGTCTGCTATTTAGGCATTTAGGGCGGGTACAATCTGGTGAAATTTGCAGGTTTGGCAGTTCGCGATTGTTCATCTGAACTGATCTAGCACGCTCAATTTTCTGCGTTTCAGAGCTCGAGAGCCATGCTATAGCTTGAAGCTGCGGTCTACATTGAGGGACAGGCAAAGGTTTATCACTTGGAAACAGGGTAACCCTTTCTCCACAAGTGCCCCTTTGCGGAGAAACGAACAATCGAGGCGGAGGGTTTCGGGAGGGGGGTTGGAGTTCCCAAACCAACAGCGGAAACGATTTCGCTAGTTTAGAACTTGAGCTACTTCGCGCGTGAGTTTGTATACCAAAACTCTGGGTAGTGACAGCCCAGCCCAGCTTCACCTCACAGGGAGTGACTCTAAGCAGAGGTAATAGTCGCTAACAGAAACATGCTCCGCCTAGTTTCATCAGTGCGTTTTACCAACCGTGACCGCATCGGTCGCTAGTCACTTGCGTAGTCAAACACACCGCCGCGCTCTGCTGGCCTCGTAATATTGCACTTGACCGTCGTGCTCCCCGATCTCAGCGTCGCTGCGTTTTGCCGCGTTTGCCTCGTCGCTTTCGCCACGTCGCTTTCGCCTCGTCGCTTTCGCCACGTCGCTTTCGCCTCGTCGCTTTCGCCTCGTCGCTTTCGCCTCGTCGCTTTCGCCTCGTCGCTTTCGCCTCGTCGCTTTCTCCTCGTTGCTGGCCGATCATAGAGCGCCATTCAAGTCACCGTTCTTCGTCGTGTTAAATTTATTCCTCCTCGTCGCATTTCTGCATGTCGCATAGATGTGCGTCGCCCTCCGCTCGCAGCTCGAAGCTCGACTCACGCTGATAGTCGCCGGGTTGTCGCAGCTTCCACTCTGTAACGGTCGTCGCAGAACCGCCGGCGTTGCTCGTTTCTCGGTGGAGATGCGCGACGCTTTCTGCTGTCCAACTTACCTGCCCTCCCTCCCTTCACCTCCCTCCCTCTCAGCAGGCAAGCTCCTCTCTCTCCTACTGCTGTCCAGGATTGGGTAGCGGAAAAGACGTTTGCGGTAAAAACTCTTCCCGCAACCGGAATTTGCGGCAACGAGGCGTGTGGCGCGGACGGGAATGAGCGGCGAAACCGCGGAGGTGCGAGGGGGATGGGAGCGAGATAGCGCGGGGGTAAGTAGCAATTTGCGAGGGAGGTCAGCAGCGAGAACGAGGGGGAGGTGGGGGAGGAGTGAATAAGCAGCGAGGAGGGGGGGAGAGGGAGTGGTGTGGTAGGCATTCTCCAGTGTCCACCAATCCTTCCGCTTTCCCCCTGCATACCATTTGTTTCCCCACCTGCTTACTCTTTGTTACCCCCCCTTTGTTTCCCCCCTGCTTACCCTTTGTTTCCCCTTCCTCTCCTCTCTTCCCTCCCTGTTCTCTCCCCTCCCTGTTCTCTTCCCTCCCTGTTCTCTTCCTTCCCTGTTCTCTTCCCTCCCTGTTCTCTCCCCTCCCTGTTCTCTTCCCTCCCTGTTCTCTTCCCTCCCTGTTCTCTTCCCTCCCTGTTCTCTCCCCTCCCTGTTCTCTTCCCTCCCTGTTCTCTTCCCTCCCTGTTCTCTTCCTTCCCTGTTCTCTTCCCTCCCTGTTCTCTTCCCTCCCTTTTCTCTTCCCTCCCTGTTCTCTTCCCCCTCTGTTCTCTTCCATCCCTGTTCTCTTCCCTCCCTGTTCTCTCCCCCCCCTGTTCTCTTCCCTCCCTGTTCTCTTCCCTCCCTGTTCTCTTCCCCCCCTGTTCTCTTCCCTCCCTGTTCTCTCCCCTCCCTGTTCTCTCCCCTCCCTGTTCTCTTCCCCCCCTGTTCTCTTCCCTCCTTGTTCTCTTCCCCCCCGGTTCTCTTCCCTCCCTGTTCTCTTCCCCCCTGTTCTCTTCCCTCCCTGTTCTCATCCCTCCCTGTTCTCTTCCCTCCCTGTTCTCTTCCCTCCCTGTTCTCTTCCCCCCCTGTTCTCTTCCCTCCCTGTTCTCTCCCCTCCCTGTTCTCTCCCCTCCCTGTTCTCTCCCCTCCCTGTTCTCTTCCCCCCCTGTTCTCTTCCCCCCCTGTTCTCTTCCCTCCCTGTTCTCTTCCCCCCCTGTTCTCTTCCCTCCCTGTTCTCTTCCCTCCCTGTTCTCTTCCCTCCCTGTTCTCTTCCCTCCCTGTTCTCTTCCCTCCCTGTTCTCATCCCTCCCTGTTCTCTTTCCCCCCTGTTCTCATCCCTCCCTGTTCTCTTCCCTCCCTTTTCTCTTCCCTTCCTGTTCTCTTCCCTCCCTGTTCTCTTCCCTCCCTGTTCTCATCCCTCCCTGTTCTCTTCCCTCCCTGTTCTCTTCCCTCCCTGTTCTCTTCCCTCCCTGTTCTCTTCCCTCCCTGTTCTCTTCCTTCCCTGTTCTCTTCCCTCCCTGTTCTCTTCCCTCCCTGTTCTCTTCCCTCCCTGTTGCAGAAGATAAGCGCGTGGTCAGGTCATTCACTGTGGAAACCTGTCTTCGAGGATTAATCCTGTGTTATCTTGTTGCACTGTGTTAGACCAAGGTGTACAACCTGACCATGCCTGAGGGTTTGATTGTGCAATACTACTGAGTGTGCAAGGAAACAGTCCTTCAGAAAATCCAGTTTCAGTAGCAAAGCAAAGCTCTTAGAGACCCAGGCAGACAAACATTCAACATTCTGGAATGTACCAGGCAAGAGACGAGAGAAGAACCTGTTGTTTTTTCAAATCTACAAACCACAAAACTATGGGTACTTGTAAGTGGGTGCAGCGGTGGTGGGGGGGGCAGGAGGCATTCTCCTCCCCATACCCACACCACTCAGCATCTGCCGCAGAGGCGAGGGGTTCCGGGGCGGACCAGCCGCAATGGGCGCACCCATTGGCTGCCCCATGGGTTGACCCATAGAAGCACCTGCACCCATAGGAGCACCACCCATAGGAGGACCAGCCATAGGCGGCGTCCCCCTTGAACCCCCACTGCTGCCGTACCCTGCTGCTGCACTGGCACTGCTGCTCATGCCAACACTGCCACCATACCCCCCACCACTGCCAAGGCTCCCGCTGCTAGGCATGCCCATGGGGCTGCCTCCTCCTCCCATGGGGGAGGTCATAGGGGCCATGCTCATGGTTGTTCTAGGGGCGTAGGAGATGGATGGGGATGGGGACGATGCAGATCCTGCCCCCCCTAGCCCCCCTGCCCCTCCTCCTCCTCCTCCTCCTCCTCCTGCTCCTGCTCCTGCTCCTCCTCTCCCTGACGCTGCAGCTGCAGCTGCTGCTGAAGCCACAGCAGCAGAAGTGGCAGATTGGGATGCAGCAGGAGCGGGAGACGAGCCTGTTCCTCCCGAGCCTGAGCCCTTGGGAGTTCCGGAGGAGGTTCGGGAAGGCTTGGTAGAGGTTGGGGAGAGAGCAGGAGCGGAGGATCTGGGGGACTGTTCTTCCTCATGCACGGGGGCCATGGGTGATGCCTTGTTGAAGGCCGCCCGCCAGTCAGCCACCTTCTCCTTCTCCCCTGGAGTGTGATGAAGGGGAGGGGATGGGGGAGGCAGGCAAGACAGAGGTGTAAGGTTGATGCAAAAAGGGGGTGGTGTTTCAAGAGGTGCTCTGCTTGACCTGAAGCACTGAAGGCAAGGTGCAAAGCAGTGTGCTTTTGAGGCGCCTCAAAAGTGCCCTGAAGCACTGAAGGCAAGGTGCAAAGCAGTGTAGGTTTGAGGCGCCTCAGAAGTGCCTTGAAGCACTGAAGGCAAGGTGTAAAGCAGTGTCTTGATGAAGGCAACCTGCCAGCCATTCACCTCACACAACACTCTTTCACTCACTCACTCCCACTCGCTCGCTCACACACTCCCTCACGACCTCTCACTTTGACCAGCCCATTGTGATAATGCACTCAGCTATTTCCTCCACACAGTTCACACTCCCAACGCACCATCACTCATGCACTCACTCTCACCCAATCCATCACTCTCACTCACTCCCTCACTCTCTCCCATTCACTCTCTCACTCTCTCTCACCTGCACCAGCCTCCTCTTCTGCTGATGCCCTCGCCTCATGCACGCTCAGAGACCGCTTCAGCTTCAGCATAGCATTCTGCAGGTGCTTGAACCGCTCCCTTACTCACTTCCTCACTCACACCCTTACTCGCTCCCACTCTCTCTCACCTGCACCAGACTCCTCTTCCGCTGACGCCCTCGCCTCATGTAGGCTGAGAGACCGCTTCAGCTTCAGCAGAGCATTCTGCAGGTGCTTGAACCGCTCCCTCTTCCCCTTGCTCTCCATGTCCTCCTGGAGGAGAACGGATAGACTATCGTCCGATAGTTCACTGCAAGGAAGTAAGAGGACGAGGGGGGAGGCAGAGAAAAAAAGCCAAAGCACAGGGAGCACAATATGGTTCACCTCCATCCAATCAAACCGTCTCATTCAGATTATATGACCGGGATTCATCAGTGTCTAATCAATGAACTTGAATCAATTATCGTACCTGACTTTTTGGTACAGCTTTGTGAGCATGGCGTCTTTTGCCTTCTCCACTTGTGTCAGCACAATGGCCTGAGAGTGGGGAGGGGGGCAGCGGGAGGGAGCAGTATAGCACGGGCATGAGTAGGTGAGAGCAAGGGGATAGCAATCTGCAGGCGTGAGGTGGCGTCTTTGGCACGGCGGGTGTATAAGCATGGCGATTCTTGAGTCGACAACCCCCATGCCCGTATCTCCCTAGTTTTCCCTTCTCCCACCCAACCACCCACCCACACACCTTGGGGATGTTATCAGCTAGGTGTGCCAGCACAGCATGCACGTATCGCCGCACTTCAGTCGCCATCGCCTTGAGCTCCTCCTCGGGACTCACCACCCGCTGATTCCCCCCCCCAGGCCCCCCCTGCTGCCCAGGCGCGGGGGGAACGCCCGCCCCAAGTCCCCCTGGCCCGCCCTCCCCCTCGTTCCGCTCCCCATCCGCGCCCCCGGAGTCGTCCCCTGCTTCCCCTGCGCCTGCTGCTTCTGGTGGTGGCGAGGGCGCTTCTTTGAAGGCCTTGGTGTGGCTGCGGAGGCGCTGCACCCACTGCTGCTTCTCTGCCGGGTTGTCAGCTCTGAGGATGAGCGCATTGTGCACTGGAACGGAGGGGGGGGAGGGAGAGGGAGGGGACGGGAGTGGAGGAAAGAGGAGAAGAGTGGAATCAACGTTTTTGAAGGCCTTGGTGTGGCTGCGGAGGCGCTGCACCCACTGCTGCTTCTCTGCCGGGTTGTCAGCTCTGAGGATGAGCGCATTGTGCACTGGAACGGAGGGGGGGGAGGGAGAGGGAGGGGACGGGAGTGGAGGAAAGAGGAGAAGAGTGGAATCAACGTTTTTGAAGGCCTTGGTGTGGCTGCGGAGGCGCTGCACCCACTGCTGCTTCTCTGCCGGGTTGTCAGCTCTGAGGATGAGCGCATTGTGCACTGGAACGGAGGGGGGGGAGGGAGAGGGAGGGGACGGGAGTGGAGGAAAGAGGAGAAGAGTGGAATCAACGTTTTTGAAGGCCTTGGTGTGGCTGCGGAGGCGCTGCACCCACTGCTGCTTCTCTGCCGGGTTGTCAGCTCTGAGGATGAGCGCATTGTGCACTGGAACGGAGGGGGGGGAGGGAGAGGGAGGGGACGGGAGTGGAGGAAAGAGGAGAAGAGTGGAATCAACGTTTTTGAAGGCCTTGGTGTGGCTGCGGAGGCGCTGCACCCACTGCTGCTTCTCTGCCGGGTTGTCAGCTCTGAGGATGAGCGCATTGTGCACTGGAACGGAGGGGGGGGAGGGAGAGGGAGGGGACGGGAGTGGAGGAAAGAGGAGAAGAGTGGAATCAACGTTTTTGAAGGCCTTGGTGTGGCTGCGGAGGCGCTGCACCCACTGCTGCTTCTCTGCCGGGTTGTCAGCTCTGAGGATGAGCGCATTGTGCACTGGAACGGAGGGGGGGGAGGGAGAGGGAGGGGACGGGAGTGGAGGAAAGAGGAGAAGAGTGGAATCAACGTTTTTGAAGGCCTTGGTGTGGCTGCGGAGGCGCTGCACCCACTGCTGCTTCTCTGCCGGGTTGTCAGCTCTGAGGATGAGCGCATTGTGCACTGGAACGGAGGGGGGGGAGGGAGAGGGAGGGGACGGGAGTGGAGGAAAGAGGAGAAGAGTGGAATCAACGTTTTTGAAGGCCTTGGTGTGGCTGCGGAGGCGCTGCACCCACTGCTGCTTCTCTGCCGGGTTGTCAGCTCTGAGGATGAGCGCATTGTGCACTGGAACGGAGGGGGGGGATGGAAGAGAGCAGGCACAGGGGGAGAAGAGAAAGCGAGGGAGGGGGATCAAACTTTGATCAAACTTTGACACACAAAGGCGCTTCTTTGTATGTCTTGGTGTGGCTTGACTTTTGCCGAACCCCGATTCGCCGAACCCCGATTCCTCAAATGTCAACTATGTCTTGGTGTGGCTTCGCCGAAACCCGATTCACCATGCAAGCGAATTAACCTGGCCTTGTGCGGTGTGACACAGGTGCTCTTCAGAAACTCACAAGTAAGAATAAATGAAAACCAGCTCAGTACACAGAAGCAGCTCTCAGCTTTGACCATCGTCTATAGTCACATCACATTTCACCATGCTTTATACTCACCTTTGACCACAGTCTTGTACGGGGTGCGATTACTGATTTTGAACGACAGCGACTGCGCGGAGGGGCTTCCAGACTTGAGATCCGACGCTGAGGGGACCTCCTCCGGGGAGACATTGTCCTCCACTATGCAGTCCTACAAAAGAGAAGGTTGGGGGAAGAGAAGAGGAGGGGGAGGGACGTGCTTCTGAGGTCCGGCGCTGACGGCAACTCCACTGGGGACAGATTGTCCTCCACTATGCAGTCCCGCGAGGAACAAGGGAAGCAGGGGGGGCAGGGTGTGGTGTAGAGACTATTCTTTGTTCTCCTCCACAGAGGGGATGCAGAGGGCACCTCCTCTGGGGAAAGATTGTCCTCCACTATGCAGTCCCGCGAGGAACAAGGGAAGCAGGGGGGGCAGGGTGTGGTGTAGAGACTATTCTTTGTTCTCCTCCACAGAGGGGATGCAGAGGGCACCTCCTCTGGGGAAAGATTGTCCTCCACTATGCAGTCCCGCGAGGAACAAGGGAAGCAGGGGGGGCAGGGTGTGGTGTAGAGACTATTCTTTGTTCTCCTCCACAGAGGGGATGCAGAGGGCACCTCCTCTGGGGAAAGATTGTCCTCCACTATGCAGTCCCGCGAGGAACAATGGAGTGGAGTGGGCAAGGGGAAGTGTTGGTGCACCATGTGAGGGACAAGGGAGACAGGGGGTAACGGGTAGAAATGATTGTTTGATCTTAAGAATAGCAGAGGGGATGAGGTCGGGGTATTTGTCTTAAGAACAGCAGTGGCTGAACCAATGAAACCACCCAGACACAGTGAAAAAAAAAGAAAAGAAAAGAAAAAAAGTTTGTTCGTTTTCTGTCTGTCTTTTCTTTCCATTGTTTGTTTGTTTGTTTTTCCCTCCTTTTCTTTTTTCTTCCAATAACTGCGGTTTCCTTCAAACGCTGGTTGCTGGAGAAACTGCAGTGAGGGGCCTGACTAGAAGACTTTTAGAAGCGATTGAAGGGCGGGCTGGCACTCACCTCTAGTGGGATGACGCCTCTGAGGCGCCTCAAAAACCGCAGTGAGGGGCCTGACTAGAAGATCTTTTGAGACGATTGTAAGGGCGGGCTGGCACTCACCTCTAGTGGGATGACGCCTCTGAGGCGCCTCAAAAACCGCAGTGAGGGGCCTGACTAGATTTGAGACGATTGAAGGGCGGGCTGGCACTCACCTCTAGTAGGATGACGCCTCTGAGGCGCCTCAAAAACCGCAGTGAGGGGCCTGACTAGAAGATCTTTTGAGACGATTGAAGGGCGGGCTGGCACTCACCTCTTGTGGGATGACGCCTCTGAGGCGCCTCAAAAACCGCAGTGAGGGGCCTGACTAGAAGATCTTTTGAGACGATTGAAGGGTGGGCTGGCACTCACCTCTAGTGGGATGACGCCTCTGAGGCGCCTCAAAAACCGCAGTGAGGGGCCTGACTAGAAGATCTTTTGAGACGATTGAAGGGCGGGCTGGCACTCACCTCTAGTGGGATGACGCCTCTGAGGCGCCTCAAAAACCGCAGTGAGGGGCCTGACTAGAAGATCATTTGAGACGATTGAAGGGCAGGCTGGCACTCACCTCTAGTGGGATGACGCCTCTGAGGCGCCTAAAAAACCGCAGTGAGGGGCCTGACTAGAAGATCTTTTGAGACGATTGAAGGGCGGGCTGGCACTCACCTCTAGTGGGATGACGCCTCTGAGGCGCCTCAAAAACCGCAGTGAGGGGCCTGACTAGAAGATCTTTTGAGACGATTGAAGGGCGGGCTGGCACTCACCTCTAGTGGGATGACGCCTCTGAGGCGCCTCAAAAACCGCAGTGAGGGGCCTGACTAGAAGATCTTTTGAGACGATTGAAGGGCGGGCTGGCACTCACCTCTAGTGGGATGACGCCTCTGAGGCGCCTCAAAAACCGCAGTGAGGGGCCTGACTAGAAGATCTTTTGAGACGATTGAAGGGCGGGCTGGCACTCACCTCTAGTGGGATGACGCCTCTGGGAGTCTTCTCGTCGGGCTTCTTCACATAGTACAGCTGCAGAGTCACACAAACAGATCGGAGGGGGGCGTGTACGCAGGAGGGGAAGGAGGGATGACTTTTTGAGTCGATTCAAAAGAGGGATGACGCCTCTGGGAGTCCTCTCGTCAGTCTTCTTCACATAGTACAGCTGCAGGACCACGGATGGTGGGAGGGAAGGAAGGGAGCGAGCGCGGATCACAAGTCATGAAATACTATCGAAAATGCTGATGACAAAAGGAGCGCAACTTCATGTTGTACGAATACGCTGCATCTCATTGGCCCCTCTGCACCTACCAACCCTGTGCCGTACTCAAGCAGATATCTCACTCACTCACTCACTCACTCACTCACTCACTCACTCACTCACCCTGGCAGTCTTGTCGCTGAGGGCGAACCATCGCTTGCTCCACCCGCCCTTGGAGCTCACTTTCCACAGGAACCCTGCAGGCAGGCCATCAGAGAGAGAGGGGAAGAAGGAATAATAAAGCATGTAACAAATGCTGAATGCTCGCTCCACCCGCCCTTGGAGCTCACTTTCCACAGGAACCCTGCAGGCAGGCCATCAGAGAGAGAGGGGAAGAAGGAATAATAAAGCATGTAACAAATGCTGCATGCTCGCTCCACCCGCCCTTGGAGCTCACTTTCCACAGGAACCCTGCAGGCAGGCCATCAGAGAGAGAGGGGAAGAAGGAATAATAAAGCATGTAACAAATGCTGCATGCTCGCTCCACCCGCCCTTGGAGCTCACTTTCCACAGGAACCCTGCAGGCAGGCCATCAGAGAGAGAGGGGAAGAAGGAATAATAAAGCATGTAACAAATGCTGCATGCTCGCTCCACCCGCCCTTGGAGCTCACTTTCCACAGGAACCCTGCAGGCAGGCCATCAGAGAGAGAGGGGAAGAAGGAATAATAAAGCATGTAACAAATGCTGCATGCTCGCTCCACCCGCCCTTGGAGCTCACTTTCCACAGGAACCCTGCAGGCAGGCCATCAGAGAGAGAGGGGAAGAAGGAATAATAAAGCATGTAACAAATGCTGCATGCTCGCTCCACCCGCCCTTGGAGCTCACTTTCCACAGGAACCCTGCAGGCAGGCCGTGAGAGAGAGAGGGGAGGAAGGGAAACTAAAGCATGTAACAAATGTTGCATGCTTGCTCCACTGACCCAGATGACAAACCCTGAGAATTTAGTCTTGTCAGTCAAGACTCACACAGATGGCAAGTGAGAAGTAGGACCCTTCTACTCTTAGATAGGAAAAAAAAAAAAAAAAAGACAAAAAGATACATACCTGCAAGTTCCCGCTGCGGCTCTTGGGGCTGGCTGGGGGCGGTTGCAGCAGCAGAAGAGAACGACGCTGATGGTGGGGGAGGAGGGGGGGCCTCCTTCTTCCGTCCCATGCTTGACATGAATGAGCCGAACCGACCCTCGCCCTGGACGAAGGAGAGGAGGGAGGGAGAGGAGAGGGAGCGGAGGAGGAGAGAGGGAACATCAAGAAGGTAAGAAAAGACCCCCAACAATGCCTTCTTCTGAGTCATGTTTGACATCAATGAGCCAAACCGAACCGACCCTCGCCCTGGATGGAAAAGAGAGGAGGAGAGCATGGAGGGGGAGAAGAGGGAGCATCAGGAGGTCAAAGAGGTGGCCCAAGGCGCAACACCTCCTTTGTCCAAGAAGACACCAACCCGCCATGCATGCACCCTGCTTTCTGCAAGGCTCTCCTCTCCCATCCCCCCTTTCTCACCGCTCTGGATGCAGACTTCCTCGCGTTGGTCATCTCCTTGAACAGCGTCTCCTGCCGCTTGTACTCCGCCTCGATGAAGTGCGTTGCAGGGATGTGAGACGAACACCCCTCCTATTCTACAGCCAGCACCACCACCTTCCCATGCTCCCTGCCTCTCTCACCGCTCTGGATGCAGACTTCCTCGCGTTGGTCATCTCCTTGAACAGCGTCTCCTGCCGCTTGTATTCCGCCTCGATAAAGTGCGTGGCAGGGATGAAGACCCTCTCCATGTCCACTAGCGCTGTCACCATCACCTTCGCCTCTGCCCTGTACTCGTCCAGTGCTGCTGATGCTATGGCTACCAGCTGGAGAGTGGAGGGTTTGCGGGGGATAGGGTGGGAGACTTGGGTTCAGCCCGAGGGGTGGAGTGGAGTGACGCAGGTGGGGATGAAGACCCTCGCCATGTCCACCAGCGCCGTCACCATCACCTTCGCCTCTGCCCTGTACTCGTCCAGTGCTGCTGAGGCAATGGCCACTAGCTGGAATAGTGGTGTGGGTGGTCGGGGGGAGAAAGTTCAGGGTTTTAAGGGGGTGGAGTCAAGAGGGCAGGGATGAAGACCCTTTCCATGTCCACCAGCGCCATCACCATCACCTTCGCCTCCGTCCTGTCGTCCAGTGCTGCTGATGCTATGGCTACCAGCTGGAGCAGGACAGGGGAGTACAGGGTGGAACACAGCCGGACAAAGGGAGTTTGGATTGGATAAAAGGACGAAAACATATTTTGAGGCGCCTCAAATTACACCTCAGGGTGGAACACGGCCGGACAAAGGATGTTTGGATTGGATAGAAGGACGAAAAATTGGTGCTTTGTATATGGAGATTAGAGGAACACCAGTCTTGGCGTACTGGAGGAGAATGGAGGAGAGGAGAAAGAAAGAGAGCAAGGCGTGCATGCGCTGAGAACACCACATGGCATGGCACGGAAGGACATTGCACAACATGGTATGGCACGTTAGGGTATGGCATGGCATGGCATGGGGCCACGCGCACCTCTTTCTTCATGGGAGGGAAGCGGACTAGAGACGGAACCGTGGACAAGGCATTGCATGGCATGGCACGTACAAGGCATGGCATGGCATGGCACAGGAGCGCACCTCTTTCTTCATGGGAGGGAAGCGGACTAGAGAGGGAGCCGTGGACAAGGCATTGCATGGCATGGCACGTACAAGGCATGGCATGGCATGGCACAGGAGCGCACCTCTTTCTTCATGGGAGGGAAGCGGACTAGAGACGGAACCGTGGACAAGGCATTGCATGGCATGGCACGTACAAGGCATGGCATGGCATGGCACAGGAGCGCACCTCTTTCTTCATGGGAGGGAAGCGGACTAGGGAGGGAGCCGTGGACGCTGCTGCAACAACGATGTCCAACAGAATCTTGTGCACCTGAACAAAGACATCATCAGATGGTGAAGGAAAGTCAAAGAAATGCAACAGATGCACAGAGGATGGGGAGGACGTTAAGACCTCAGGCACAGAATGTCCAACAGAATCTTGTGCACCTGGAAAGGGAAAAGCAAAGGGAGGACAGCCACGAAGACGGGGAGAGTTAATGAACGTCATGAAGGAGAGGGCACAGAAGGAGGAAGTGCTGGTTATAGTCATGCCATCTCTCCCTCACCTCATAGGGCGCATAAAGATGACATGATTATAACCAGCACCCTATGAGGTGAGGGAGAGATGACAGCAGCAACCACAACCCCACCCTTGCTGCAGAGCACCTCTTCAAGGAGAGAGCAGAGCAGAGAAAAAGGAAGGCACACAAAAAACACTTGGCAACGACTGCTCCCTCACCTCATCCACAAATCCAGCCCCGACTGGCCCACTGACCTACCTTCCCTCGCCTGCCACTGACCCACCCTCCCCCACCTCATCCACACACTCTGTCCTCAGCTCCATCCCCCCAAGGCCCATCCTCACCTCATCCACACAATCTGCCCTGCAATCCCTCCCTCACCTCATCCACACAATCTGCCCTGCAATCCCTCCCTCACCTCATCCACACAGTCCAGCCCCGGTTGTTTGGCCAGGTTGAGGCTGCGCTTAATCAGCAGACGCAGACCCTTCTCCGGGGAAATGACATACGGCTGGTACCCGTCCGCTTCTGCTACCACCTGGGGGATTATTTGGTTGGGTGGATGGGTGGATGGGTGAACAATGGTGGACAGAAGAGGATAAGTGAAGGAGGGACAGAGGGAGTTCTGAGTGGTGAAGCTTGCAAGAGCAGAATGGGGAAGAGGAAGGTGGAGAGGCAAAATCAAGGATAGCAAAGACGGCAGGCAGGCAGAGGTGATGAGTGGAAGGAAAGAAGTGAATTCGAGATTCCCTTGTGCTGCCCAGCTGACCTTTTTCACGTTGTCAAAATTGAACATCTCGTCCAATGGCAGGCCTCGAAATCGCAGGGGCAGCGTGCCGACAAACTTTTCAACCATCTGAGAGCCTCCTCCCTGAAACATGGCAAGCAAACGAGCAGAAGGCGTCTCCACTTCACTTCACCATACCATAAATGGACCCCGAGATATGTGTGCGTGTTGTTTTGAGACGTCTCAAAACATAAATGGACCCCAAGATATGTGTGCGTGTTGGATGTAGTGCCGTGGATAATGCACAACAAGACGAACCACTCAAGAGCTTAAGTATAACGCTCCCAGCACAGCTCCAAAGCCACGGCCCTGGAGCCGTGCATCCCGCCTTTCCCGCTCTCCCCTGTTCTACCGGCTCAAACCGCATACCTCACAGCCATCCAGGTGTTCAATGAATCGTGTCTCAAACCCCCGGCACAGCTCCAGAGCCACGGCCCTGGATCCCTGCAGATCGGATATGAGTGACTCTCCCAGGCGCAACAGCTCCGACTCCACGTCCACTGAGCGTGACTCCAGGCTGTGGATGGTGTGCGTTAGGAAAGAGAAAAAAAAATGAAGCAGAGGACAGACAACCAGCACGGCATAGCACAGCACGGCCACCCACCCACCCCCACCCAACCCCACGCCACCTCCTTCCAATACACACCTGGCCATGATCCTGGGAATCTTCTCCTTCATCTTCCTCTGCATCGTCCTGGCAATCAATTTGACGTTTTAGTCGACTCTCAAGTCAACCACAGTCCTCCCCAGTATCCCAACCCACCCCACCCACCCGGCCATGATCCTGGGGATCTTCTCCTTCATCTTCCTTCGCATCGTCCGCGCAAACAATTTGATGTTTCATCTTTAAAGCCACCTACAGTCGGTATCCCAACCACCCAACCACCCGACCCCATCCCCACCCACCCAGCCATGATCCTGGGGATCTTCTCCTTCATCTTCCTTCGCATCGTCCTGGCAATCATCCTTAGCAGCGCGTCTCGCCCCATGGACCCCTCCATGCCCTTCACGCCCAGCGCCCGCATCACACTCGCCAGCGCCTTCTGCTCGCCCTGCCACGCCTCGTCCATCGGCACATCCGTGTCCGCGTCCCCCAGCGGCTGCCCCAGCACCGGCACCCACGGGTAGTCCTGAGCCATGGCCGCGCCCTGCCCCTGGAGGAGCTCTAGAGCGAGCTTGGCAGCTGCTTTATCCGTTACTACCCGATCAAACTGAGTAATCACGCCTATGCTGCGCGCGCCTGGGTGTGGGGACAGGGGGAGGGGAACGGGCAAGTGGGGTGGGGGGAAGGGAGGCACGTCTGGCTGTGTCCGTGTCCCCCAGCGGCTGCCCCAGCACCGGTACCCAAGGGTAGTCCTGAGCCATCGCCGCGCCCTGCCCCTGGAGGAGCTCTAGAGCGAGCTTGGCAGCTGCTTTATCCGTAACTACCCGATCAAACTGCGTTATCACGCCTATGCTGCGCGCGCCTGGGGGTGGACGGGGTTGTTTGGAGGGGTGAGTGAGTAAGGGAAGAGAGGCAGTGTAGCAGTGTCCGCGTCCCCCAGGGGCTGCCCCAGCACCGGCACCCACGGATAGACCTGTGCCATGGCCGCGCCCTGCCCCTGGAGGAGCTCCAATGCCAGCTTCACGGCTGCTTTATCCGTTACTACCCGATCAAACTGCGTTATCACTCCTATACTGCGCGCCCCTGGGGGCCGTTCGAGGGGGGTGGCGGTGGAGGGGGGGGAAACGGGTGAGTGAGTGAGTGAGTGAGGGAATGGAGGTGGAGCCGAAGAGGTGTGGGCGTCCCCCAGTGGCTGCCCCAGCACTGGCACCCATGGGTAGTTCTGTGCCATGGCCGCGCCCTGCCCCTGGAGGAGCTCCAATGCCAGCTTCGCGGCTGCCTTGTCTCAAACCGCGTTATCACGCCTATGCTGCACGCGGCAGCAGCAGCAGCAGCAGCAGCAGCACATGCTAGAACACTCTTACTTTGCTTGAACGAACACACACACTCATCATGCAACTGACCATGCTATTGAACAGACTTACCATCCCGGTCGATGTCATGCGCCAGGCGCAGCAGCTTGAGAGAGTCCTTGACCCTCGTGGCAGCGATGACCACGAGAATGATGGCGTCCTGATTCGCCACGTTGTCTTGCAGCTGGCGTGGAGGCAGTATGAAACGAGTGGGGAGGGGCGAAGGAAGCATGATGACAAGAAACATGGTGCCAGAACTCTTGAAATGCAGCGAAGACCACGAGGATGATGGCGTCCTGATTCACCACGTTGTCTTGCAGCTGGAGGCGGCAGTGGAGGCAGTGGTGGAAGTGTGGGAGGAGAATGACGCATGGGTAGGGAGGGGAGAAGAAACATGACGGGGTATGAGATGCACCAAGGCAGAGACGCAACATGACGTGGCATGGGAAGCCCTGTGTTCAACAGCTGTGTGAAACGCTGAAAGCAATGCGGGTGGGAGTCTGGCATCAGCAGCCACAAGGGCACCGACTGACTTTATCATCGTCAGAACAGGTGCTGCTGCCAATGAAATCAGCCCATCCAAGGAAGCCATTGCTGCTGCAGCAGCAGCAGCGGCAGCAGCCGCAGCCCCAATCCAAGTTGGCACCCCCCATGACTTGACGTCATCACGCGTGATGACGTCATTAGAAGGGAAAGCGAGGAAAGAGAGCTCCCAATCCCAACGCTGCAAGCAGCAGTGTGCCGATCAGACGAGGTTGCAAGAGAAGTGAAAAGGTGACGAGACGAGACGAGGGGAGTCACAGCAGCAGCAGCAGCAGCAGCAGCCCCAATCCATGTTGGCACACCCCATGACACGACGTCATTCGAAAGGAAAGTGAGGAGGGAGAACTCCCAGTCCCAACGCTGCAAGCAGCAGTGTGCCGATGAGACGAGGTCGCAAGCGAAGTGAAAGGATGGCGAGACGAGGGGACTCACCAATCCACGCATGCACAAAGTAGCATCTCTATTGCAAAAAAAGGAAAAAGAGGGCAACACAGTGAAGTGCACAGAGGTACTCACTGTGCCATCAAGGTCTGACGACCGTTCGACTCCGGGAAGATCCGCCACTCGCATTGGCGGTGCTGCAGGGGGGATGGGGGAGAGGGAAAGAAAAGATGAGTACACAAACCTCAGGATGAGCGACTATGGGCAATGGCAGGCATGACACGCGAGGGAACACCATTGCTGCGCAGATTATGAAGGATTTGCAGCATGCTTGTGGAAGAAAAGAAGAGGACAGGGGAGCCAAGGCAGGTAGGCCTCCTAGGCAGGAAAACGAGGGAAGGGCAAGGAAGAATTCAACTAGAGCGAGAGAGCGCAAAGACTGACCAATTGGCGAGCGGAGGATGAGGTGTGCCTCCTGGCGGCTCCTGGACTTGGACTTGGCCTGCGACATGTCCGCCACCAATGCCTGCCGCACCTCAGCTGGTAATGGTGAGACACACACAGACACAGACACACGCAAACATGCATGCACACGCACGCGCACGCGCGCGCGCGCACAAACACACACACACATGGAGCAACACACAGATGAGACGAGGAGAAACGGTTGAGTCAAAACTGCTGATACAGCATGTTCGCAATGAACTGAAATGAGAAGGAAAAGTTGGTGTGAAGAGTATTTAAAGTCATACTACTCACAGGGTTTTCGCATGTTGGCTCGTGGCCCGAGACTTGCTCGGATGCTGCCTACCCCCAGGTTGGGGTCCCTTTGTAGGTCCACCAGAACAGGGAAGCGTGTAGCTCCGCCCTCAGCCGTTGGCTGCAATGAGGCACGCAACAGCAATAACTTATTATTCAGTCGTTATAAACATCTACTCCCAGGTGGGGGTCCCCTTTTAGGTGGACCAGAACAGGGAAGCATGTAGCTCCGCCCTCAGCAGTTGGCTACAAAGGGGCACGCGGAAGAAATCGGAAATGGCTGGATAAACAAATCCATTGAGTCTATACATGAGACGAGAATGAAACTGAACATAAGAAAATAATGTGAGCATTTGTGGCAATGGCGGAACGAAGCAGTGCTGGTGGTGTGAGATGCCACGGCCATCAGACTGATCTGGACTGATTAAAACACGTGACACATCTGAATGGCATGATAGAGACTGAGGTGTACACAGCCAGACTGAGTCAAAGAATCACTCCAGTGCAGTGACTTACGAGGACTGCATGGCCAATGAGAGTGTTGAGAACAGCGGATTTTCCGGCACCCTGCAGAGATGTAAGCGTGTGGGGAAAGAAAATGCCAGGTCTAGCGATCGAATTTATGCAGCGTGGTGAGACGATTGGGATTCGGGTCCCACCGTTCCTCCAGCGCGAGGGGGTGAATGGGGAAACGAAGAGAAAATACTGTAGAGATGACAAAAGACAATAGCTGATTACCACGAAGTTGTAATTCGAGCCGCCTACATAAGAGCAGATACCACACGCTAATCAGATACAACAAAGAATAACCGCGGGGAAAGGTACAGACGACGCTCTTCCGTATAGGTCACGACACAAACAAAGCTTCTGGAGAGGTAATGGTACGAACGAAGCTCGCGTAGACTGGAAAGGTCGAGACCAACCACAATGAAATCTTCCTGCTTGCGGTTGGGTACGGAACTGTCCGAAAAGACGCGGAATTGCTTGAGACAGGCACGAAACGGACTGGGAAAGCTGAAAACTAACTGCGAAGGCACGGAACTGACCGGAGCACCGAGCACGACGAGCTGGATGACGGGCGAAGAGGAGGCGCTGCTGGAGGCTTTTGAGTCAAATCTTTAAGTGACGTCGCTGAAAAGGCACGGGACTGACTGAAAAGGCATGGAAATGGGACTAACCGGAGCACCGAGCACGACGAGCTGGATGACGGGCGAAGAGGAGACGCTGCTGGAGCGCGAATCGTCGGGGTCTGGAAGGTCGTCGCCGACGAGCGCTGACGATGCCTGCTGAAGCGTCTCGCCTAACGAGATCAGATCGTCCATGGTTGCGAATGACGGTGGAGTCGAATAGAATCTAATGCAATGACAGCGCGTGAGGAGTGGACGGACTGGATTCACCCGACGCGTGAGGAGGAGACGGACTGGATTCACCCGAGAGCCCTCGCCTGGATCGGAGGCATGAAGTGCTCGTATGTTTAATCGAGATGGTTTTGTCGCAATAAACAGATCATCCAAACGAGCACAATAAAGATCACGAAGAACCGTGTCCAGACAAGGGGAGACAATAAGTACGTAATTTCTTATTGCGATACCGGACGAGCCTAGGATTGGCAGAACCAGACTACTAGAAGCAGCTTTCACTGAACTAGCTACTGCCACTGGTTCTGCCGAATGCCTTACGACGTGTATGATTTTTTTGTAAGTTCGTAAATCGGGGCGAACTTTGGGTGGTAACCGATTTCGCAAATTTCGCCCATATCCTTCGCGAATGGTGTTGAATTTCCACATTCAACCATGTTCGAACCTACAAATGTGAACATATGCGTGAAAAACACACAAGCTGGGCTCGACAATTTGATGTGAACGTGGGTGGTTCCATGCACGTACGAGACGTCAGCGACGCTCGTGAATACTTCGTGCACCAATAGATGCACGAATTGGGCTCGGAGCAAATACCACGCTGCAAACAACACCACGTGGCATACGTCGTGGCACGATGACGTTTCGCTGGTGTCAAGATATTCAGGCGCAGGCGCGCAGACGCTGAGCTTCCCCAACCAAGCACGTTCACACTACCCAAATCACTCCTCAATTTCTCATCTCCAGCAACGTGACGGTATACAAACAGAGAGCATTCATTCAGAGTTATTCCAACACAGAGTATAGCTATGGCTTCACCACAGGGTCAAGCCAACGAAACCACCAGCCAGGCTGGCTCTGCCCCCGTACCTGCAAGCTCGACTCAACGTCGTCGTCGTGCCACTGTGGATAACACCACTGCGCGCCGCTTAGACGTGATAGACTTAGACCAAGTGATCGCGAGAGTCCCAGACCACACTACCCCTCTTAACGCACAAGATGACACGCTTGCGTATTTCGACGCCGGAGAAGTAGAGTGTGACGTCGTCGACACCGCCGACGAAGATACCGACCCTGCCGTGGCTTCCGACCGGCCGCGCTGGGAGCCGCACGAGGTTATGCAACTGGCGTGGATTCGCCACGACTTCGACGAGCAGTACCGCAGCTAGAACCGGCTGCAAGGCCAGAATCGCGATGTGATGATATTCGAGAAGGTCCGCCAGCGCCACCCGGAGTACCGCCACAACTTCGCAGCCGTGAAGGCGAAGCTCTTTCGGATGGAGGCGCAGTACCGTCGCGTGCGCGACCTCCTGCTCAACGACTCTGGCAAGGGACGCCCGCCTAAAATCCCCATCTTCTACGACATATTCGAGCGAATCCTTGGCGACCGCGCGAATGCCCGCCCGCCGGCGCTTGCGGGGAGCCTTCCAGGTGCCAACGTCGTGACTACCTTGCCAAATACAAGCACCACGGCGAGTAAGTAACGCGCATTTGTGAACGCAAGAATTCGTGAGAAAAGATTAGATGTGTTAAGTGCATTTTGCATTATACAATGAAGTACACGACATGAGAACTTAACGCGGTTTTCACCCCCTAAAGCTAACAACCTCCCCCGCACCCCCCAACCTCCCCCCAATCACGCCATTGCAGACCGCCCACTGCCCCCGCCAAGCGTCACGCCGGCGGGCTCCCAAGACGCCGTGTCTGCGTCGCCAGGCCGTGGTCGGGCAAGGCAGCGCACTCCTTCGAGGCAGCGCCGTGCATCGTCGCCGAGTGGGTCGCCACTGAACTTGTCCTCCGCTCCGCCGCCAGCTTCGCCAGCGTCGGGTGACGAGCCCACCGATGCCGCCGCAGCCGCATCTCCCGTCCGCTCACACGTCATCGGTGCGCGCACGGGAGCTTCTCTCCGCGGTCGAGGTGTCAACCGTCGGCCTGGGCCTGCGGCTGCGAGTGACGGAAACACAAGCATTGACGGGGGGGAACAAGCATTAGGGAGCCTTGTGAATGCAAGTGACGCTATACTGTGCAGGGAGATCGCGGCGATAATAGCACAGTCAGTGAGCAGCGCAATGCAGCAGCAATTCGGCGCTTTTATGGACCGTACCCAAGAGCTGGTTGCACAAGCTCGGGATGACCAAGCCGCCAAGAGGCGTAGAGGCACGCCGCCATCCGAGCACGACGACGAGTCGGCGTGAAGCCTTCGGCACGCGGGGAGAAGTGGGGCATGTCGGCCGCAGGACCGTCCAGCCACCAGGTGTTTCGTTCGCGCTCAGGGAGAAGACGGGGGCGAGGGCCTAGCAGTAGGTCAATGTTGTGCAGCACGACGCATGCCGCGACGTATTGGGTTGCGCGGAAGATGTCGCACTCCAATCTGCCGTCAAGCATTCTCCAGCGCATCTTGAGCCGACCGTTGACTTGCTCAACGATCATCCTGGCGCGAGACTGCTGGAGATTCCAGACGCGCTGCTCGTCTGGCAGACTGCGCCCGGGTAGAGCCCTGTAGGGGGTGTGTATGTAGTCGCGCAGACCGTAGGCAGCGTCTGCGACTAGGACGTAGTCGTAGAGCCCACCCAGTTCAATCTTGTGTCGCGCCGGCGAGTGCTGAAAGACCCTGGCGTCGTTGACGCTACCGGGCCATCCCACGTAGAAGTCGTAGATGTAGCCGCTGCAGTCACAAATAAATTGTGCTATGATGCTGAACAGGCCTTTCCTGTTCCTGAAATCCTCGCAATGTGGCCCTTGGCCTCGGCAGAGAATGTATGTGCCGTCCATAGCACCTGCGACACCGGGGATGCCAGCTTCGTTGCGAAACTCGCGCTCAAACACTTCCAGCATTTCCAAGTCGGGCCAAATGACCTACTTCGGGAGCAGAACCCTGTTCACAAAGTCGAGAAATTGAGTAAACATCACCTGTACGTGAGCATATGAATACCCGAAATGTAGTCCGAGCTGACGGAAAGAGAGCCCGTGACCGAGTCGATTAAGTCCCATGGCAATAAAAATAAAATTGTGTACTGGATGCTTGCGTGTAGCGAAGCTGCTGCGCTGGTACTGCCTCACGAGGTAGATGAACACCCGTCTGTCCACCCGCATGTATTCGTAGAACTTAGACTCGGGCAGCAGGGTTAGCAGCTTGAACCACCGCACGCGAGCATCGTGCCGATCACCACGGACAAACACACGAGTCTGCCGCAGTGTGAACGCGGCTACGAGGGAAGGAATTGCAGCGCCGACACCGGTGATGGCGGGTAGCAGGAAGCATGTCATGTAACCTTGGAAAACAATGGCTAGGAAACGAACCAGCTGTATGAGAGTCATCTTGCGATGCTGAGTTGGATCTGGAGCCAAGTCAGTCCGATATTTGTAGGGGGGTCAAATTTCAAGGGCGCGCCGTCGAGCTGGAAGGCTAGGGTGAACTTTTTGGGTTGCGCGCTTCGTTGACGTGTCGCGCTGTGAACTCGACGGCACCGGGTAACCTACGCAGCCTATATGCGGCTCGGTTCACCCCCTGTAAGCTCGAACCTGCAAATTCGCACTTGCAAGTGTGCTTGTGCAGCGGGCATCTTTGGCCTCTGCGGTTCGAACTTTCAAGATGCTCTAAATCGAGTCAAGTTTACATTGTGTTCAACTGCTACAATCGAATCAAAAACATAAACTTTAGCCAATTTCAAAAATCATACACGTCCTTAATATAAACTCGTTTGATGAAATCTAGGACATATTTGGTGCACCTGATCCTCGAGAGAGTCTCATGGGAGTTTCCTTGGTGCGGTTTGGTGAGATGTTCTGCGCGGCAAAGCGATACTCTTACACTGAAGCACGGTTGGGCACGGTTGGTACTCTTACGCTGTTCAAGGAGCTGCTGATCCCCACGTTTGCCGTGTAGGGCAGGAGCGAGAGTGCAAGGAGCAATGGGGGGGAGAAGCACATTGGCGGAAATAGGATGCTCTTCGATAAAAGGTGGAGGTTGCATGACCTAATGTGCTAAAATGGATTAAAAACTTGACAGAGAGGGAATAATTCCGTATGCTTACGACAATATGCAGCCTATTCGGCCCCTCGAAGCGGGCTCATACGCGATACAGCACCGCTGCCTCTGTTGCGGGAGGAAACTGTCTATCGCGCAACCTCCTAGAAACTGACAAATAGTTGGGACGAACCAATCCCCGCTGACAGCCTGACAAAGGGCGCTGAGATTCTCCCCCTCCACACTCGCACCCTGACGAAAGAGAGAGGCGGAACTGCAAATTTTATATTGGTGGGGTGCGGTGCAACGTGATTCAGCTGCGTGAAACCGAGAATTTCAGTAACCAGTCCCTTCCAACTCCAAGGTCCTGTTCGGCAGGCAGACGTAGGAAGGGGTGGAGGATCAGCTGAAACCAAATCCCAAGGGCTGGACTCGACACTTTTGTTTGGAGAACCCCGTCAGAAAGTATATTTTACAAGGCAGTGCTTACACAGATCACAAACGGCACTGGCAACCATCGTAGCAGCAGATCGACAGATACGCAGCATCTTGTGGGGTTGTCGATTCTCCGTGTTTTTTCCCTGAAGCGGATTCGACGCTATTCTCTTCCATTCTCCGCTTTCAACGCCTCTAGTGCCGACGAAGTCTGTCACCTTGTAGCCAGCGTCTCTTTTCTGAGTCGATACCTATTTAGCATCGACAAGATTTTGGAAGTGCGACTCTGATTTACCGCTCCATTCTTTATCTAATTACGAGGCTGCCGGAAATAAGGACACATGGATAATCTGATAGGTCTCGTGAATCGGCTTCAGCAGGCGTGCACGGTGTTAGGAGACTATGGCGTGTCGAGCGCTGAAGATGCGCTGCCGACGCTCTGGGAGCAGCTTCCGTCGGTGGCTGTGGTGGGAGGTCAGGTGAGGCGAATAGCGACGCACGTCGGATAGATTTTCAGAATGAAGTGACTTTTGAGTGGAATAGAAAGTCCCTTCGGTGGCTGCGATGGGAGGTAAGGCGAAACGGATAAATTCGCATCAAATACCTACTGGGGCTCGGAATCATATCTCTGACGGTTTTTTAGTACCATTGCTCCAAGCATAACTCAGGGTGCCCTGGTTCAGAATCTAATTTCAAGTAATACGTTTCCTTCTGGTGCATTTCTTGGAGATACTCGACCCCTGGCGGCGTGTGTCAACCTGAAGTCTGTGTACTGGGTTGCCGAATCTGATGCTGGCGATAGTGATGCTTCTATTGGATGTCGCGATGGCCGACTGGATCAGAGGCCTTTTCATAGGGACCAAAAGAACCTCCATATGACCATAGAGAAATTTTATCATTATCTTTCACCATAGACTGTTCTTTGCACGTTTCCGCCCAGGCATAGTCTCTAGTCTTGTGATGATATTTTACCGAAATGACCCCGCTTGGCTTATCCATCTCTATTCCACACCGTTCCCATCCCGCTCCCATCCCGTTACCATCCCGTGGCAGAGTTCGGGCAAATCGTCGGTGCTAGAGAGCATTGTGGGAAAGGATTTTCTTCCTCGAGGGTCAGGTATATCGTCATAGCAACAGCCGACGGCTTGCCTTCTGGATGTGTCAGAAAGGCCTCAGTCATGTTCCGCAATGACTGGTCTTCTAGTGAGTGCTCTCGTATGTGTTGGTCTCTGTCGTCGCGCCACCTTGCTGATGATTTGCTTGCCCTTGTTAGCCCTAATCATGACCATCCGCTGCGTTGATGTGTGCCGTGACGCTGCATGTGGTGATAATGTATGATGTCCGGTAATGAGCGCTGTGGTGTGTGTGGTGCTGTGTTTTGCTATGTGGTGCGGTGCTGTGCTGTGTTGTGCTGTGCGGGTGGATTCAGGTATTGTCACACGGCGGCCACTGGTGCTGCAGCTGCACAAGGTGGACTCAGCATCCGAGTACGCGGAGTTCTTGCACCAGCCGGGCAAGAAGTACACTGACTGGGGTGAGTGGCCATGGCGGAGTCTATGATTTGTTGTCGTGCCGCCATTTATTGTGTTCTTGGCCTTTCTTGTCTCTCATGAACATGTCATGCCTTTTTCTCCTGATTCTTTCTCCATCTTTCTGCCCAGCTGCCGTGAGAAAGGAGGTTGCAGATGAGACTGATCGAATCACTGGGAAGACCAAGATGATCTCGCCTGTTCCCATCCATCTCAGCATCTACTCTCCCAATGGTATGCAACCACCTCAGCATCTACTCTCCCAATGGTATGCAACCACCTCCGCGTTTTTTACTCTCTTAATGGTATGCTTCCACCCCAGCGTTGTTCCTTCTACCCGTGTGTCTCCATGTGCTATGTACGTGAAGACTTACTATCTCACCTTGTTGTGTGTCATCATCGTGTGCCTCCTCTCTATATTTCGTGAGCCTCCATCTTATTTTCCCGACTAATTGCCTGCCTGTTGCTGTGTCCCTGCAGTGGTGAATCTGACCCTGGTGGATCTGCCCGGGCTCACAAAGATTGCCGTGGGTGAGTTGTTAATCATCTGCTCATGGCTGCTTGTGATACGCCAGGTGGCAGGCAAATGCAGGTTCGTAATCTTACACTCTGTGCACGGGGTTGCACTGCGCAGCACATTGAGGTTGAGACTCTTGAAGAGTGGCGCTAGCGTAGGTCTCGGTGTGGGAGGTGGTGCTGTGCAGCCCGTGCTTGCTTGCTGGGTGTGCTGTGTTCCTGTTATGACCTCGCTGGAATCTGATCAATCATCCACCTGTGGGTGACTGTCCCTGTGACGTGATGGTGGTGCTTTGCGTGCCTTGCCTGTGGTGGTGATTTCTGGCCTGCAGAGGGCCAATCGGAGAGCATTGTGCGGGACATTGAGGACATGGTTCGGCAGTATGTGGAGAAGGTGAGCGAGGGGAGGGCGAGTCCGGGGAAGGCGAGTCTGGGGAAGGCGAGTGCGGGGAAGGCGAGTGTGGGAAAGATGAGTGGGAAAGGTTAGTGTGGGAAAGGTTGAACGTGGGAAAGGTGAGTGTGGGAAAGATTGAGTGTGGGAAAGGTGAGTGTGGGAAGGCGAGAGCGGGAAAGGTGAGTGTGGTAAGGCGAGAGTGGAAGACGAGGAAGGTGCGATTGTATCATCCTGTCCGTGTTGCCTTAAACCAAGACCTTGACGTTGTGTATCTTCACAGAGGCTTCCTTAACCTTTCCTTTTTTTTTTCTTCGTGTCTTCCCCTCCTTTCCCTTATCCTCCCTACAGCCCAATTGCATCATCCTGGCAGTATCGCCCGCCAATCAAGACATTGCCACCTCAGATGCTATGCGCATGGCCAGAGAGGTCGACCCTGAGGGTAAGTAGTCGTGAGAGTGCTCTGTCTTGAGGGTAAATAGCCAGGAGCTCCTCAATGTATATGCCCCCCCTATGTTAAGTATCAAGGGGCTTCTTAAGTGGAACCAAGGCATTCCCCTTCCTCTCAATCCAACCATGTATGTTTCCACCGTGTATGTTCCCCTTCCCGGTCCCTGTGGGTGGCGTGTAGGTGAGAGGACATGGGGTGTGCTCACGAAGCTTGACCTGATGGACAAGGGCACCAACGCACTTGATGTAAGCTTATGAGATTGATGTTTGAGTCGACTCAGAAGTCACGTTGACACATACCTTCTTGGTCCACTCTCATCGTTTTTTATTTGTGATTGGGCGCGGTGAACCCTCACATGCTGACATAAACATGGGCTGTCCTTCTTCCCTTCAATCCCTTCTTTGCTGCAGCGCCTCACATGCTGCTAGATGCCAGAGGGCCATCTGTTTTCTTCCTTCCCGTGCCTGCACTCACCACCCATCATGTGCTAGAGGGGCGCGCATACAAGCTGAATCTCCCGTGGGTGGGCGTGGTGAACCGCTCTCAGGCCGACATTAACTCAGCTGTTCCCCCTGTAATCCCCCTCCTTGCTGCAACCCCCTCCTTGCTGCACCCTCTTCCCCTCCCACACGCCACCAGGTGCTAGAGGGGCGCGCGTACAAGCTCAAGTACCCATGGGTGGGCGTGGTGAACCGCTCTCAGGCCGACATCAACCGCAACGTGGACATGCTGGCATCCCGGCGCAAGGAGAGAGAGTACTTCCAGACGTCTGCTGACTATTCTCATCTCGCAAATCGCATGGGCACTGAGTACCTCGCCAAGATGCTCTCCAAGGTACAGCCTCCTACTTCACTTCACCTGCTGCTGATATCATGAGAGCATGACAGGAGGATCGCATGCGAGGAGCGTTAACTGCAACGTGGACATGCTGGCATCACAGTGCTGATTATTCGCATCTTGCTGATTGCATGGGCAGTGAGTGCATGGGGAAGATGCAATCAAAGGTATCGCATTTGAGGGGTCGTTTGAGACATTGCGGACACAAAATGGGCGTCCTTCTTTGGATGCACAGCTAATTGCCTGGGCATTGAAATCCTGTCCAGAATGCTTCTCAATTCAAAGTATTCTTGGTCGTCCTCATGTGTTGTCTGTCTCGTGTGTACTGTCTCTCATATGTGCTGTGCTGTGCCCTTGTGTTGTCTTGTCGATATGCTGGCAGCATCTGGAGCAAGTCATTCGCTCCAAGATCCCGGGCATCCAGTCGCTCATCAACAACAACATTGACGACCTTGAGAAGGAGATGAATGCACTGGGCCGGCCCATCGGGGGTGAAGCGGGGGTGAGTGGCTTCGTGGCGTGTTGTCGTGGCCTGAGTAGTGTGCCGTTGTGGGGTAAGCGGAAATGCAATTGCTTATTAGTAACAACATTGACGACCTTGAGAAGGAGATGAACGCACAGGGCCGGCCCATCGGTGGTGAAGCGGGGGTGAGTGGCTTCGTGGCGTGTTGTCGTGGCCTGAGTAGTGTGCCGTTGTGGGGTAAGCGGGAACGCAATTGCTTATTAGTAACAACATTGACGACCTTGAGAAGGAGATGAACGCACAGGGCCGGCCCATCGGTGGTGAAGCGGGGGTGAGTGGCACATGTGCTCTGTTTTCTTCACAAGCTCTTTCTCCTTAGGTGTAGGTAGGTGCATCCATCCAGTCGCTCATCAACTACAGCATTGACGACCTTGAGAAGAGATGAATGCGCTGGGCCGACCCATTGGTGGTGAGGTGAAGCGGGGGTGAGTGGCACATGTGCTCTGTTTTCTTCACAAGCTCTTTCTCGTTGGGAAGAGGTGACTTTTGAGTCGACTCAAAAGTCATCGGTGGTGAAGCCCGGGTGAGTGGCACATGTGCTCTGTTTTCTTCACAAGCTTCTTTCTCGTTGGGAATATCTGCTGTTGTTCTGACTGCATCTCATCTGTCGCCACTCTCTCTTTTCCCACCGCTCCTTTCAAGTTCTCATCCTAGCCACGCATGGTACTGGAAATGATTATAGGGTTAACAACTCCCTTATTCCCCCTCCCCCCACCCTTTCCTGATTGCTGCCTCCTTCCATCCCCCCTTTTCGTCTGCCTGCAGGCGCAGCTATACACGGTGCTGGAGATGTGTCGAGCATTTGACAAGATATTCAAGGAGCACTTGGACGGCGGGTAAGAGGTCGGGGGTGGGTGGGTGTGTCCTCCTGTGGTGGGCTGGCAGCGAAGGCATTTAAAGGGCCCCAGGCGCAGCTATACACGGTGCTGGAAATGTGCCGAGCATTTGACAATATATTCAAGGAGCACTTGGACGGCGGGTGAGGGCGTGGGGTGTCGTGGTTGTGTGCTTGGTGGGAGTTGGTAGTGATGTGCCAAGCACCTTTCAAGTATTGGGAGAATCACAGAAACTTTTCTTGAGGTTGACAAGGAGTGTAAGGAGCGCCTACAGGCATGGTAACGAGTGGTCTGACAAAGTAATCTATTGTGCGAGATGGGTGATCCTATCAAGGATTTTTTAGGCGCCTCAAAAACCTTTCAAGGAGAACAGTGTGGGGTTTGATGTTACGAAAGGTTCCCGGTTTCTCCTCATACCTCCCTCTGTGCTGGCGCGTGCTCTTTTCTCTTCTCCCACTGCTGGTGTTCAACAGTCGACCAGGGGGTGATCGAATCAACGCTGTGTTTGAGACGAAGCTGCCAGCAGCCCTCAGCAAGCTTCTCTCTGTATTAATGGGCCTGAATAATCTGTTTGAATTTCTTCCCATTCAACAGTCGACCGGGGGGTGATCGAATCAACGCTGTGTTTGAGACGAAGCTGCCAGCAGCACTGAACAAGCTCCCTTTCGACAAGCACCTCTCCATCCAGAGTACGTGCCTTGTCAGTCCACGTCATGCACCTGTGAGCAATAACTTGCACACGCACCCACACGCACTCACACGTGCACACACACACAGACGCGCACGCATGCACACTCGACAAGCTCCCCTTCGACAAGCACCTCTCCATCCAGAGTACGTGCCTTGTCAGTCCACGTCATGCACTGCACATGCGCGTGTGAGCATACATACACCCACACACACGTACACTCACACCACACACACACAGTGTGTGCACGCACAGGAGCACATACATGCATGCATGCATGCATGCACCACTCCGTGTTTGAGATGAGCTTGCCAGCGTCGCTCACCAAGCCCCCTCACCCCGTGATAAAAGAAGTGTTCTGAGACGCCTCAAATCAGTGTGTGCACGCACAGGAGCACATGCATGCATGCACCACGCCGTGTTTGAGATGAGCATGCGTTGACTTCTGAGTCAACTCAAAAGCCAGCATAGCTCCCCAAGCCCCCTCACATCTCCTCTCCAATCCCCTCCTTCCTCTCGCCAATGGAACTCTTATCCTCACCCCTACAACTGGCAGATGTGAGGCGGATCGTGGCGGAGGCAGACGGGTACCAGCCGCATCTGATCGCCCCGGAGGGCGGTGAACCTCACTAACCCACCCCCCCCTTCCGCTCCCCCAACAACTCCCACCTGGCCCCTCGCTCTCACAACCCTTCAGATGTGAGGCGGATCGTGGCGGAGGCAGACGGGTACCAGCCGCATCTGATCGCTCCAGAGGGCGGATACCGGCGCCTAATCGAGAGCGCGCTGCTCATGTTCAAGGGGCCGGCAGAAGCAGTGGTGGACGAGGTGCACTTCATTCTCAGGGACCTCGTTTGATTTCCTTTTCCCCAACCCTTTTCCTTCACCCCTCTTCCCCACCGAAACCCTTCCCTCACTTCGTTCGCCAGACGTGCGGCGGATTGTGGCGGAGGCAGACGGGTACCAGCCGCATCTGATCGCCCCAGAGGGCGGATACCGGCGCCTTATAGAGAGCGCGCTGCTCATGTTCAAGGGGCCGGCAGAAGCAGTGGTGGACGAGGTGCACTTCATTCTCAGGGACCTCGTTCGATTTCCTTCTCCCCAACCCTTTTCCGTAACCCCTTTTCCCCACAGAAACCCTTCCCTCACTTCATTCGCCAGACGTGCGGCGGATTGTGGCAGAGGCAGACCGGTACCAGCCGCATCTGATCGCTCCTGAGGGCAGTTACCAGCGGCTGATAGAGAGCGCGCTGCTTATGTTCAAGGGGCCGGCAGAAGCAGTGGTGGACGAGGTGCACTTCATTCTCAGGGACCTCGTTCGCATCCCCGTAGGGGAGACCACTGAGCTGCTGCGATTCCCTTTTCCCAAACAACCCCTTTCGCACCCACCCAACCCCTTCCCTTTCTTCCCTCACCCCAACAACCGGCAGATGTGAGGCGGATTGTGGCGGAGGCAGACGGGTACCAGCCGCATCTGATCGCTCCTGAGGGCGGATACCGGCGCCTTATCGAGAGCGCGCTGCTCATGTTCAAGGGGCCGGCAGAAGCAGTGGTGGACGAGGTGCACTTCATTCTCAGGGACCTCGTTCGCATCTCTGTAGGGGAGACTACAGAGCTGCTGCGGTTCCCTTCGCTCCAGGCTGAGCTGTCAGCTGCTGCCACGCAGTCGCTGGAGAGTTTTCGGGAGAACAGCCGGAAGCTGACCGTTCGAATGGTGGAGATGGAGACGAGTTATCTGACCGTGGAGTTTTTTCGGCGGCTGCCCGGGCTTGAGAATCTTGACGAGGCGATGGATGGGAAGGAGGGGAAGAAGGGGAGTGGGAGCGGCATTAGTAGCAAGATCAAGGCGTTGAAGGGTAGTGGAGACAGGCTGCCTACAGGGGCGGACAGATACCAGGAAATGCACTTCAGGAGAATTGGTGAGTGCGTTTGAGTCCCCTGAAGTGCCCTCACGAGGCTTTGATGAGTGCTGTATCTGACCTTTGAGTCTAGTCAAAAAGCTGCCTACAGGGGCGGAACAATGCCGTAAATCTTTTCGTTCTATTTTCGAGTCAATGAGTCCTTTCCACTCGCAATCCTCAATGCAACCTCCAGGCTCCAATGTGTCCACTTACGTGGGCATGGCCATGGAGTGCTTGCAGAACGCACCATAATCCCGCCCGCCCACCAACTGTTTGTGCCACTCCAGAATGCACCTTTACTCACCCCTGCTCTTTGTCTCAATCTCAGCAATTTCCATTCCGTTTCTGTCACCTCTTGCTGCCTCCCTCCCCAGGCTCCAATGTGTCAACCTACGTGGGCATGGTCATGGAGTGCTTGCAGAACACTGTCAGTCAGTTGGGAAGTCACCTCTTTCCCCTTTCTCCCTTTCCCGCACACGTCCCTTTTCCTTCTTCTCCCCTCTTTGTAATCTTTGCTGCTCCCGCCAGGCTCCAATGTGTCAACCTACGTGGGTATGGTCATGGAGTGTTTACAGAACTCCATTCCCAAGGCTGTGGTGCACTGCCAGGTAGGATTGGGTGTTGCCAGGTAGGACTGGGCGTTGTCAGGTAGGTTTGGGTGTTGCCAGGTATGATTGGGTGTTGCCAGGTAGGATTGGGTGTTGCCAGGTAGGATTGGGTGTTGCCAGGTATGATTGGGTGTTGCCAGGTAGGATTGGGTGTGGTCAGGTGGGACCATGCATCTTCAGGTAGGATTGCACACTCTTCGAAAGGTTGGTCCATTGTCGGACCAGCAGGGTGTCCCACGTTTGCCTTTGATGGGCAGGAACACAGAACTACACTAAATTGGCAATTAACTTCTTAAAGCTCAAGGCCCAAATTGTTCAACCTTACTAAGGTTGCCCTTTGGGTGGTGGGTGAGGAAGGTTGACTTTTTTTAAGTTGGGCTGTTCTGTTTCGCCCAGCTTCGCGCTACACCCTCAGGGTTTTCGCTGACTCAGCAAACCCCAGGGAGCAACTCAGTTTGGTTCTCGAGTCCCAAATTGCACTCACAATATTCTTGGTGTTTCCTTCTCTCCTATTTGACCAAAAACTGTTGCCCAATCAAATTTCATCGCACCTCTCGTAACCACAATTCGCAACCAAACACGACTCAAAACACAACTCTCATCAACTTTAGTAATCTTGCCTCGCGCGCTCTGCAATTTGGGCCTTGAGCTTTAATTTTGCCCTTTCTGTCGGTTTTGCAGGTCCGGGAAGCCAAGCGGCGGCTGCTGGACCAATTCTATGCGATGGTGGGCAGGGAGGGTTGGGAGGAGGTGGAGGGGGAGGTGACGATTGACCTTGTGGCCCCTTTCTTTCTGCCCTTGTGTCTGTGTTTTGCAGGTCCGGGAAGCCAAGCGGCGGCTGCTGGACCAATTCTATGCGATAGTGGGCAGGGAGGATGGGAAGGCGCTGGGGAAGCTGTTGGATGAGGATCCGGACGTGATGGCTCGGAGGCAGGCTGCGTGGAAGAGACTGGAGCTGCTGCGCAAGGCACGGAATGAGATTGACAGTGTTGGATGGGCCCCAGTGTGAGGCGTGATAAGGGGTTGTGTTGGGTTCGGTTTGGTGGATGCTAGAGAGAATGGAAGTTAGGAAGGCATCAAAGACAGTAGGTGTTGACTTGGACAATTAAACAAGATGGCGACAAGCCAAGAAGCGGGCAAGTTTAGCATGGGAAGGGAATACAGTGTTAGAAACAATTGTAGGTTATGTCACCATGAGCTGTGATGCCGTGGTTTCAATGTATTAGACTGTAAATGAGGATATTGCTTATGTGTGCACTCGTTTGAGCGGGAATCCTAACCGTTGGCGCTAATTTTTTTGCTTCCACGATCCGGCATTTTCACTAGACATCGGTCAAGGAACCGCTTTCTCCCCCCTCCGCACGCAAAAACACCACCGACAATCGAGCCAGCCAAGCTCTGATTTTGCGATTGGCGGCGGAACGCGTTGTGCTTGCCATTGGCGCGTCGTTCTTAGCGGACCAAATTCATCCGGCACATTCATTTTCTAGCCAAGCCTAGAAATAATCGCATCGCACGGACCAGATCACTTCCAAAACGGAGCACCCTCATCGCGATCATGTCCCCCTTTTCCTGCAATTTAAACCATGAAAGCCCAGCCACAAACCTCGCACCCAGAATCCCGACTCCTCCAAACCTGTCTGCAGCATTCAGGCGTGATACATTCTCTCCCGACCAAATCCGAACGGTACAAAATTGCCAAACCCATGACTTGTCTCATCCAGCCCGGAATCATTGAATTAGCGAGCCGAGGACGACCGTGGATGAAAATTTATGGAGAATCTCCTCCATCGATTTCCGCTCTCCATAAATATCACTGCACCAGAAGCAGTTGTCCTCCCAGTCAAAACCAAGGCTGCAATTCTCTGGGTGCTGGGAAAAAACTTCTTCCATTTTCCACTTTCCACTCCTCCTTACCAGTCTCTGTGTTGACTTGAGAATTCGGTGGTTTCTGTGAGCATAGTGGTTTCAGTGGCTTCCGCATTACAGCCTGTGTACAACTGCAGTTGTGTGCTTCAACTTCGGCTGGCGACTGGAGTAGAAGACACACCTGTGCTGCAGGAAAACATATTGCCAACCTTGTACATAGTTCACACACCTGAACCTGTCGAGCTCCGAGTTCATTAGTCTCGGATTCAAGTCTTAAATGCGAAATCGACTCCCCAATCATCAGTTGACCTACTGATTTTTTCTCCTCGCTCTCACATCCAGTGCCGCCTTTCACCAACAGCGCCTTTCTCCGGGACAATTTAGAACAGCAGGAGACCGTGGCTTGTTTTTTTGGGCGCCTCGGAAAGCGTGACGCGGTCGCCGATGTCGTTCTTAGAAGCGCGCCAGGCGCTCGATAGGTCGCTCGGGTCGCCTGCGTGGACGGATCGCGATGCCGTCGCGGCTGCTGTCAGGCGGCACCTGGGTACGTGCGAATTTAGAGACGGTAATAAGTCTCTATTCCTACCAGGCGCGACCTATTCTTTCGTCTTTCTTAGTAGTAGAGTTGTAAGGTGGTGCCGCCAGGCGCGACCTATTCCTACCACCTACCCGAAAAATAGCGGAAAGGTAGAAGATAGGATCGGGGGGCCGGGAACGTTTAAGACTGTCGGATATTAAGATTGTCAGGTGTTAATATTGTCAGGTCAGTCAAGCTCTTCGATGCTGCGCTTCGAGTACCTGTGGCGTCCTTTTCAGTTGGAACACTTTAATGCCTGGCTTAATACGGAGGGTTAGCGGGAAGACTGCAGCATAGATCCGAAACGATTCGCTGGGAGCGTTATTTCAAATTTGAAAAGTTTGTTCGAGACTCGTAAAATCGAGACTCGTAGAAGTTTGCTCGTAATTTATTGGCCACTACTGCGTAAGCGCAACGAGCGTCGGACTGGTAACAGCGAATTCCGAGATCTTGTGACGCCCTCCAGTAGTCAGGCAACCAGTGTAGAATGGTAACCAGTGTAGATCTTGTGTTGTCATTTCGCCAATCGCAACATGCTGCCGCGATTCGCATCTCCTCTCTCGGTCCTCTTACCCTCTTCCCCTCGTCCACTTTTCCCCTTCCCCCTGCGTCCTTCCGCTCTCGTGCCTCGGCGTTCTTGTTACCAAATTTTGGATGACTTTTGCGCAGTAGCGGATTGCGAGGAGCAAAATGGCAGCACCAAACTAGGCGCAAGCAGCAACGTTCTCGGGGAGTCCAATAAGGGGAACATTATCCCGGACGTTACTAACACTGGCGGTGCTGGCGACGATGCCGCGGGGAAGCCAGCGCGTTGCGCGCGGTTCTCGGAGAAATTCGTCGAGGCGCGAACGCGCGAGTTAGTCGACGTGTTGGACAGCCTGCGCACCGCGGGAGAGGCGAATCTCGAGTCGCTCGCGCTGAGCAGCGAGAGTATCCGGGAGGACGGCGTGGATTGCGGCGACGACCGACAATGGCGGGTAAGCGTCGACGGCAAGCTGGGAAGGGAGGGCGACGGAAGAGGAGAGTAAGGAGCTCCGAGTCATGTACAGCAACGGAGTCACTTTCGAGAATTCTCAAAAGAGCACCGCAACGGCCTGGAGGGCACGCCGCTGCACAAGATCTGAATCGTTCCCTCCCCCGCTCTTCCTCCCCCCCCCACCCCCCCCCCCCGGCCACACTCCCCTTTGTCTGTGCACCCAATCTTTGCGTTTCTTTGCTCTCGCAGTTGAAGGAGGAGGGGAAGGAGCACCGAGTGCTGTACCGCAAGGGTCCTGAGGGCACGCCGCTGCACGAGATCTGCCTGGAAGGAATCATCCACGGCCCGCTTGACACCTGTACGTGCCGCAGCCTGCCACGTGTCTGCTATCTTCCGTTGTTGACACGTGTCTGACATCCGTGCGTTCACTGATCACATTTTCCCTTTCCGGCCTGCCCCTGTCCTGTCCCTTCCCCCCCCCCTCTCCCCCCCCATACTTTCTTCTCCCGCCCGCCCCTGACCATCGTCTCTCCCGTTACTGTCTGCGTCTTCTTTGCGCCATGCTGCAGTGCTGGCTGTGGTATGGGAGGTCCCCTTTTTTAAGGACTGGTAAGAACCCAGAGCCACCTGTTCTTCAAATTCAAACCCCTGCTCCCTTCCAAACTCCTCCTTCCATTTCCTTTCCCCCTCCCTTTTTTTCAAACCCCTAACCCCCCCCAACCCCCCCTCGCATACTTCCCCTCCTCCCGCCTCCCAGACACCTTCCCTCTCTCCCCGTTTCTTCCCTCTCTCCCCGTTTCTTCCCTCTCCTCCCTCCCCTTGTTCTCCCGCGTTTTTATCTTCTCTCCCTGCCATCCCGTTCCTTTCCACACGCAATTTATGACATTTTGAACGGCATTGCCATCCGCGTCTTATCCATTTCTCACCCTTGTGATACAGCAATTATTAGGGCCACGTCATTCATCGACACGTCATCTGATGCCACGTCACCCCATGTCACGTCATCCCGTGCAGGTGGCCTCAGTTCAGCGTGCCGCCTTTCAAGGTGCTAGAGTCCAAATTCGCCCACCGCATTGCACCGGGGCTTGAGCTCAGCTATCTACAGTGAGTCATTCACTTATTGCTCGAGTCGAGTTCAAATTCGCATTTCGAGGCGCCTCAAAGGCCGCATCGCACCGGGCCTAGGACTCAGCTACCTGCCGTAAGTCATGGTACTGGATTCATCGTGATGCCTATAGCAGGTTGTGGGGATGTCTATAGCGAGTCAGGGGTGATGCCGAAATTGAACTGGCGAGTCATGGTGATGCCTAAAGCGAGTCATGGTGATGCCTATAGCGAGTCATGGTGATGCCTATAGCGAGTCATGGTGATGCTCATAGCGAGTCATGCTTTGGCCTCAGTAGGTTGATCTGTGGCCCTTCACCTCATACCTCTCCTTGCCTCCCAGCCTTCCTTAACCTCCTCTCCCGTCCCACAGGTTCAAGTCGCCATGGCCCTTCGTCATGCGAGAGCTGCTCTTCCTTGCTTTCAAGGTTCACCACGTATGTGTGATTTGACTCAACTCATGCCTCTGCTTCTTTACCCTCCCTTTTTCACCCTCCCCCGTCCCACAGGTTCAAGTCGCCATGGCCCTTTGCCACGCGAGAGCTGCTCTTTTTCGCCTTCATGGTTCATGACATGGCCACGGGTCTCTTTGTCGCCTCTGTGCACTCGGTGAGTGGTCTGGTTGGTGGTAAGAAACGACCACAGGCCTCATCCTGAGCTCGTGAGCTTGTGCCTGCTTTTTTTCGCCTTCATGGTTCACAACACGACCACGGGTCTCTTTGTCGCCTCCGTGCACTCGGTGAGTCATGCGGGCGGGCGAGTGATCTGGCGCGTGAGCCTCTCTTATGCCGCAGAGCAGAGCACGTCCACCAGTCCTCGCCTTGGTGGTTCACAACACAGCCACGGGGCTCTTTGTGGCCTCCGAGCACTCGGTGAGTGCATGTGCTCATGCTGACTGAATGCTGGTGCTTTTGGTAGTGCTCTCAGTGCGTGTGTGTGTGGGTGCTCTTGTGCATCGTTCGGCTGTGTAGCTGGTGTGTGTGTAGGTGCTCGTGCTTACCACCGCCCTTGTTGAGGAAGGTGCTTTAGGTGAGCATAGGTCCTCTCAGGTGAATCAGGTGAGTCGTGTGGGGAGCGAGTCCACTACTCTTGACACGTCTCAGAAGTTTTGAGATGCCTCAAGAATCGCCCACAACTCTTTTTTATCTCGTGCTTTAGGTGAGCACAGGTGCTCTCGGGTGAGTCGTGTGGGGAGCGAGTCCACTACTTTTGTGACGTCTCAGAAGTTTTGAGATGTCTCAAGAATCTCCCACCGCCCTTGTTGAGGAAGGTGCTTTAGGTGAGCACAGGTCCTCTCGGGTGAATTGTGTGGGGAGCGAGTTTCGAGAATTCTCAAAAGCGACTTGGGTGAGTCGTGTGGGGAACGAGTCCATTACTCATTGGTGGAAAAGCCATGCCCTCTGGACCTCGCCTCTATGTTGCGTAGTACCACCACCACCCTTCCCTTCCCCCTCCCGCCCCTTTCCCCCAGCCACCCGACGAAACCCTCACACCTTGCCTCCAACCTATTTCCTTCCCCCACACCAACCTTTCCCCCCTCCTCCCCCCCCCCCCCCCCCCCCCCCCCCCCCCCTCCCCCCGATTCCCCCAGCCACCTGATGACATATCACACATGGACCCTGAGACAGCCGTTTTGCACCCATCCGCCGTGCCCCCTGTGGCGCCGGGCTGTGTGCGCATGACTGTGGGCGGTGGATTTGCAGGGCAGGACCTGGGGGGTGGTCGCTGCTACTTCCGGTAAGCTTGGTTCTTGAGAAGGTACGTCTGTGCAATCAGGTGAATTTTGAGTTGACTCAAAAGTCGCCTCGTATGTGTAGAGAGGGTGTTTTTGAGACGTCTCGAAAACACCCTCTCTACACGTGAGTCCACTCAAAAGTCACCTCGTATGACTGTGAAATCTGTCTTTTGAGGTGCTTCAAGCACGGTATGCCCATGCAATCGGAAGGGCAGGACCTGGGGGGTGGCCGCTGCTACTTCCGGTAAGCTTGGTCTCTTAAGAAGTTTGAGGGCTGCGCCTTGCCGCTGTTGTTATTCCTGGCGTTGTTTCTGCAACTTGCGGGGCAGGACCTGGGGGTGGGGGGCGGCTGCTGCGTGATAAAAGAGATGTTTTGAGACGCCTCAAAACGTCTCAAAACGTCTCAAAACGTCTCAAAACAGGACCTGGGGGTGGGGGGCGGCTGCTGCTACTTCCGGTAAGCTTTCCCTCCGGGGAAGTTAAGGGGTGTGCCTTGCCACTGTTGTTATTTCTGGCGTTGCCTCTGCAAATTGCGAGGCAGGACCTGGGGGGCTGCCACTGCTACTGTTATTGTAACAAGGTGTCTTTTTGAGTCGACTCAAAAGTCACTTGGAAGGCAGGACCTGGGGGGCGGCTGCAGCTACTGTTTCTGCAGCTGCAGCTGCAGCTGCAGTCACTTGCTCCTGGCGTCGTTTCTGCATCCCCTGTGGCCCATCACCTTAGCTGCCTCTGAAAGTACCACCAGCAACAACAACACACTCTCACCCTCCTCATTCCCTCCCTCTCCTCTCCTCCCCCCACAGTGGTGCATGCACGCTGGATATGAAGTTTGACCTCATCCCCCATGGCTCATCAATTTCGTCGCCAGGCAACTAGCCGGCTCTGGTTACCACCTTTTCTGTTACGAGGTAGACACAATTGTGAATGCCGCCGCATCAACCCTGTCATTCCTTCCTCTCTCCTCCGTTCTCCCCCAATCCCCCTCTCTCTCCCCCCACAGTGGTGCATGCACGCTGGATATGAAGTTTGACCTCATGCCCCCATGGCTCATCAGTTTCGTTGCCAGCCAGCTTAGCCGTCTCTGATTACCACCAACAATCCCGTCACTCCTCCATCCCCGACCCCCCCTCCCCCCACAGTGGTGCATGCACGCTGGATATGAAGTTCGACCTCATGCCCCCATGGCTCATTAACTTCGTCGCCAGGCAACTAGCAGGTTCTGGTTACCACCTGCTCTGTCACGAAGTAGACACCATTGTGGAAGCCACGGCTGCTGCTGCTGCTGCTGCTGCCGGTGGGAAGTGTGACAAGAAGAAGGGGCGCGGGGCGTTTCAGCAGCTTCTGGCCTCCGATCCAGTCTATGCAGGTCTGAGGACAGCTATGGAGGAGTACAGAAGGGGTAGGGAGGAAGAGGAGGAGAAGAGGAGGAGGGAAGGGAGTGAGAAGGAGGGAAGGTGTATGCGGGAATTGGGGGAGAAGGTGGAGGAGGAGGTGGAGCGTCTTGTTTCGTCTTTATCTAAGAGGGAGAGTGTGCTCGGGCCTGAGGAGGCGGAGAAGGCTCTGCTACAGCTGGAGGCTGCTGCTGCTTCGGCTGTAGCGCTGGCTCGGCCTTCCGCCGAACCTCTTAGTTCGCAGACTAGGGACAGGTCTGGAAGCAGGTCCGCGAACGGATTGGCTGCAAGTGAAGCATCTGCCGCTGCTGCAACGATTCTAGCTGCTGCTTCAGCTGCATCAGCTGCAGCTCATGCTGCTGACGGCCCTCCCAGTGCTGCTACTTCCTTCAGCTCCGTTACCCAAACTTTCTCTTCCGGACCTCTGCCTTTGGCTCGACACGGAGGTCTGGAAGCTGAAGAGGGCATGGCAAGACTGCTTCGGGAGTCCTCCTCTGTACGTTCGGGGCCGCTTCCAAGCATCCAAACCATCACTGGCAGCACCAGCAGCGGCAGCTATGGTGTTGTTGCTAACATTCAGGCAGGTGAAATTCCAGATATGCTCAACAGCAGTTACAGCGTTACCAGCAGCAGAAGCTCCTTTGCTTGTGGTGACAGCGCCAGTGGCAGCGGCAGCAGCAGCCAGAGCAGCAGCGGCAGCAGCAGTCCGAGCAGTTACCCCGGGCTTTATCACAGAGACCCCGCAATTTTCCGGGCGGTTGCTACGCTAGATAAAGCAATCCTATTTGTGCGTGCACGGGCGGCAGCCGCAGCAGCAGAAGCGGGTTCTTCAGATTCTCTAGGCGATGCCAAGCATGAGAAGCAGGTCACAAGCAAGACTGCTGCAACTGGGACCAAGAGAGAAGCCTTGAGTTGCGCACCTTCTTCACAGCCAGATGGTTTCCAAAAGGAGGTGGTGGTGCTGGATGATGGGGGGAAGACGGGGAACAATACACTCTTGGGCAGTTCTGTGGGGCCAGTCAAGTCTGCTGCTCGGCCTGTCGCAGTTACAGGAGAGTCGGGTGCGGGTGACAAAGATGCTGCACTGGGATGCTTAGAAAATGGGCATGCTGGTAAGGCAGGAAAGCTGAAAGGGTGACGGAGGTGGGAAGAGGGTTTCCCTTTCAAGAATCAGTAAGAGATTTCTTGGATTGAGATTTTCACGTGCTAGCAAGGTTCTTTAGGCCCCTGGGTAGGTCTGTCTTGTCTAGCTGAGGCAGCGACCCAGTGCGTTGTTTTCGTATCTATTATGTATTCAATAGGTTTTGAGCTGTGTTCATTAGTTCACCAAACGAAGAGCTGTTCAAGCACATGATATATGAAGGCTGGACGTTCCTTGTGTATGTATGTGTTGCCAAGATGTAATATATTGAACCATGAAACTGCTTTACATGTAAAACCGTCATGAGAGTCGAAGAAGGAACTGTAGCCGTAATCTCCTTACTAGAAACATCTACCATTTAGAAACAGCACCATTCACATCGCGTACTCCGCATTCATAGGCCAGTGTCATGAGCTGCACTACTGTTCACTGCGCGATGCCTGTGAAAAATACGCGATTCGAAGCTAACGGTGCGAACGAAAGCTACTCAGTTTCGGATTGAAGGTTCGGAATCACCCCACCTCGTCTAGCCTCACCTCACCGCACCTCGCCACCGCCACCGATGTCTCTATACGCAGCGTAACTAGGTTTCTTGTGATTGGTGTTCCACGCACGACGCTCGCCTTGGGTACGTCGTTGCCACCCTCGAAAAGACGCACACGTCGCGCTATGCTGACCGGTTGTCCTCCGTCCGGGCCGGACCTAGTCGTCCACCCGAATCTCCCTGTCGCCATAGCGCCGCTATTTTGTACTCTTTCGAAAAATATGGAATCACACTTAATTAAGTACCTACGCAAGACACCTAGATTTCGCCACACAGTTATCTGTACAGCGGAGAAATGGCCTAGGAATGACCGTGCGGCTCCCAGGTTCCTCCACCGCCAGATATTTCATGGTTTACTGTACCACGCTCACCATCATGACGAAACCAGGATACATGCTAGTTCTTATTGACCACCCGCCTTGCCCAGTTGTGCGATCAAGTTCCATTCAAGCCACCACATACCCCGTCAACTTCGGCAGTCATCAGTCTTGATAGAATAGCGACCATTGATTGTGAAGGAGTCTCGTTCTCACATGTGATCTATCGCTAGCTTGTTCTTCATCGTCTGTTAGTCACCGCGGGATTAAAACGCCACGAGGTCACGCCCACGCTGTCAGGACGATTATAGACCGAATGCTCATTCCCGATTGTACGAACTGTGAAATTAAGCCTGGAAACTGGACTCGGAGCAGCGTAGTATTCCCGTAACGGTAACTTATTTTCTCTAGCGCAGGACGCGAAAGAAACCGTTTTTGAGAATTTTAGAACGGAAGCCAAGCCATGGCGCTAGCGGAAGGCATCGACTTACTCGATCAGGCTCTCGAGGAGCCCACGTGGAAAGACCTCGATAAAGTCACGGCTCTTATAAGCAAGCAGCTGGACGTAAAAAACGGCTCAGCAGCGGCAGCAGGAGGATCGAGCAACAGCGTGGCGGACTATTGGGCTGCGGAGACCGTTAAGCTGCTGGAGGATCTTAAGAGTGTCAGCGTGGAGGCTCTCGCTACTACCGATCCTGCGGACCGCAATGCGTGGAAGGTACTTTCTTCTTCTCTCTACTCGCAGCGTTTTGATTCGACGAAAAACACACATCGAAGGTCCTTCCTTCTCCCCTTACCTAGCCGCTGAAGCAATTACTAGAAACTCTCGGAATGCGCCTCAAGAACGCGAAGCGTCTAATCTTTGCATTTCATCACCACGTATTCATCAATATCTGCATGTCCATGCTTTCTCCGCAGATGTGCGAGGAGGGTCCGGAGCACCGCGCGATGCTGCGCAAGGGCCCGGAAGGCACGGCGATAAACGCGCTGTGCATGGAGGGGCGCATCGACAGCCCCGTGCACGCCGCTGTCGCCATGACGCGCGACGCGGGGTTCTTCAAGGAGTGGTGGCCGCAGGGCGACATGCCCGTCTACCGCATCGTGGAGAATCGGTATCTCGCGCGCGTCGGCGACGGCTTCGATATTACCTACATGAAGTGAGTAGTTGGTTGGATAAAGTGAGAATTTTGGTGAACCGGACTGTCAACAAAGACTCTCTAGTGTGCCGATATCCCCTCGCGTTGCTTATTTCTTCAAGGAAAGGAAGCCGAAGTCCCTCATTGCAGGTTCATCGAGTTTTGGATACTCAAAACCCTTTTTTTTTTCTCCTTTCTTCTTGGCCCGTTCTCATCCCTCCCACCCACCAGGTTCAAGGTGCCGTGGCCGTTCCCATGGCAGGAGTTCGCGATGATCTTCTTTACCATCTACGACTCGGACACGGGCGTCGCCACCACCGTCGTCCGCACGGTGAGTGCTTTGAGTGTGACAGCTTGTGTGTGAGTGTGTGACTGATTGTGTGCGTGTGCGAGTGTGAGTTCGCGATGATCTTCTTTACCATCTACGACTCGGACACGGTCGTCGCCAACACCGTCGTCCGCACGGTGAGTGCGTGCGTGAGTTTGTGCGGAGTATGTGCGCATATGTGCGGGTTGGGCTATGCCTGTGCCTACGAACGATAGCGAAACCCACCTTTTTATCCACGGATTTTCCTGCGACTCATCGTCTCCACACCTCACTCAACCCCCTCTCTCTCGCCCTCTCTTCCCCCGCTCCCCGCTCCCTTCACCCTTGCAATACCCAGCTTCCAGAGGACAACAGCGAAATCGACGCATCCATTCACGGCTTCTCCCGCGACATGGCGCCGCCAGTCCCCTCGGGAATGGTTCGCATGGCCATCAACGGCGGATTCTCCATCAAGGATCTGGGCCGTTCGCGCTGCCACTTCCGGTCGATCTTCACCTGTGATCTGAAGCTCCCAGCAATGGTGGTGAATTTCGTTACCAAGGAGTTCGGAGGGGTGCTGTTCAATCTGTTTAGGAAGGAGGTGGAGACGGATTTGGCGGATGAGGGGCAAAAGGGGGTGGAGTTTAGGAAGGTTCTCAAAGAGGAGAAGCTGTATGGCCGGATTGAAGCAGCTATGGATGAGTACAGGGCGAAGGCGGCCGGAGGATTGGGGATGGGTGAGAATGGGTTGGGAGAGACGGGGGTGGAGGGAGAGGAAGGGGAGGAGGTGGAGGAGGAAAAGAAGGTTTTGGTGGCTACAGCGTCGTTTGTGGAGGGAGCTACTGCGGAGGCACACAGACCTGCGATGGCAGCTGCATCATCAGCAGCAGCAGCGGCAAACCAAACAGCCGTTGCGGCAGCAGGTTCAGCAGCGACAGTGACTCGTGCGGATGAAGGGGAGGCGGAAGAGGAGGAGGTGTTTGAAGACGCAGAGGATCAGCTCCTGGTTACACTAGAAGACTCAGAGACTGCCGCTTACCCCCAGCAGAAGCAGCACCCTCATCCTCCTGTTCCTCCTGCGTATGCCCCCTTCTCATCCCAAGACCCGGCTATCGCTGCAGCCTTTGCAGCAGCAGCCGCGCTAGCAGGCGCAGGTGGGACTGGGGCAGGTGGTAACCCTGTGGTTGGGTCTGCTAGCTCCGGTGCTGCCGAGCCTGCTCTGACCCCGGACGTGCTCCAAGCTATGGCGACCCTAGAGCAGGCGTTAGAGTCTCTGCGTGCCCGCACCTCTGCTGCCCTCTCTGCTGCTGCTCACGCCGGCGGACCAGGAGGAGGGATGTACCCCGGACAGTATGGTCACGCCTATCCTCCTCCTCCCCACCCTGCCTATGGTGCTGTGCCCGGGTATGGGCCAGTGGTGGCGGGAAAGGGTGGCAGGTTTGTGGGTGCTCCGCTGCCGAATCCTCAGCTGCTGCCGTATTATGCCGCCCCGTTCCCGCCCAATGAGATGCAGCGGTTCGCCGGGCCGGTCCCTGTGGTTGGGAGGATGGACGGGTATGGAAGGGTTTCCGGTCGGCGGGTGAATGGAGCGAGAGGGGGAGGCGGGAGGTATAAGGGCGAGGGAGGAGTGATGGTTGCGCCTGGGAAGGGAGGAATGGGCGGAAGGGGAGGAGGAGAGGGAGGAGGAGGCGGGAAGATGAGCAGGAATGGGAAGCTGCAGCCTCCGTTCCATCCCTCACAGCAACAGATGATGGTGTCTCGATCCGCCTCCGGGAAAGGAGGAGGGGTTACTGGAAAAGCAGGAGCAGGAACAGGGAAGGTTGCTACAGCAGAAGCGGCTGCTACAGCTGCTGCCGCTCCTGCTACAACATCAACCCTCTGGTCGGCAGCTTCAGCCCTGTTTGGGCTTGCCACGTGTTGCACTGCCACTGGCCTGAGAAACGCCGAGGCGGCAGGGTATGTTCTTCCGGAAGAGTTGCCGTCCGAGAGGTGGCGTGATGATGACGAGGATGACTATAACGAGTATGATTCCGAGGAGGATGATGAGGAAGATGAGGGGTATTATGAAGGGTACGGAGGTGGTATGAATGGTGTTCCTGGGGGTTATGGAAATGGAGGGTATGGGAATGGGGTGTATGGCTCTGGTGCTTATGGCGATGGTGGTTATGGGGGAAACGGTGGAGGTAGATTGGTGGATGAAAGGCAGGTGTGGAGAGGAAGAGCCATGGCTGGCAATATGGCAAGATGACGGGGGTGTAGCTAGGTGTAGGCATTTGTCTGTTACTTGCTGTGATGTTCCTTTTTATTGCTCAAAATCCGCAAATCGTTCACTGTTGTGAAATGCCCTTATTTTTTCCCCCCACTAATGGCGAGCAGAATTTTTATCATGTACCGTAGTTGTGCCTCGCTGCGATTGTAACGGACCTCGATTGTGAAGGATCAACATTTATCGAGTACAGATGTCTAGGAATTCGTGGACCTTGGAGGGCCTAGGGGATTACGTGACTACTCAAACCAACAGGCCACGGGAATTACGCCAAATAGGATCCAGTTCTGCTAAATCCAACCAAAATGCTCCGTCGCTGTGCGCCGCACCCGCAGAGTTAGATAGGGTGTGTTTCTGGCTTCTCTTCCGTGTTCCCTCCTGTCTTCACAACAGTGTGCAAGCGTGTTTTGCCCGCGCCTGATATCTTCGCAAAGCTTTGCGACTTTGGCGACAGCGAACAGTTTGTGCGAGTAATTGATTCTTTGTCCAACCACGTGTCGTTCTCTGATTTGTTCCCGCGCATAGCAACATCCATCTGGCTCATCAATACCGATAGTTAGCTTTCCATACAGGTAGTTAGCTATCCATACTGATAGTTAGCTATCTCCCAACCCCCCGCTCGGTTCGAGGCATGGAAGGCGGAGGGGGGGGTGGCGGAGGCCGTGAGTGGCGCCCGCGGGGAGGCGGCGGCGGAGGCGGAAGGCAAGGACGGGGGGGCGGAAGGAGGGGTGGCGGGGGGCCTTCTGGGGGAGACAGTTGGGGCGACGGCGCGGCGACAGGCAGAGGGGGAACAGGCGGAGGAGGAAGAGGCGGAAGGGGCGACGGGGATGGTTGGGGTGGCGGAGGGAGGGGGGGGCGTGGCGGAAGCGGCGGAAGGTATGGCGGAGGGGATCAGCGCGGCTGGCGGGGGGACGGCGGAGGCGGACGGCAAGGACGGGGAGGCGGAAGTTATGGCGGAAGATGGGGCGGAGGAGGCGGACGAGGGGGGAGAAATTATCAGCAGCAAGCGGAGCAGCAGGAGGAGCAGCAAGTTGGGCAAACAGCGTACGGGCAGCATATGCAACAGACACAACTAGTTGACGGGCAGAATTTGGGTGCGACAGGCAGTGCAGGAATTTTAGGATCTGCCCCACACGCTCCCTCGGTGCCCCCTGGATTCGAAAAGCGGACCAATCCGGTAGAGACGTCAGCTGCTACAACTGCTACAGCAACTACAGCCGCTACAGCCGCTACAGCTGTTTCGTCTGGCCTCGCAATCCCTCCTGGGTTCAGTCCTCCTTCCTCCTCCTCTTCCGCCTCTCCCGCGTTCCCTCCCGGTTTTGGCTCATCCTCGTTACACGCTGCTTCTGTAAGAGCCCCTCCCGGATTCGCACCACCCCAAGCTGGAGCATCTAGGCCTTATGAAGCCACGGCAGGATCAGCAGCTTCTGTAGCAGTTGATGCAATGGATGCAAGGGCAAGTGGTGATGCAGGTAACATGGCAACAGGTGATTTTACAGGATCAACAGCGGCTGTAGCAGTGCCTGCAGCATCAACGGCTGTAGCAGCAGCCCAAGAGGAGGAGGAGCCGTTTTTGTCGTATCTGCCACAGGATGAGATTCTGGCAGGTGGAGTATGCAGGATGGGAGGCTTGGTGGGAGGTTTGGACGGAGGCTTGGAGGGAGGTTCGGAGGGAGGCCTGGTGGGAGGTTCGGCAGCAGGTCTGGCTGGCGTGGATTCTGGGGAGACGCAGAGGATGGTTGATCGGACGGTGGAGAGGCTTCGAGAGATGCTGAGATTGCCAGCTAAGCAGTTCTGGAGAACAGGTACGTGTGTTTATGTGCACGCACACACGTGCGTGTGCCTATCGCTTTCCCACCTTTCTCCCGTTTCCCTGTTTTCCCTTTCGACATCCCTCCTGACTTTCAACGCTCTGTTTATCCCCTCCCAGTTGCTCGTACGCCGTCGCTCGTGGCGTTCTTGGATTCCTATCTTCGCTTCCGCTCGCGATGGTTCGATCTTCTCCTCTCTGCCGCTGCTGCTACTGAAACTGGTGGACCTTCGAGAACAGCAGGAGCAGACGGAGTGAACGGGGGAGGGGGAGGAGGAGAGGGGAGTGTGGGGACAGGGAGGGGAGTGGTGGTGGGGGATGAGGAGCTCTGCCGGCTGGTGTTCCTGCTGCTGCTGCGCATGTGAGTGCTTTCTGATCTCTCAGGGAGTGGTTTGGTGTTGTTGCTGTGTGAGAGAGTCTTTTGAGGCGCCTCAAGAGGAGAGGGGAGTGTGAGGACAGGGAGGGGAGTGGTGGTGGGAGATGAGGTGTTGTGTTGGCTAGTGTGTTCCTGCTGCTGCTGTTGCTACGCATGTGAGTGTGTGTCACAAGCACGTGAGGACCCTCTACAACTGCGTAGCAACAGCATCTTCATCTCTACGCTTATGCAACCCTCTTCCCTCTTCCCACACTACTCTCGTCCTGCAATGCAAGGGTTCCTCCTCTCTTTATTGCCCCAATGTTCCAGCTCTCCTTTAATCTCGTTTCTTCTCCCCTGCGTGCTGCTATCAGGTCGTCTAATGTTGAGTCCAGAGCCAAACCATCGGAGCAGCTGCAAGCCAAGGACCATGCACGTACGTATCCCATGCAAGCCATACCTGTTCAATGCCATGCGATTCAATCCTATGTTACCTTACCTGTTCAGCCTCCTTCGCTCTATGCGTGTACTTCAGTGTTGACACTGCTGTCTTTGGGAAAACCAACTGTCGCTCTCACCCACTCTCTTCCCTTCCGTCCCCTTCTCCACCCTCCCCACTCCGCCCGCATCCCTCCTCTCTTCCCTTCACGCAGACCTGCTTCTCTCCATGCGCCTCTTTGACGCACCAAAGCTCATGGACGTGGCTGCTGTCTTTGGGAAGGCCAACCCCGCTGCAACGCAGCAGCTGGTGAGTCAACCTCAGCACGCTGCCCTATCCCTCGTCACCGCATTGCACCGTGTTATCACCCTTCTTCACCGCGCCGCACCACTTACTTTAGCGCCCCTCATCACCACAACATCCTCTACTTGAACATCACCGCATTGCACCACTTCTTCTGCTGCTTCTGCTGGTGGGGTCAGACCGCGTGGATACAGACAAGCAAAAATGCATCCCTTGTCACCGCATTGCACCTCTCCCCACCACCAGGTGTGCCAGGTGCTGGTCTCTCAGCCTCTCTTCCGAGCTGATCTCTCATCGTCTCTGCTGCAGCTGCTGCGAGTGGTTGAAGTGATGGTGGCAAGGGCATGCGGGCGAATGGAGGAGGTATGTTGTGAGTTAGGGTGGAGGAATGGGGAAGGGAGGTGTTGCTTGTCGGTCCGCCACAGCTGCTGGTACAGGTGGTTTAAGAGATGGTGCGAAGGCGTGTGGGCGAATGGAGGAGGTAGGTAGAGAGTTGATGGGAAATAGGTGGCTTCTGGTTCTGTAGGCGCAACTGCTGCACCAGTTGCTGTGGTAGAATGGATGAGGTAGGTAGTGAGTTAGGGAGGGCCGCGGATTGTGTGGTTCGTTTGTCCACTGCAACACCTGCTGCGGGTGGTTGAAGGAATGGTGACAAGGGCGTGTTGGCAGATGTAGGAGGTATGGGTCCCTTGGTGTTAGTGTGTTTGTCGGGGGATGGTCCTTCGACCATCCTCCATGCTCTTTTCAGCGAGAAAGAATGTATGTTTTTTGAGAATTCTCAACAAGGACTGTGCTTTTTTGCACATCTTCCATGTTCCTCCATCGTTCTGTTGCTCTTCCCCCACCCGTAGCACTTTTGCAGCAGCACAGCAAGGCATCACCATAGTTGCAGCCGCCGACTCACAACCTTCTCTGTCCCCTGAGATCATCGAATCGAGTTTGCCTCCAGGCATGAGCTCCTTGGTTCGGCTGCGCAAACTGGAGCTCTTTCACTGCAACGCCTTGCATCACATCCCAGAGTTTCTCACCGAGCTGTAGGCTTGAGATGGGGGGCGCGAGGCGAACCGAACAATTTTTTTGTTTGGCTTTATTTGTACGTGGCGAAGAAGTACGTGTTCTCCCGAACACGTTCGTGTTCGATTCGCCGCGAAAGTCTGAGCCGCGACGAGCACGAACATGTTTGTGTTCGCTTTCCAACAGCGACGAACACAAATCCGTTCGTCGCGAATGGCCTCTGGTCGAAGGCGCCGAGGACCATTTTCGCCGTCAGATCTGCACGGATATAACATTTCACCGTCAGATATGCGCAGATTTGAGATTTCGCCGTCAAATCTGCGCAAATATGGCACATCACCGTTAGATCTGCGCGGATATAGCATTTCGCCGTCAGATCTGTGCGTATATGACATTTCGCCGTCAGATATGTGCGGATCTAGCATTTCGCCGTCAAATCTGTACGGATATAGCATTTCTCCGTCATATGTGCGCGAATCTGGCATTTCACCGTTAGATGTGCGCGGATTTGGCATTTCGTCGTAAGATGTGCGCGAATCTAACTTATCGTTATCAGATGTGCGCGGATTTGGCATTTCGCCATCTGATGTGCGGGGGTCTGGCATTTCGCCGTCAGATGTGCGCGGATCAGACATTTCGCCGTCTGATGTGAGCGGATGTGGCATTTTGCCGTCAGCTGGGCCAGCTCCAGTTGTTGGTACCGTGTGACACCTGCATCCGGAGAGGTTCAGGCAGAATCCCCCGCACATTGCCAGATCCCCGCCGAAATGTAGATCCCCGCACATCAGACACGAAATGCCAGATCCGTGCACATCTGACGGCGAAATGCCATATCTGCGCACATTTGATGGCGAAATGCCATATTCGCACAGATCTGACAGCGAAATGCCAGATCTGACGGCGAAATGGCGGCGAAATGCCATTTTCGCACAAATCTGATGGCGAAATGCCATATCTGCGCAGATCTAATAGCGATATGCCATATCCACGCAGATTTGGCAGTGAAATGTCATACCCGCGCTTATCTGACGGGAAATGCTATATCTGTGAAGATCTGACGGCAAAAATGGCCCTTGGCGCCTTCGACCAGAGGCCATTCGCGGTGAACACATTTGTGTTCGTCGCTGCTGGAAAGCGAACACGAACATGTTCGTGCTTGTTCGCCACGGACAATTAAAACCAAACAAAAAAACTGTTCGGTTCGCCTCGCGCCCCCCACCTCAAGCCTGCAGCTCAGTGAGAAACTCTGGGATGTGATGCAAGGGGTTGCAGTGAAGGAGCTCCAGCTTGCGCAGCCGAACCAAGGAGCTTGTACCTCCACGAGTTTGCCTTCTCTCTCCACTCACACATTCTTTTTCCTACTTCTTGTCTCCCCGTTGTCCTCCCCCGCTCACGTCTGCATCATATCAAGGCATCACCACTAGCAGATTCACAATCGTCCCCTTCCCCTGAGATCCTCGAAGCTCTTCACTACCTCTGTGACTTTGCCTCCTCTCTCGACTCACACACCCTCTCCTTTTCCTTTTGTTTCCTTGTTGCTTTCCCTGTTGCTCTTTCCCGTGCATGTCTGCAGCATAGCAAAGCATCACCACATGCAGATGCATCATCATCAGCATCAGAAGCAGCACCGCCTCCGTCCTCTGAGATCCTGGAGGCCCTTCACTACCTCTGTGACTTCACCTTCTCTCTCGTCGCGCTCTTTGACACCTACCCGCCCGCCCCGCTGCTCCTCCTGCAAGCAACTACAGCAACGACACCCACAAGGAAAGCGAAACAAGGCGCAGCAGCAGCTGCAGCAGCAAGTTCTCCTGTACGGCTTCTCTCTGTGTTGGCTCGGACTCACGACTCATTTCTCCCTCTGCTCCTCCTCCTCGCCTCCTCCCACTCTCTGGAAGCAAACTCCTTGGTATCAGCAAAGCGAACACTGATGCAAGCAGCAGCATCGGTGAATGTTCAGGGGAAAATTCTTCAGACGAAGCTGGAGGAAGTTGCTTGGAAGTATGTCTGGGGCGCGTATCTTGGAGGAAGGGGGTGTGCCCGAGCTGCTGCTGCTGCTGCTGCTGCTGGTGGTACTGGTGGTGGTGGTACTGGTGGTGGTGGTACTGGTGGTGGTGGTACTGGTGGTGGTGGTACTGGTGGTGGTGGTACTGGTGGTGGTGGTACTGGTGGTGGTGGTACTGGTGGTGGTGGTACTGGTGGTGGTGGTACTGGTGGTGGTGGTACTGGTGGTGGTGGTACTGGTGGTGGTGGTACTGGTGGTGGTGGTACTGGTGGTGGTGGTACTGGTGGTGACAATGCTGCTGGCACTGGTGGTGGTAGGAATAGCAGGAGCAGGGGCAGCAGGAGTCGAGGCGGCAACAGTGGTAGCAGCAGTGATGGTTTGCCATCCTGTCCTGTGTGTGATTCCGGAGTCAAGCCGGGCAGGGGAAAACATTCAGGGTGCCCGTTGTGGGATGGGCTGCCTGGGCAGAAAATGAATCTCGGGCAATTGCTGCTGGAAGAGATTCTTGCAGTGCATGGAGTGAGCTCGGGCTGCTCGGGCAGCTCGGGCAGCAAAGATGTGGATGGTGTGGCGTGGATCCCGCTGCTTCGGGCAGTTGATGCTTCTTTTGGGCTTCGGTCAGCAATCTATGAAGAGAAAATGAAAGGTCGGTGAGGAAAAAAGCTGTGCAATAGGAGGCTGGTTTTAACCTTGATAGGTGTGTATCTGAAGGATATTTGTCCTGGTTGGTGTGGCTCTGTGTGGTTCTGTGTGGGGCTGTGTGTTTTCTTGTCTTAATTGGTGCTTCATTTAGGTTTTCCTGTCACTGCCCCGTTCCGCTAATTAGCTCTCATCCAGTGTTCTCTCACGTTCTTCTTTCTTATGTCCTCCTTTCTATTCCCCAGGCAAGCTTCCCCTCGACAACACGCAGTTTGATACGATCTCCGACATTATAGGCCCTCCAATCACCCTACCACCACCCCTCACTTCCTCCTCCTCGGACCCATCCACTACCAGCAATACCACAGCAGCCAATCACCCCCCAACAGCAGAAGACTTCCCTTCCCTCACTCCCTCACTCTCTTCCTCCGCTGATGCTGAGTCAGCAGCCCTCGAGCAGTCCAAAATCTCGCTCGTGCGGGATATTTTCCCGGATTTCGGGGAGGGGTTCGTGGGTGCGTGTTTGGAGGTGTACGGGGGGGATGCAGAAGCGGTGATTCAGCATGTTCTGGAGGGGAGTTTACACCCGGACTTAGCTAAGCTAGACACTCAGTTGAAAGTCAAGCCAGGGAAGGCTGGTGTGGGTGGTAAGGGGGATGCTGCTGCTGCTGCTGCTGCTGCTGCTGCTGGTGCTACTGGTGCTGCTGGTGCTGTTAGTGCTGCTGGTAGTGATGCTACAGGTGTTAATGGGGCAGCAGGCAAAGGAAAGGGAAAGGCAGTGGTATCAGAGGGAGGAGAGGAGGACGAGGAGGATGATGAGAGGGGTGCAGGGGGATGGGGAGGGGTATTGGCACAGCAGAGGGAAGTGGAGAGGCAGCTGAGAGGAGAGGGGTCCAGTGCGGTTGGGGGGGGTGGAAGCTCGTGGGCAGGCGTTGCAAAAACTACCACCACAGCTGCCGCTACAACCCCTGCTACAGCCTCTGCGACAGCTGCATCTGCTGCTGCTCCTGCTGGTAGGTTCGTCCGGAGCAAGAGGGAGGACGAGTCAGTGGAGGAGGAGGTTTGGAAGAGAGGTTCGGCGGCAGGCACGGGGAGCAGGAGGGAGCAGGAGGCGGTGAAGCGGTTTGTGTTTGAGTCGCAGTTTGAGTACGACGATGAGTATGACGACTCGTTTGATGAGCTGGAAGGGTATGACGTGGCAGGAGGTGCGGGGAGCAGTGAGGTGGAGGAGGTGGTCTAGGACTAGGTTTGCTGCACGTGCTGCTGCTGCTGCTGCTGCTGCTGGTGCTGGTGGTGGTTCTGCTGCTGGTTTGAAGGGGCAGCAGGTGCAGCAGCAGGGGTTGGTGCAAGCACAAGCACAAGCACAAGCACAGCAAGCCCAAGCGCAGGCCCAAGCCCAAGGACCCCAGTTCTATGTGAAAGACGGCAAGAATTACAGCTACAAGATTCAAGGCTCCGTGGCCGTCGGATCGGCGGCAGAAGCGGCTGAGATGAAGCGGATCGAGGCGGGGCTGATTCATGGGCTAGGGGAAGGTGGTAACCGTGCGGCATGGGGAGCAGCAGAGGAAGAGGAAGAGGAAGAGGGGGAGGAGGAAGAGGAGGACAGTGAGTCAATAGGGGCGAGTGGTGGAGGGTGGGGGGGAGGAAGGGGAGGATTTGGGGCAGGAGGAGGGGGGAGGGGTTGGAGAGGAGGGAGAGGAGGAAGAGGAGGAGGTGGGGGAGGGCGGGGAGGAGGGGGAAGGGGAAGGGGAGGGGGGAGGGAGGGGGGAGGGGAGGGGGAAGTGGGCGAGGGTGGGGTGGGCAGGAGGGTGGTGCCAGTCATATTGCTGGCGGTGGCAGAGGTGGTGGTGGTGGTGGTGGTGGTGGTGGTGGCGGCGGTGGCAGTGGCAGTGGTACTGGCAGTGGTGGGGGGGGAGGAAGAGGACAACCGCCTTCTGCAGTTGGAACCAGGGGAGGTTCATCCGGTGGGTCTGTGGGAGGTTCTTTTGCTAGGCCCACAGTCTCGTCTACCACTACTAAAAATGTGTCATCTCGTGCTGCTGGTGGTGCTGCTGCTGGTGGTGCTGCTGGTTCTGCTGCTGGCAGTGCAGCTGACATGGGCAAGAAAGAACGGAAACCATCTCAAAAAGCAGGCCCAGGTTTTGGTGGGTTTCGTGGGGGTCGTTGAGGTGTTTTATGTAAGCATGGGAATGAATATTGTTGGCTGATGTGGTTATTGCAGTCATTCCCGAGGTTAGGATCCTTTTAAAAAACAGTTTGAAGAAATTGAAACATTGTGATTCTTGATTTTTTACAATATGATGTGAGGACAAGCACTGATCATGAAAGGGAAGACAGACGACGTTCTCAAGCCTGAAACCCTTCATCCTGCGCTTATATAGAGTATGAACAAAAACATTAATGCGTTAATGCGTTTGTGAAGGTCATAACATGCTAAGCATGTAATTGGTAGGGAGGTGTTTGGTACACATAATGCTCAACCCCTGCACGTCGAATTTGCGCAGTACGCGAAAGAAAGCCTGCACCCGTGTATTTTGCGTCAGCCAGTTGCACCCCATTTACAAGCACCTAGAGCAAGTTGCAGTAATTTGAACCAATTCGAACCACAGAAACCAAAGTTTGACCGACGAGACTGAAGTCAAACAGTCAACAACGAGTTACAAAAGTTTTTATAAGCCCTTTTTGCTAGGTGCGAATTGACGAAAGCTCAGCGAAATGCAAAAAACATTAAAGAGCCCTCTTCACAAGGCAACCTTGGGTTAGTCAAACGGGCATCATGTGTATAACAAGGATGATCAAGTCTATGATGCAGAGAGAGAACTGTTTCGGAAATCGGACTTCATGGAAGTCAGCGCTGACCCCGGTTAAACTCACACAAGTCGTTCACAGGGAGTTATGAGGTTGACTAGGGTCAGTAAGATATCGTTGACTTCAAAGAGACTCAGACCTTGATTGTCGTTGAAACCACTGATTCCAGGCAGTCTGACGTATCAGCCGTTGACTATCCGTTGAAATGTTGAATCCAGTTAAACTCTGACCGAATGATGACTGAATGTCGAGGTGTGTCGCTCAATGCTACACACGATTTCGTGCAGCCTGTCGCCAACTGTATTGCTACAAAACTAGAGAATCTTTCGATTGGCGTTGAGGGTTCCCCGCCTACATTGGTGCGTCATAGGAAAATCTGGTCATCCATGAAACCTTCATCCGTACCCTGCATGTGTCTGTGTTTTGGTTCTGTTCTCGGGACCTCCGAGTTCTTAGCCTTCAAACGGGGCACCTTGCCTGACTTGCCCATGTTTAGCACTGTTCGCATGTTTTGGCCAGCACGAAAAATGACTGCCCTTGAACCCTTCCTGTCCAGGGAACAAAAACGGGAACTCCTCGGTTTCGTAAAGGCTAAATACGATAATGCCCGAGTACCTCGATTCCACAAATCTAAACGCTTTGACGAGTATTACATTACCCTGATTTGGAATAGAGCATCAAAACAATACAACTGGAGAACCCTCAACTGTTGGCGAGTGAATCTGTACAAGACATACATTTTTGTTCACAGCTGCAATCATATTCAGAACTGTGTCGGACGGCAATCGCGGTTTCACCAAGCAGGTGTTATGAGCCACTTCGTAGTTAAAGGCCCGATTCGAAGTACATTTTCGGGTGTAAAGCTGTTGCATTCGAGTGGACGTCAGCAGTTTCAAGAGCTCGGCCTTTCCGTTGGAGCATTCGTTCTTTTCCAATTGTGTCTTTGGGGTGTTACGATTTAAGATAGAAACAGTCGACGGGTACACTAGGTCCTCAACAGCAGACTAGTGTATCTGAGGCAAATAAAGCTTCAGCATATTAGTGTACGTCAGAGGAAAATGGGCCACTAAGGGCGGGTCAAACTTCGTTTTCAGTTCAGTGTCTGCGGTGGAAAACGTTGCTGTGCATTCTAGAGCGGTTTTCCTTGTTCCACCACTTTGAACCTTTCTTCACCAGACTGAACAGTAATACTTGAACTGAAAACAAACTACGCCTGACCCGCCCTAACGATACAGGCTCAAAATGTGCTTCCTCCACCCAGATGGTTACCGCATCAAATGTCTGTTCTCATTCGGCCGTAGCGTGGTCCAATCAGTGGCCTGCCCGTCGACAGTTGCATGTGAAACATAACAGGTCAGTCCGACTGTAGGGCTTCAACCTGTAAATTGTATAACTGTGCCATATCCTCGTTTCAGACCACGTTGTTATTGGACCAGCAACAGCTACACTTGGCTCGGCATGGTGAGACGTTTGGCTGGCCGAAGCTGTTGCCCAGTGGCGAATCAGCAAAATCATTGGTTTGGAGCAGTTTTATGGGCCCCCTATCGCACCACTCCCTTCCGCACCTCGAAGTAACCGCAACAAACAGTGCCACACCACACCATTCCTTTCTGCACCATTCCTTTCTGCACCACAGAACCTGGTTTCAGCCAATCGAATTCCATCCAGGCCACCAGCGTAACCATGCTCTCCATGTCACATGAATTCCCATTTGCTCGAAACCCCGTCCAAATGCGAAGTGAAACCGAGCCGCTCTGACACGGGCCACTGGCCTCATTTGCAGGTACGTTTTGGGGGCCCGAAATTTTGTGTGGCAAGTGGATTACGCCTTGAACGTGTCACAACGTTTCCAGCAGCCAGTGAACCAAGCAAATCTGGCCGACCCCAAAACCCAGATTAAAATCGCCTCACAGTAGTATAGTAGCAGCTCCTACTAAGAATGCGCATTTTCAGAGTATGTTTTCAGCGACGCCTTGGTGAATATCAAAATCCCGGTGGTTTTATAGTGCGATTGGTGGCTGCTACTCATTTCCTCCTGGGGAAAATCTAGTGAAGTTCAACGGCGGCGATCTCTGTGGTCTACAGCTCGTGAGTACACACCGACCCTCTTAAGGATGTTCTGATTGAGTGCCACTAAGCCGCTGAGTGCCAATGCGGCATTGCGACACTGCTACAAAATCTCTCTCTCTGAGAGAGAGAGAGAGAGAGAGCGAGAGAGAGAGAGAGAGATAGAGAGAGCGAGAGACGAGGGAGAGAGAGAGCAGAGAGAGCGAGGAGAGAGAGAGCGAGGGAGAGCGAGAGAGGAGCGAGATGAGAGCAGAGAGAGAGCGAGAGAGAGAGAGAGAGAGAGATAGAGAGAGAGAGAGAGAGCGAGAGATAGAGAGAGAGAGCGAGAGAGAGATCATAGAGAGAGAGAGAGACGAGGAGGAGAGCGCGAGGGAGAGAGAGAAGAGATGAGATGAGAGAGCGATCTCTAGAGAGGAGTCGAGCGGATCTCGATCTATCTAGCTAGATCTCGAGCTCTCTCTATCTCTTCTCTCTCTTCTCTATTTCTATGCTATATCTCGCGATATTATCTATCTCGCTCTCTCTCGCTCTCTTCTGCTCTCTCTCGCTCTCTTCTAGAGTCTAGACTCTCTCTCTCTCTCCCTCTCTCTCTCTCTCTCTCTCTCTCTCTCTCTCCTCTCTCTCTCTCTCTCTCTCTCTCTCTCTCTTCTCTCTCTCTTCTCTCTCTCTCTCTCTCTCTCTCTCTCTCTCTCTCTCTCTCTCTCTCTCTCTCTCTCTCTCTCTCTCTCTCTCTCTCTCTCTCTCTCTCTCTCTCTCTCTCCGATCGGACGAGAGGAGGTAGACTGGCTTTCTGAAGCTACCACGATCAACGCGCCTAGTAGTGGCACCCATTGCAAGACATTTCATCGAGAATAAGTCTCCGCATAAGATAAATAAAAGAACGAGTCAGCGTGACACCTTGGCCTACGAATACGACAACGCTAGTACATCGCGGAAAAGGTTTTGGCTCAAATTCGAGTTTAAGTCTGAAGGTTGCAGGGAAGTTGCAGAAACGTTGCAGAAAGTATCCGAAAAGCTCTGAGTGAAAAATGGAACATGCACCAATTTCGGATACATGTGGCTTCCGAGCCGCGCATGTTGGATACGTGGGGTACCCGAGGCGCGAATTGTGGATACGTGGGTTACCCGAGCCGCGAATTTATTGCATCATTTTCGAATCATCTTCACCGAACAGCACACCTGGTCACGACCAAATCTCTTGAGTCCCCCGTGCTGGTGTACGATTGAGGAACACTGCAGCCCGAATCAGGTGGGCATTGTCGAACGTTGCGAGCACAGTAACAGGGATACAAAAAAAAACGAGGCTCGCGAAAAAACAAGCCAGAATCGTAACTGGCAGCTGGCACACAGTTCCATGTCACACCC